CCCGGAAAAACAGGAAAACCGGGAAAATAGGTACAATATATTAAGCAAATATTATCAAAGAAAATATATAATATTGATGTAATTATTTTATCTTAATATGACATTTATATTGTTGATAAAGCAATACTTCAAGCGAACTCCTATCAAAATCATTTTTTCGTTAGAAATGATTAATTGTTGCTTACAAATACGTATACATTAAAAATTACCTATAACAGTGGCTGCACTCGTCCCCATTATCCTAGGAAAGCTTTTTAGCCTTTTAGCCTATTACTAAATTTTACATTTAATATTGTTTCAGTGAATACATATCATTAGCCTAAATGATAACGTAATTCATATTATTAAATGACAATAATAACAATATATAACTACTATCTAGTAATAAAATAAAAATAAAACCAAAATTGTATTCATCTTCCTCATTGACAAAAAACAATTTTGAGACTCTATAAAAAATCTAGCGTCATCATAATTTTCATGAAATTTCAAGAAGAGTTGAACCCCAAAAACTCCTCCTTGTTCACAAGCCCACATTAAAATATATATCATAAAATATTTGAATCAGATATTTTTGTTTGCAATTTGTTGAACGATAATTGTATAGATGCCAAATACTTACAAACAAAATATTAAAAAAGAGCTGATACTGGGGAGGGGTCACTGTTATAGCCTGTAGGTGAGAAGCTAGGAAGATAGGATAAATAAATTTATTTCATTTATCAGATATAAATCTGTAAGCAACGATAAACCATTGCTTGACGAAAAACGATTTTAAGTGCAGTTGGGTAATACTTAATTTGAATTTCCGTAATTTTATTTTTTTGCTATTTTCATTTGAATTTGATTTCAAAACGCTTATTAAAAAACAATAGGTCGTCCGGTCATTTTGAAAATTTTTCATGTCTAGGTAAGTCTAATATAAGTATTATTACCAAGTTTCAAGTATTTAAGTGTATTTATAACCGAATTACATCAAAAAACTCCTAAAAATTAAAAAACCTTAAAAGCTCAAAATTGGCTCAAAAGTTTTGGCAATGATACCCTAAAAAATTAAATCAAAAAGGCTACAAAAAACGGTTCTCGTAATTTTTTGATTAAATCATTTTTTCTGGTAGAAAACGTCGTCCGTGTTTTTATAAAATAATGAAATAGTGATACTATACGTTTTCCTACGGTTTTTCCCACCTAAGCGCTTTTATTTAAAAAATTGACCTCTTTAAAGTACAATCAAGATAACTTGATCTTTTAGAAACGTTACTACTCGTAAAAATTGGAGCAAGTTTACTAGGAAAAAACGTGTCCACAGACTACAAAAAAAAAAGAAAAGAAATTAACATCTTAGTAAACCCAATAGCTCCCTCGCTACGCTCGGAATATAAAATTAAACAAAGGAATACATAAAAAAAATGTAAACAAATTGGTCGTCACTATAATCGAATTTACATACAGAACATTTAATGTCATATCGTATAACGTCATATCAAGAATATTTTACTGTGTTTAAATTTAGGCGTGGCTTTAAAAATAATCGTGTTATAAATTTATTTTGGTCAAAAGCGCTTAAATTTTGATTTGAACTTCAATATTGTTGTACGTCATACTCGCCGTAGTGTTCCGAAGCAGTTTAGTGCAGAAAGAGTGTAAGTACTACCCATTAAACCAGCGGTGATAGTAAGACGTAAAGTCCTCTTAAAATATATTTACTACTCTAGTACTCTGAAAGAAGTCTGCAACCTACGTCTCAACCAGATTAAAAATAAGTATATTGTATTTTTGGAGCGGGAGAGGAGGATTTATACTATAGTGCGACAAATTAAAATAATTTTTAACAAATGTGATAACATTATTATTTATGTAATATGTGTAAATGAGATAAAAAAAAGCGTGGGTGTGTTTGAAATGGAAAAACCGACACAGTCATTTATATTATTCCGAACAATTTTAACAAAGTAATAAGAAACTTGTGTCGTGTAGTTCGTCTTTTTATTGTAGGTCGTTTTACAGGATCGTTCTTGTTTTTATTTTCTCGTAAACTGTGTACGGTTATAAGCGCAAAATCCACATGGATGAACAAAGCGCGTAAAGTTCTCGTCATAAAGAAATATATTATCGCTTATAATAATATAAAGTAAAAAGACTTCTTTGCATGCGTCTTTCCGACGCATTTCATAGTGCATTACCACGGACCGTTTGGTAATAAGTCGTCTAAAATCCTGACGAATTTTGCATTTGCCAATAGAGTTACTCGACACTTGTTTCCTAGGTCTATAGGTCGAACGGTGAAAATAATTTCAAATGAATTCGAATTATCAAAATGTCAAATACAATGTTTTATACAGTGTTCGGTAGCACTAATCGATGATTAATTAATAGAATATTCCCGGTTCGCGGTAAATTAAAATGAGAGTTTTGGGTTTTAAAATCATAAATAACATAATGTCACTCGAAAACACACGTGAGAACGTAAATAATTGACACGAGGACTAAAAAGAGGATTTTTTTCGGGGGTCGTTTCTATTTTTGTCCATTGTACCGATACATCTGATGATTATGCGATATTAAATTCGAAAACGTATCCGAATTTGCTATTTTTAGATTCCGAGCGTAGCGAGGAAGCTATTGGTTTTACTAAGATGTTCATTTTTTTTCTTCTTCTTCTAGTGTGTGGACACGAATTTCCCAGTAAACTTGCTCCGATTTTTACGTGTAGCAAATTGTCTGAAAGTTCAAGTTGTCTAGCTTTTTTATAATATTATGTTTATCTAATTAAAACGTTTAAATAAAATTATGACAGGGATGAGAGAAATTTATGACTGGGGATTACGAAAAAGTGGAAAAATCCATACCTATCTAAAAAAACATCATATAATGAAGATTTCAAGTATTCTTTCGCGTCGGTAGATTAATCGCAGTATACAATAGACAAAAATAAAATGAATTAAAATATTATGTTTTGGTATAGAAAACGGGGTCGGTATCCTGTAATCTCCTTAAAATCGTTTTAACCTCTCACCAACCGCCATCCACCAGTGTGCTTGGTCATTCGAGAGTGAAAAAACCGCCCTGTCCACCCCTCTATTCACCCAATGTAGTCTGGCTGGCGACACAAAGCGTTTGTTGGTCTTATGCCAAAATGGAAAATCGCCTATATTTCACGCACGACTATTTCTTAGGTATTTATAATACACAGTGTGTAGTCGCTTTACATATAGAATAATAACGGTGTGTTTCAGTAACGTTTTTCGTATTTTCATAGTGTAATGTAATATATCGGAATCGGATATTGCTGGTTGTCAGAAAATTGATAGGAGACTAGATACAATATTTTTTTGTTGTCTAACTTTCGAAAAATAATGATATCATAATTTTCTATTACGGCTCTTGTACATTGTCGACTTTCCTATTTCGAAATGTGACCTGTCACCGTTATTTTTTCCATTTTCTCTCCTTTATTTTTACCCGAATTGTTTTTTCAACCATTAAATGTTCTAGGTTTTAAAATTTCCGTTCAGGACACAAGCATATGATTCATTACAGCCAATTAATGTACAATACCCGGCTAAATTGATCAGTATTTACGATGAACATTGTTAGAATTTTGTTAAAACTGTTTATTTTGAACAACTCCGGGTCCCAATGCAGGATATCATCTTGATAATATTCTATCGTGTGTATGTCTATCATTTGCTATTGTTCTAAAATAATTTTCATTGTGATATTAAAATTTTGTTCTGCTGTACATGTCTCGTCTTATCAACTTTAAATTCAATCTACGTAGTATTATGCATAGCGACATTTTTTTTATCCTCATTAAATTAAAAATTACTTTTTTTTACTCTTTTTATAAATATGTCAGTGTCTACCGGCAATAGTTTAACTTAGCAATTGTGATTGTGTACTTGTTACCCAAAATATTATCGTGTTATATATTTTATTGTTAATTGAAAATTCGACCGTGATATTATTATTAAAATAAAATAATTTCAGTTTTTTAATCGCTTAGAAAATAAAATAATCATCGTTTTGACTCTTTGTATGAGCACCGGGCCTCTGTGCTGTAGAACATTAGTGGTCAGTGAGCCAGCCCGCTGCTGAATTGAACGTGACATTATATTTTATGAATTTAACATGATTAATCGGACGATATTCAGACCGATAATTTGATAAATCGACAAGTCGTTATTACAATCTATCTAGTTGTTTTCACATTTCCGACTGTCGTACCCACGGTGTTACTTGTTATAAATTTGGCCGTAATCATTTGCATCCATAAATGAGATACCTACCGTTTTACTTCACTGTTCGCTCTCCCCTAAAAAAATCAAAATAATTCTAGACCATTTTCTAGTATCACTGTAATAAGAAAATGTCGCGGGCGGGAATATTTGCCTGCTAATGTTTATACCCCGAACCCACCGAGACTGGATATTATACCGCGGTATTAATTGATATTGATAAACTGATATTTCAACATCAATGTAACGTTGATAACAATATTATTATGAAAAACACATGTCACCACGGGCAACGGAGACTAGCGATTTTCATTCATGCCTAAAATATTATTATCATCGTCGACGGTAATCTATAATGCGTAAATACACCTATAACACCGGCAAGGCAGTAACCGTATTATTATAATACCAGTCACGTACGTGTACACCGAAACACACGCACCCGGCTACACTATTGCGCGCCGACACGCACAAACGTCGACATCGCGCGGGCGGTGGCGGCGGCGGCGGCGGTGGTCTTTGGCCATATTTGATTCCGCAGTCGGCTCGTATGGATTTTCCGAAGTCGCCGTCGCGAGTACGCCGCCGTCCCGGGACGTTTATATTCACGTCGCTTCGCCGCCCGCCCCACATCCACCCCGCCCGGCGCACGTGCCACGGAACGGCCCGCGTCCTCGTCGTTCGGAAATCCACCGCCAGGGGGTGAACGGTCGCAGGGGGAGCGCTATCGATCCGGCTGCCGCCACTTAACCACAGCGACGGCGGTTACGGAGGCGCGGACACACAGTGCTACGCGCGTGAAAGAGCAGTCGACGACGACGCCTTAAATAATTTACAATACAATACAATACACAGATACGCGCGGACGTTTTTCGCACGTTCGTGAAAACCGACGACGCGAGACAAAACGTAAGTAATATAATATCAATATAATTTTCAATAGTAATTTGTTTTTCAATTTATAAGAAAAGAAAAAAAAAAATCCCGTTTATTTTACAGACTTTATTTTGTTTACCGCGGGGCTTATTCTGCCCTCGTTTATAAAAACCCGTGTTCAAATAATCAGTCAAAATTCCATTCTCAACGTTCAAACAGTCTTTTACCACCAATGTCAATTATCTGAAACGAAGGTAGGTAATATTGTTCTTAAGTGTGTTTAAAGTTTGCGTATGGGATTGTTTGATATAAATATATATATGTGTTTTTTTTTATTATTATTATTATTATTATTATTATTTTTGGTTTTTTCGACTGTTTAGAGTTTAAGATTTAAGACTTACAAAATTCTTAAATTAAAACAGCAAAAGTATTCGTTATATTAAATACCTATAGATCAATATTAGGTTAAAATCGTTTAACAATTGATTATCAGTCATGTTTTTATGAACCTTCTTGTATTTTGAGATAAATATTTATAAAATCCAATATTTCATAACATTTGACTATCTACGCCCACATTATTGATGTCATATCAACAAACATTCTCACAAAAAAAAAAAAAAAAAAAACAAAATTAATAATTTATTATAATAAAATAAAAACCGGCTACCTTCGGTATACTGGTGACAGGAATCGAACTAACTACCTATACAGTTTATAATCTAACGTTTAAACCTTATAGGATACGCTTACCTAACAGACATCACTCGGTGTTTCTTAGGTGTGGTTAATCCTAATTTAGTTTTTTTTTTAAAAATCAATTTTTCATGTTTCTAGCCTTCATTTATGTAGGTTTTAGGCGTGTCTTACCACCATATTATTTTTTTTTCAGATTATAAATATTAATGTGCATACCAAGTTAGAAAATTAAAAAATCTAATTAAATACCTCATAACAGAAACCATGTCTGATACTTGATAAATGTTTTCTTTTTGTAACAAATTTAATTTTATCATTAATTAGATTATGAACTTAGCGAAGAGTGTATTGGTTTTACTATGGTGTGTGCTTTTTCTTCTCTTTCCGTTTACAGGACATCGACCAGAACACTTGTTCTAATCATTGAAATCTGTGATGATTTCTGATATCAAGTATCGTATCTATATTTATATACTTTTTTTAATGGGAGACAATGAGAAAAACGGAAATATTTAAGTATAACGCTACTGGTTTTCGTCAAAAACGATTTTGACTATTTTAATAATGAGAAATAACCGGAGAGTACTGAAATTGAAACAGATTAATATCTACTATTCGATTAAACCTGATGCAGTTTTCAAGATAGTCTATAAGTAATAGTTTTAAGTTAAAATGTATGACAATAATTTTAAATAGAGAAAGTGTAATTTATAAAGGTAGTTAAAAATTATTTAAATTTAGCAAACTTTCAATCAATCCCCGCTCAGAATCGTATTTTATTTGTAATAATTTAAACTTAAGGATTAAAATGAACATTTCTCTTAGGTACAAGGTAAAATAACAAATTAAACAATTAATGTTTATTTAGTAAAATAAATTGTTCTCGTTTTGAATATTTTCAACGGTTTTATTATTCATGAATTATGAACAATAGTAAACTCAATTCTTAAATATTATGTATAACAGTTTGTTTTTTAAAAAAGCAGTGGCATAACCAGGATTTATTTTCCGTGGGGGTTTTATGAGTTTGAAAAATAAATAAATTTCAGATGGTGTTTGGTGGGATGGAGGGAGTAAGGTTTAATTAGGTTTAAGAGTAAAATCTTTAAATTGTCTAACTTTCATTTATAGACAATGCACATTGGAAAACAATTTAGACTCATATTAATTATGTATTTAAAATATATACTTTACTCATAAGTACATGATGGACCATTTAACCTTTTGAGATGTTTTTTGATAGTAATTAAAAAAAAAGTTATTAATTTTGAATAATTTTTCGTTTATTTTAGACATGAAAATATGTTCAGATTACTTTTTAAAATAATATCGTGTAAATGGTCGCCTTCAGTGTGAATGGTGTATTGTGCTCGTTTTCGGCATTTCCCATCACTTTTCGAAGTGTTTCCGGCTGAATAGCGGCCATTTCCTGTCATATATTACCTTTCAATACTTCTAGGATCCGTGGTTAGGTTCAGATTAAGTAAAATCTAGACTTTAAACAACCCCACAGAAAATAGTCTGGAGACGTTAAGTCGGGTGATCCCGGAGGCTAGTCGAAATCACCATTTTTTTTTTTCGAAATAAAGCGTCCGAGGAACAAAGGATGTAATAAAGCGATTATGACTTGAGCTGTATGAGCTCTGGTGCCGTCTTGTTGAAACCAACAGTCGTTTATGCCTTTATCAGTCAGAAATGGAGTCAAAATATCCGTTATCATGGCCGGATAATGCTCTCCGTTGATGGATACAGCTGCTCTAGCATCTTCTTCGAAAAAGAACGGCCCAAAGATTGTTTTCGTAAAAATTCTGGCCCAAAAAGTCACACGTTGATTGTTAAGAGGTTTTTCGTAGATTAATTGAGGGTTTTAGTTGGCGTAGACCAACAATTTTGTTTATTTATGGTCCCATTTAACCATAAATACTTCAAAAAGTGATGAGAATTGCCGAGAAACGAGCACGTTATGTTACTCGTTCTAAAGACGACCATATAGGCGATTATTAAAAAGTAATAAGAACAAATTTCCAAAATAAACGTAAAATTATTCAAAATTAATAATTTGTATTTTTTATAAAATTATTACCAAAAAACATCCCGAAGGTTCAAACGGCCTACCCTGTGTATTAATAATAATAATTTACAGTTTAAGATTAATTCTTCGAGTAAAGTGCCTCAACATTAAGCACTGAATCTGGTTTGTTCAAAACTTCAATGTCTGTATATATGTTTAAAGTGGCCATTTCATTAAGTTTCTACTGTCCTGTAATTTTTATTAAATGCGTTTTTAGCCTCTTATTTGTAAAAAATGATCTTTATAATTCTAGATGTTATCAATTATTTATACATTTCAAATTGGTATGAAAATCATAAAATTACGTAGGTACTACGTAAAATTTGAAAAAAACTAACAATCATGTTTCGTAGGCTCACCACCCCCTCCCCCCTAGTTGCGTCACTGTAGAGAAGTAATGCAAGTAAATATATATAATATAATATAACTACATAATTACATACAACTGAAAATGAATAGTGAGAAAATATATATAATATACTGAAAAGGAAAATAATATAAAATCATATATTATATAATTATATGAAGCTACGGAACTGCAATTCATTTTATTAAGTAAGATTCAAGTATATATTAAACATAAAAAGTTGGGTGAATATTAATTAATATGACAATCATATAAAAACAAGTAATGTCATTGTTGTGGTCTTGAAACTTTGATTAAAATCAACAAATTTAATTTCTTCACTTTTTTATTGCTAAATTTTGGGTTTACAATAAGTCACACAATTACCACGGATTATTCATTGTAGAAGTTATACGAACAAAAATCTATTGGGCATTTATTTATACGTTTAAATTTTTACAATTTTTTCCCAAAAACCATATGGGATGAAAACAAAAAAATCTGATTTTTTCTGAAAATATGAGTGCATGTAAAATGTCTATTTGATCGGACCACAGGAAGTGGGTCAAAAATCTATCATAAGCTTGGAATGAATTTATATGAGCAAGTTATTGTAAGCATGGCTGTTTAAGCAAGCTGAGTTCAAGTTCATTGTTACTATTATTACCATTGTTATTGCTTAATGCTTACTGAATATTTATTACTTTGTGTTTTTTAAAAATTGACAGGGTGATTCTTTTATCGTAATCCATTACCATTATTATAATCAGTTTATCTCTTTTACCTACTTCACTAAGTTTAAATTCATGTATCGTTATAACTAAAACTGTAAATCCAGTATAAGTAGTAGTACATGCATATTATCAACATTTTATAAAAAGTATTATTTTTCTAATAAATATGTAAAAGGGAGGGGGGGTGGAGCCATTTGAAAATCAAAGGTTAGTATTTGTTTAAATTATAATAAGCGTATATATTTGAAATTTTTTTAAAAATATAGATCAAATAATTTTAGAATCATTGCCCCCCCCCCAAAAAGAATAAAATTTACTTAAAATCCTCTGAGAAAATCGTTGTTTCATGATAAAAGAATTACCCTACAATAAACATGCTATTATATTACATGTTATACGTCTACATTGTTTACACACTTAATGACGAGTAATAAATATGATTGAATGAATACAAATTTAAACAAGCGTGTTTCAAGAATTGACTTAGCAATATAGCAATATACTTATAGCTGGCATTTCCAGGGAATTTTTGACTTGCATAACAAAGCCGACATGTTTGAATCTCGGATTTCCATGCTTAATTCAAATACCCATCCCAAACCCTCATACGTTACTGATGACATCCAGGAGTTAGCTGAGCGGGAAAAATGCAAATCAAATATCATCATTCGTGATTTGCCCGAATCTTCATCACCTAACATTGCATCTAAAATAATGGACGATAAGAACACTATTTCTGCACTCTTAACCAAACTATCCACTGATATGCCCATTGAGTTCAAAAATATTCGGCTGGGGAAATATATCTCATCCACACCTCGTCCGATTAAACTTATTTTTACCAGCCGTGATGTCGCTGCTCAAGTAATGTCGGCTTTTCGATCTGCAAAATCAAACTCTGCTATATCTTTACCTCCGATTTCCATGGTTCGTGACAAGACTCGGCTCGAACGTGAATTACTTCGGTCCTGTCATCAAGAGTTGAATCGTCGTATTCGAGCCGGTGAAACTGATCTCATCATATCTTACCGAAATGATGTCCCTTGTGTACTGAAATTAAAGATATCACATGCCACCAACCGTCGTGCGTAAACGGATTAAACCGGTCCTGTTCCGTCAACTCAATGGGTTTTTAACAAAACTGCTGTGGTCTTCGTAAAAAAATACTCACTTTTAGTTTTAGTATACAGCTCAAAAATAAAAATTTTAATTATTTATTCATTGTTCTTATTGAAACTTGGTTAAATAGTTAACTAATTTCAAATTAATGAGGTCTAACAAATATTATAATTTATACAGATGTAATCGATTCCTTTGCACTTGCTCATTTTTCAGTTCTTTTATCTATTTCTAATCACTCTATTGATTTACCACAGAGATTTGAGATTTACCACTCAATATTTATTCCGTTTTTTTCTCAACCACATCATCGCAATAGGTGGGGTACTTATATTATAATTACCTACTCAATGCCCAATTAACATCCATATTATACCCACCTGTCCACAACCGATTCATTTATTCTAAATTACTATTCTCAATCATTTATTATGTGTGGTGATTTCAATGCATTAAGTACAACATCCCTTATGTTTACTCTATTCATAAAATCTTCCTATTCCGCATTCCATAATACTAAACTTGTAATATTTGTTATTTCCAAATAACATGTAATTATTATATGGGCATTATTTTAACGTTTGCCTGTTACCTTTTGCAAGCCGACCTTCGTCAATTTATTGTATATGACAGGTTCTTTGCAAATAGGGATAAATGGACTTTGACGTATGGGACAAGTTGGGAAAAGTGGACGTCAAAATAAAGTTTTAAAATAAAATTTAAGAAAGTTAAAAATAGTAAAGTTTAAAAGTTACTTACATAATATGAATTAAGTGAAATATTTTGAGCGAAAAATAAAAATTGTATACTGTTTCCCACGAACAAATTTTATTACAGTTCTAGTTAATTTATAAATTATAAAATCAATGATAAGTATGTACATAAAATAACTAATCTTATTGTAAGCACCTTATCGTTTATTGTTACATTACATCCAAGTTTTTGGTTTTTTATCAACTGCTTACGAAAAATTGTAAAAATAATTGGACAAGATTTATTTTACAGCTAACTTACAGGTAACAGCCCCTCTAAAAAATAAAGAAATTTATTAATGCGGAAACGAATTTTAGGAATTGTTCAAAGTTATGAAAGTAAAATTAAAACAATATTCCTACGTGGAATCGCTCAAAATATTTCATTTTATTTTATTATATATATGCATTTTTAATTATCATACTTCTATCTTTTTAAACATTTCTTGGCCTATTATTATAAATATATAGCACTTTTTTATATTATATTTTAATTTTTTTTTACTGATATTTGTTTATATTTATTTTATATTATTTTTTTGGTGTCCAATTGTTCCAACCGACCACGTCCATTTATTCTAGATCGTGTTCCTTGGTATTCCCATAAACATTATACTCTATTAATTTAAGTAATTTATGGTACTCTTATTTTAATATTTTGTATTGTAACTCAACTAGTTATAATTTTAAGTTATATAGTCAACCTTGGACATCATTGTAAACTTTTAAACTATAATAATTTTAATTTGTAAAAATCGTAAAATTGTTTTATTATTTAATAAAACTGTTGAATTTCCTGTTTTCGTGTTCGCCCCACAATAAATAAGTATAAATATATTATAAGTTTTTTCAACTCATTGAATTCACGTTAAATGCATAATCAATATATATTTTTTTTTTTTAATTATATTGACTTTTCTACAGAAGCCAAATAATATGCATCTAAAGTTACATAAAAAAAAAAAAACTAAAAACTTAGACATTCTCATATGGCTATAAATAACTCAACAAATTGCCAGTGTTTTGAAAATTGTACTGCGTCTAGAAATTTTGTTTTGTTAAAAATGTTAAGTCTCAACGATTATTGATAAGTGTAGTTCAACAAAATTAACAGAAAGCGTTATTGTGTAAATTTATTCGTTATTTGGTATTTTCTCCAGTTTTTCTTAATTATTAAAATACTATAGAAAACATCAAAAAATAACTTCCTCAATACACTAATTAAACGAAATAATATATTAAAACCACACCCAAAGTTGATAATCAGAGCAAGATTTCTGATAGAAAAGTTGTTACAGGTAGGCACACATTATACAGTACCAATATATTTTTTCTACAACTAGGATCGCAGTAATAAAACAATAAAATGCAAAAAATACTATAATGTTAATAATTTATGACTAAACGATAAATTTTGAATAATGAAAAAAAAAATATTTAATTTATTTCAATTGATGATGGTTCATATTTTTTTTTGTTTTGAAACAAAATGCAAAAAAATACGTATCGTTCCTCCTTTGAGTTCGTCAAAATACGTAATTAGAAAGGGAGCGCAAAAAAAAAAAAAAAAAAATTAAAAATAGTAGAGGCGCTCCACCCGAATGTACCCAATTCGGACAATAATGTGCCCTGTGTACACAGAATTTATCGTATATGAGTCTAACGATTAGACGATAGGTAGTATAATATATTATAACAACCAAATAGTTTATTATCTTTAGCTCCTCGACTATTTTAATTCCGAGTTCCAGCGTAGGTTACGACCGTTAGTCTATGATGATGACGTTTCACGTACAGACGGTTCACGGTGGCGGCGCTTGTTGTTTATAGGTTTTCTTCGGGAGACCTCTCGTCGGAAGCTGACGATGCTGATCCGTCTATGGCACCGGTCGCAGATCATTCAACTGGTCCTGTTCCGGGCACATCGGCGCCGGGCTCACAGACGCAGCAACGGGCGCAACAGCGGCAGTACGCGTCTAAAACTTCGCGTTCTCAGGCCGCCACCCCGGCTTCCGAAGCGGCGGACATGCGACTGGAGTTCCAGCAGCAAGCGGGCAGCCGGACTATTAGCGCGCCGACTAGTCCGGCTAAGACTAGGGACTCGATTCTGCAACGCGTCCAGTCGCTGACGGACGCGGCAAAAGAAAAGGCTAATTCACTAAGTAACGACATCAAGTGTGAGTATTGAGTATTATTATATTATTGTATCGTGACATTATTATGGAACAAATTCGTAAGTGGCAAACGTTTGAAATGGTTGAATACGTCAGCGGCTTCCGCTAAAATAAGTCAGTAAACATCGCTCTATGAAATAATAAAAAAAACAACTTAATTGATAAGAAAAAAATTCAAGTAATATCGTATGATTTCAATCATAGTCTTTTTAGTTAAAATCAGATCAACGAAATATTAGAGCGAACGGTCTTTAGCTATCTGCGTTATCGAAATGTGTTAACGTTTGCAATGTCGTTTGGCGAAAGATACGTTGAATTTCGCTATTATTTTGATAATAAAGAACGACAAACGTTTTAAACGTTTGCTGTATTCAAAACTACTCTTAATACCTACTGAGTGGTCCGAAAATCACGTCATAATTTGGTGTTTAAGTGATTCGTTTTTGTTTTCTCGGCACTTTAAAATGCCACTAAATTTAATATTTTAATACAAGTAAAACGATATAGGTACGACCTTTAACATTTTGTATAGATGTTAGGTACACAGTGAATAAACCTTTTAACGCGATTTTTAATATGTCTCTGCGCGTCCTATAATTATCAAATACGTGTAACGGGATTTAGGTTAGGACAAAATACACGATAAATAATTGGATTGTGGATGAGAAAAAAATATCAACAACTCGAGAACGCATAATTAATGTGTACATTTAGATGAATTTCTGGGTATTTTCCGACTGGTTACGCTTTCGATTTGTCACGATAAACAACGGTCCTAAGAAAACGCGAACGTTTTTGTTTTAAACCCTATAACGCCGTGGTTTTTTGGCTAGAGAAATAGGATTAATTAGAGAAACGGTAGTTAGGAGGAGTGCGATTACGAGAAAGTGACAGTGATTTAGACCTTTAATCGTGCGTTTTGATAACGCGAATGGGGCGATTGATTATATAGCATTAGAGCCTATAGGAAACCATATAATAACTGCTACCTATCGTATTACGTGACAACCGATTTATATAGTCGTAAACTAAATAACTGAAGAGCGATAACCTATAATTACTATTATACTGTTCAAGTTTGTATCGAGTTCGTAGAGATTGTATGTAGGAAAAATAAAACAGCCGATTGTTCGTCAATTACGTCGTTAGTAAGATAGTGTCGAGATTATTACCGTAAAAACCGATTACCAAGCACGTCAGGGTTATAAGGCGTTTTAAACTTATGTTTAGAAATCTGAAAATGATTTCAATCATAAACAACTAATGCCGACCGTATTAAGGAATGGAGAATAAACAATTTTAAGGCGACTTTATAGTTATGTATTTATATTTCAGTAACTATTAATCAGGTTAAATTATCGTAATAACAAAAGCCCCTTTATTAAGTTCCTCTTATTTGTTTAAAACAGATGAAGAAAAAAAAAAAAAAATGAATTCTATTAATATTATAAGTCACAAAAAAAATACATTAACAGAATTTTTTATTATGAAACATTACACATTGAAGTACAATATTTAGAAAACGGGGGAGAATTTTGTGTCAATAACGAAAAAAATAAATAACAAGTCATGGGTAAAAAAAAAGGTTTGTACAGATTTCTTATAGGCTCTTATCCTTTTATTTTATATTTAATATTTTGAACAACTACTAAAAGTGCCATCGATAAATAATGTACTTATAATGTCGCATAACACTTCTAGATTACTTTTTGTCGGAAAAACAATAACATTTTTGTCAGTGGCGTGTATCCAAAACAAAAAAAATCGGTGTTACTCAAATAATTTTAAGTGACCTACCCCTCGTAGTATTGTTATACCTACCGATAAAATGTATGTCTATTATTTATTGTACCATAAAACGGGGTGACTTTGAACAGATTTTGATGTTTTTTAAAATTATTCTCTAAGTAATGATTAGAAAAATTACAAAAAAAAATAAATAAATAATGTATAATGTATATTTATATTTTTCTATAATAATAATACTAATATAGTCGTTTTATTTCATTACTGTCCTTCTATAACAATACCCACACACCCATGTTTAAAGTGAGCAACATTTGGACCCTATATTACACGCCACTGATTATTGTTATCGTTAACTAACACAAATGAATCGTGTGTATTATTAACTAATGTCACTTAGTTTCCCGGGATCTGATTTTTACCGCTTTGAAACGTAGACAAATGATCACGGGCCCATTTCGCAACTATTATGGCCCCGTCAAAAGCGATCGGCAATCCGTATCCAGTCCCCTTAATCCGTAAAATTGTACCGACGTAATTGTATTAATTGTTTATTATACACATTAATATTAATGGCAAACGTGTAATAATAATGTCGTTATTGTAACGTTACAGACGCGGCGGCTACTAGGCGGCAACAGAGAGTGAACAAAGACCGTATGCTGACGTTGCTCGTCGTCGACGACGAGAATTACGACTGGTAAACAAAGCGAACCGTTCGGTCGTCGGAAACGGGCGCCGGCCTATACCGACTTCAATATAAATACATTTTTTTTTTTCTCATCGTAGGTCCAGATACTTCCGGGGCAAGCGTTTCTTTGGCGATTTCGAGGTGCACGTCGAACAAGCCGATATCAAAGACCTGACCGTTACCGCGAGCGCGGAAAAAGGATGCACCGTGAGCATGGCAGTGCTCTCGCCGTCCGGTTCCCGCGTGGTCCGGTCGTTCAGGCCGGATTTCTTTTTGTGCCGGCAGAGCGTTAGGGACGCCGACCGGGACTACAGGAACGTTTTGTTGGGTCTGAACATCGGCGGCGTGCCCAGTATCAATTCGCTGAACTCGTTGTACAATTTTCAGGTACCTGCATTATCATAATATACGCGCGACAAACGGCACGGCGTATTGTCCGGGGTCGTACAATCATAATAATATGATAATATATAGATATATTATGTGTGCTAAGATTTTACAATCGTTGATTTAGAGGGATAACATAAGGAGCCTGGGCCACACACTCGTCTGCCTAATCTCGGTAATGTAGGCTATGGTTTAATAAACAACTTTTGTAAAGTTGCGAAGTAAAATTCACCTGAAATATCCGACAAAATGTAAAGAAAAAAAAAATGTTTTTTAACTGTAATATGAATTTTGGTAAATATGTTTAACAGGGTAGTTAACTACTTTTAAGTACTTTGTTTCACCCTAATCCAAAAAAAAAAAAAAAAATTAAAATAAAAAACAGTCCTAAATCTGCCACATGAAAATTTGAATAATAAATGCATATTTTTAGGTACGATAGATGCATTAACAATAACTGTTTTTACTTTGAAAATAACGATAGTTTATATAAATTTATTTTATTTCTGTAAATCATAGGATAAGCCATGGGTATATGGGCAATTGGTGCAACTTCAGAAGAAATTGGGCAAAGAAAACTTCCCGCTGATTGAACAGACATTTTACCCGAGTTCCGGTGAAATGGTAAGATAAAAACACATAGTAAAAGTGTCCATGGGAATCGATAATAGAATGTAATTACTTATGGTATTGCGTTTCAGTCGGTGGCTACTCAACTACCGGTGGTACTCAAAGTCGGACATGCTCACGGCGGTGTGGGTAAAATAAAAATCGAAAACAATGCTGACTTCCAAGATATGACGTCAGTCGTATCTGTTGCTTCGACATATTGTACCACGGAACCATTTGTTGATAGCAAATACGATTTGCATTTGACTAAGATTGGTACTCACTATAGAGCTTTGATGTGAGTGATTTCTGTGATCATAATATTGTTAATCAGCTAATATGGAACACGTGTCTTTTAGGCGCAAAAGTATTTCGGGCAACTGGAAATCTTGCGTAGGTTCAGCGATGTTGGAGGAAACCGAAGTTTTGGAAAGATATAAATTTTGGCTGGATTCCGTGGCGGAACTTTTTGGTGGTTTGGATATTTTGGCATTGGAAGTGGTCGTATCAAAAGATGGAATAGAGAATATCATCGGTGTTAATGATTCAGCATTGTCCTTGTTGGGTAATCAACAAGACGAAGATAGAAAACATATTTTCGATTTGGTTATGGAAAGATTAGAAGTAAATGTGAACATTTATATAATTTAATGTTAGATTCAAGTTCACATAGGTTTAAGAACATATCGGATAATGATTCTATCGATTGATTTAATATTAAATTAATTCATTTTATGATTTTTGATTATATTTTGTTAAACGTGTGTGATTAAGATTATTAACAAAATGTATTGAACTTTAGGTACAAGTTTTAGCAAACATGGGTCCTCAGACAATGGCACCTACACTGCAAGAAGAAGAACCACCAGCTATTCCTGCAAGACGAGATTCTTTAGGTAAAACCGGTTATAATAGTTTAGTAACACAAAAAATTACATACTTAATTGTCGTAATAAAAATCAATATTTGTTCTACTTGATTAGTGTCCGAAAGCAGTGTGACCAGCAGTCACCAGTCGTCTAGTCAGCCTCCGAAAACTAATTTGAGCCGTCAAGGTTCGATAGTCTCAGCTCCGGTACCCGCGTCTCAGAATAAAGTGCCAGCATTGGACGATTCCGAAGACACTATGAAAAATTTGAGAAAAACGTTTGCAGGCATTTTCGGTGAAATGTAAACTCACCAGAACAATGTGTCATTATAACCAACAAAAAAATATTTAAGATAATAACCAATATTTTTTTTCATGTATAACAATTGAACGTCTTTTTTTAAGTAATATTTTAACAAATTTTATGTTCATTTAACAAAGCGAAAATCATAGTTTAGTAACGATAATTATAATATACGGTAGATTGAAAACCGTACGCGCACTAGATATAAACATTATACAATGATACATTGACTGATGGGATCAAAAATAAAAATCTCCGAGGACATAATATTATTGTTTAAAAAAATTATTTAGAAAAAAGCCTGTTAAGTATTTATTATTGTTTAATATTGAAACTATCGTTTCGTTTATACGCTAATATTTGTTTTAGAAAATAATTCTCATCCGCCAAAATTTGACGGTTCTAGATTTTTAAATATACTTACGCTATCAATATTAATATTATAACTATAACACTTAGGTATAGATACTCTAAAATATTATTATTATTATATAGTATAGGTATAGTGTAGATGTTCTATAGTACATTTTTGACTTTTAAAACAGTTGTAACCGTGGTTAAACATGGCATATTGTGTGATCAACTAAAGCAATACAATTTATAAATTATTATGATAATTGTAGAAAATAAATAGAATAGACATAATCTATATAATATACGGATATTATACAATAACTCTTTTGGCTTTGTATACCTAAAATTATTGATTTTAAATTCTCTCCTATATCAAATATAATATAACACATTTTTCATATTGGTAACCCTAGAATATTTATTGAAACTTTAATATACCTAGTTAGTAAGTTTTTGACACCAAAACAAACAATACAATAATAATGTTAATTTTTCATAATATTTTTAAAAGATAAAATAACTTTATATTCCTAATTTTAACGCAGTAACATTTTATAACAATACTATTATATAAAATAATAATTTACCATCATAAAACGTAATATATTATTATATACTAATTATAAATACAATTATAATTACAAAACATATAAAACTAATAGTAGTTGATTTTTTTCTTTTATAGTTATTCGAATTTGATACAATATTTTATGACAATTATACTTAAATAAATTTTAATTATTATTACTATGATTACTCTTTGTTAGATTCATAGTATATACTATCGTATTTGTACGAATCTCAAATTGTAATAATATTTATTCACGATAAAATTGTTGAGAAATTAACTAATTGAAACATAATTCAATGTTTTATGTTAAATTTGTTTGATTATTATGCCAAATTATTGGGAATATTTTACGTTGGTTCAAAAAAAATTGAAAAAAATTGGTTGATACTACTAAGGGCTGATGCGTGTGTCACTATTTAAGGAGAGAAGTTGAAAGGAAAGATATATTTGTTATGTTTGTAATATTTTGCTAAAATGTTATATTTTTTTTTTATTCATGTGGTTAGGCGTCCAAACCAATGATTATTCAGTACAACCTTGTTATATTATAATATACATGTGTGGGTGAATTAAATAACCCATCCCCCCATCAAGATGAATATATAAATTTGCCACTGTACAATCTGCGTAATTTCTGAGTTTTGCTTAGTTATTACATGAACTGCCAGAAAAATAAAAAAAACAAATTACTTATACCTAAACCATATTAAAAGTTCATCTAGAAAGGTCCATTGTCGTTTTCCTTTTGAAGCAATATATTTTTTCTAGAAAACATGACCCGTAAACATTTAAAATAATAAAATCGTTTCGCTGCAATTGAAAAAAAAATAGTTTTTTTTTTTTTTAAATATTAATATCATTCCCACTTATTATGAAAAATACTTTTGATAACAAAAAAAAACTTACTTCGATAGTGGCTATATGTAGGAGGAACAAAATAAATCTCTTGTTTTTTTTCAATTAGAGTAATATTTTTGGTAGAAAACTTAAGTTGAAAAAATTAAAAACCATGAAAACAGTAACGCCGTGGCATGCCTTAAATATTTACCGGTTTACCTATAATTTTCTTTCAGATTTTTCCCAATTATTTTGAAAACTCCATAGAATATCAAAAAATGTCCTCCTTAATGCACCAACTAAATAAAAATACCTTTCAAAAAAAACCTTTCTGTTTGCTCACAGACTAGTTAATTAAAAAAAAATAATTGAATATATATTTTTTTTTTTATAAATAGTTTTAAATTGAATATATTTATAATAACCATCACACTGAGTTATTAAATATTTTCTTAAATAGGAAAATTTAAATGATCTGTTATCAGCTTAAATATTTTTACGGGTGTTTGGGTGATCAGCGAGGAAATGTACAAGATGCGAGGAATGTACATTGTAATTTCGATAAAATATAACAATATTGTTAAAATACCAACAAAACTTCCACTTTTACAGTTTTGTAAACAAAATGGTCAAATTACATGCATTTATAAATGAAAAAAGGTCAAATATGCAAACATGCAACTATACATTTTATATATAAGTTCGATTTGCCATGAAACACATTTGTAAATTACTTTGCTACAGGTATTTTTGACAATTATATAAACATATGCAAACTCTTAGAAGTGCCTATTTCTGGTAATAATAAACTTCTAAAAATTGTAAGGTCTTCCCCCATCCCAAACAATTGTTGATTTTTCTAGAACACTAATTGGCAAAGAATAATGTGAAGCGAAGAACTATTAGAATAAGAAATCATAGAACACTTACTTCAAAACAATGTTTTCTAGTCTTATCAGTTCAAAAATAAAATTAAAATACAGATTGATCAACCCTCGATAATACGCTCATTATTTCGGAAAGGCGCCAATAGTCACTCCGTCACCGCTGTCGTACTCAACGACATTTTTCAGTCAATATTTTAGTAAAATTTACTCATGTTGGTAACTAACTGCAATATGTTTTATTTATTTTTATTTGATTTTTACAGAAACAGCACGCCTAATGATTCTAAATAGGTAAATCGATTAATATATTATTATAATTTGTATCACTGTTAGCATTTTGTATTTTACTTCCAAATTATTTCAACCTATATTATATTCTAAATATAATAAAGCCTTAAGACAATCTTTATTTAGAAATGTATTTTCACCATTAATCAGTAAAGTATTATGAACACGCAGTGGCAGTCAAATAATTATATCACGAGGGGAAGGGTGGGAGAATGATGAAATAAATTGTTTAACATTTCTAACAATTATTATTATTTACATTATCATTATCATTATTTTTTTATTTTTTGACAAATACGTATTATAATATTTGTTATTATAAATATTGAGAGGAAAAGTTTCATGGGGGAGTTATATCATTCCGTTCGACCGCTCTTGTGTACATGGACCAAAATCTTCGAAATTTAATCAAACTCTATTTTTTTAAACGATCCTTCAAGTCCATAACTCGACGAATTAAATCGATTTTTGTCGATTCTTTTATTCTCGTCTACACGGTTGAATTCATCATCATCTTCGAAAAATTTCTCGTATGATTTTAAAAGTTGCTTTGCTTCATCTATGTACAACAAGAATAATTGAGGTTGATTGAATTTTATATTAGTTCAAAGTTTTCATATTTAAGAATCACTATTAAAATTATTTAAAATAAAATTCTGTTTTTTTTTTGTATTACACCTATTTTACCTTTTAAGACTTCCAAAGATGGACTTTTTCCACCCATGTCGCTTGGAAAATATTCTTGAGGAATTGATTTATAAACAGTGTCCATATCGCTCATGGTGTGTACTGAAATCTGAAATAAAATTGTTGGATTGAGTTTGAGATAATCTTATCACTACATTTTACATTTTACATCTTACTTAAAATAATAATCGTGTTTAAAAAATGCAAACGATAGTATAATTATTCTTACCAAAGAATACAGCTCTCTTTGCATTAACGGTTTCAAGAACATCAACAACTGATTGACCACCGATGGAGCGTTTATCATGTGGACAGCAATTAGGCGCATCGGTAGAGCTGCCTAAGAAAATACAAAATTTGCTTATATATTATTGAATAATTTTAAGTTTGTGGGAGAACAGCGGTGAATTACTTATTGTATTGCGTTATAACAATTGTAACCTACGCTAATATTGGTACGTAATGTTGCTATACAGCAGAGTCTCCCACGAAGATATGCTCATTGATATATCTCGGAAAGTATAACATTTGTCGGATTTTTTTTTGTTTATTGATAATTTAATAAACAAAATATCAAATTATTACTAATATTTTCTGAATATTTCGGAGATGTTTAATTATAATATGTAGCGTAATTTTATATTTTTTATTAAGCACTATTAATAAAATTTATCAGACCTTTTTAAATTTTAATATCATCCTCTTCGAACAGACTCATGTAAAATAAGTAGAGAAATCAAATGTATATACAATTATAATAGTAGAACACTACTTCAAATGTTTTATATAGTTTACCATATGAAAATCAAAAATCGGTTCACTCTCAAAACTGAGGGTGACAAAAAATAATGGTAACTAATATAACAATTTAAAGATCTTTGTTTATAAATTATCAAAAAAAATTAAAAATTCCGGAAAATTTTAATAATTTCCAAGATAACGCAATGATGATATCTTCGTGAAAGATCCTGTATTAGTAGGTGCTTATAAAACTTTATCCTTATGCATATATCAATTCAATTTACTTGTATGTAGTGTAAGCATTTTTTCATTATCGTCAAATTGGTCAGTTTAGTTAAATGGCCTATGGAAAAACCGGTCATGTCCATAACGAGTTTCCACCCCGGGACAACCGGATCCTCGTTGATGCAAATATCGCACATTGCGAACACTAGACGTATGGTGTCTAACGTGTTAAAAACGTTAGAGTTGAAGTCTCGCAGACGCGAAAATCCCAATCGGTAGCCGTTAGGTTGAACCGGCATTTTTTGAAAATAGCTACAAAATAACATAACGGTTATATAAATAACAAATACTAGTTAAAATGATATTAAATTTGAGTTCTTACAATAAATCTATAGTTTTATAGAATTCGGAGATTTTTCTGTTGGCGAACATCTCTGGTGTTTGGGTTCTCATCGTGTAATACGAATCAATCATTTTTTTCGCGTTTTCCACATTGCACCGACAGCAATTTAAAAATATAACTAATTGTTTGTCTATAAAAAAAATTCAATATTAGATATTTACTACATAGGTATACAGTTTATTATAAACTCCGCATAAATATTTTAATTTATGTAAGGTAAAACCACGTACCTACATTATTAATTATTATTCAAACGAAACGCGACAGATTTACTAAAAATATAACTGTATACAATTTATTATATTATCTAAATATTAAATGTGTAGTTTTTTAAATCGTGAGTTAACTCGACAATTATTTCTTTACTGCGTTATTTGAATTATAATTCGTGCAATTGTTCAATTATAATTTAATATACAATTGAATTCATGTACATAAGTATAATAGGTACCTGATATTTCCGGTAAATGGGGTTGTTTTAATAGCCATTCCTTGATTATCTCGACATTATTTTTACCGACTTTGGAAATAAGCTGTTCGTCGTTCATAGTTATTATTTTATTCAATTCGGACGGCATTGTAGTGTTAATATAACTGGCGTAGAAATGTTTGAAAATAAATTTGTACACCTCTTAAGACTTCCAAGAAGGAAGAACTACTGACTACGCGATAGTTTAAATACTCAAAACACTTACATGCAGGTAGGCACACTTAAATGCACTTCAAAACAGATGATTGTATATTATGGTACATAATGAGTGGTAGGTGGCTATATTAAAAATTATATATTATGATTTATCTAATCTAATCCTTACGAGTATGTTGTTTTAGTAAGTGTCTAATGTTTGGTAAACTATTATCAAACGCGCGTTGTATTATCAAAATTATTCGTAAAATTCCTATTATATAAATAGTAATGTTACGTTATGAAGTGCATCTGTATACAGTGGATACGAAACTTAAGTGTATTTTTCACGAATAAGTAAAATAAAAATATCATTTTATACATATTATGAGAATACAATTTTCTAGAACCTAATGATTATATTAAACAAACAATTATTAGGTAGGTATAGTTGCAGACTATTTTAGCGTGACTAATAATAAGATTCAACTTAGAATTTAATTTCAGAGAAAAATGACGAACCGTAGTAATTATTATTAATAACCGGTGAATTTGGTGATATTGGAAAAACTAGAGAAAAACCACAGAAAATCATTGCATTTTAAATTCTGAAAAAATGTCCCGCTATTTTCATTTACATACTTTAAATTTGATGTGCCTATTATGATTTTAAAGCTTTTAACCCGTTTCTACAATAAAACATCTCAATTATAATTATTTGTAAAAACTACTGTACACGATTAGTGTTCGCTAATAAAATTTACAGTGGTTAAAAAAAAAATAAAAACAATTTGTTGCCAAGGTTTTTTGAATAAATATTGATTGATTTGAGAATGTTGAATTACAAAATATAATTTGTTTCTTCAAATTGGCTCGTATTTTCGAGATAATAATCTAATAATTTAAAAATATATAAACGAATATATTGTTCCTTATGCATACTACACTATTCATCCGATTGCGAATTTTCACGTTGTTCGGAGAAGGCTTATAGATAATTAAATCCATCCCTTATTGAATACCATTCCCTAAAATTAGATTTTTAGGTATTCTTAGTACACAAATCTAACTCTTTTTGTTGATTTATAAGTTGGTAACACGGATGAATAAAAAAACATTGTTGTTAATTTGTGTAGTGTAATCTCTATGCTGTGTGGGTATCTATGGTAATAGCATAACGAATCGGGAAAAGATTAACGAACATTTGAAAACTAGAAATTCGATAATAATACCCGTATACCCGGAAACCAAATTTTTAGTGACACTACATCGAGTACCTAGTGAGTGTGATGTATCACTACAATTATTATAAAATATTATGGATTAAACCTTCGAAGGGTTTTCAAATAGGCAAACAAATTTTACGGTATGTAACTATGTATGATGTGTTTATATTTGAAACGGAGCAAAGAGAGGACAATAATCTTAGATGGTTATCTATACTACTATATAAAATTAAGTCGCTTATTCAATCGTCGTGCAATTTATTTTTTTTTTCTGTGGACAACAACTTTTCTACTAGAGACCTTGCTCCTATCTTTAAGTGTAGTACCTTATCTGAAAGGAAATCGGTTTGTGGAGGTACTTTAAGGAGGTGATTTTTCGATTTTCTCTGGAGTTTTCTTAATAAATGTGGAAAACCGAAATAAACGTAGGAAAAATGGAAAAATCGATACATTAAACAAATATTATTAAAAAAAATATATAAAACCTATTTAATTATTTTACTATAATATGATATATTGTATACAGTTGAAGCAATGGTTAATCGTTGCTCAAAGTTATAAATTACATTACCTAAAACAGTGGCTGTACCTGTCCCTATTATCCTAGAATGTTTTTTTTTTCGTGAGAATACCGTCCGGAACTATACGGTTAATCATTTTCCGGATAGCTACGATCCGTGACAATACGGTATGAATGTTTTGAAATTTCGGGAGAATACAGTTCTTAATAATAAGGTTTTTGTGTTTATTTTTTCCGGATTTCTACAGTCCAAGACTATACGGTCTACGTATCTACATATTTTCCGGATTAATACGGTCCATGAAATTATTTTTCGGGATTTTACGACTTCCTAATTATTGGTATAAATAATTAAAACCACCCACGTGAAATTTTATGTAATTTATATAACGTTACGAATCATTGGTACCAGTTGATCTTTTATTAAATATATTTGGATACTCGTACTATATTTGATATCATAATTTCATCAAAATGTGTAATTCCTTTCAGTAATCAGTATAAGTATGTGAACTTAGTGCTTCAGTAAACCATCTAATAGGTAAATTAGAAATTTCAATAATTATAATTTTCAATTGTTCACGTTCACATAAATTAAAATATGTACAACCTTATAGGTTAGATTAGGTATTGGAATCAAAATGTATTTCAAATAAAAACCCGAATACCATATTATTACAATAAAATTTGATTCGTTATTCCATTTTATCATATTCTGTATTTACTTTACACATTCACTGTCCTCTTCATGAGTCATGTCTACTCCTTCATTCAACAGATAATCTTCATGAAAATTGTATTGGATCGTAGATTCACATTATATTGTATTATCCTTATATGTCTGGTAAAATGAACTATCCAGCTCGTCTTTGTAGTTTTTAAACTTCCTTTTTCGTTCTCGTCTAGTATTTATCGAATGGCTTGTCCAATAACTATCGAGTAAACTTACTTTATGTGTGACTCGCTTTCTCTTATTCTCTCGGTGAGCCGATTCTATTTCTCGTCCCATATATCATTACTTAGAATTGGTTTAGAACAGTTTTAGAATCGGTAATAATAGCACTCTGTTACCCTTCTATATAACTATTGTCAAATTTGGTCGTAAGCCTGTAACAATTATTATTGAGAATGTATAGCAATGCATAACAAACGGATAATATATTATAGTGTAAAATATTCAAATATGAATTTCAAAAATACCCAAGAAAAAAATATTTAGATATAGGTAATAAAACTATTATTGTTATGACACTATAGTGAGTTGGTAGTCATAATTCGTTAGTATAGCGGTATATTTATACAATCAATATCGAATGGCAAAACTTAATTATAGTTTGTCATTCGAATGTATAATAGTACAATCAGCAAGTTACAAAAGACAGATGCCCATTTGAGACATATACGGGTTGGTACAGTTATCGATTTGGTGGGTGGATTCGGCCTGTCTAAATGACGGAACATTGTCCGGAGGCTGCGTAAACTGTGAATGTTGTAATTATTATTGTGGTCCTAATATTATGATAATTGTATTATACAAACCATTTTAGCTTCAGTTTACTTCGCGGTCGCGTTGAACAATAATACCCATTTAATTTGACGGGCGTGGTCGTATTGCAAACTATTTTTATTTTTAAATGGATTAGAATATTGATCGCCTGCAAAATGCGCAAGAAAATGATGTGGTTGATTCTATTTTTAACATTGCACGCGGCTATTGGACTGTTATACAGCGTTCAGTAAGTATTCGGAGTATATTATATACCTAGGTTTATTATTTTAAACTGTATACTGTTTAAAATACTATAACCGGGTATAATAGCCGGTTTAAGTAAGTAGATTTTAGGTTTTAGGTAATTATTCTGCGACCGAATCTTAAAAAAAATTGTGTACTTTTATTCATCAATAATAATATATTAAAATTAAAGAATATATTTGATATGCAATCTATAATATTTAAAATTACACAATATTTGAATTTTAGACTTGGAGCGTTATGAGAGATCTATTGGTGTTATTATGATGTGTTTTTTTTTTTGTATCAGTGAACAACTTTTTTACCAAAAAAATTAATCTTAAGTGTCAAGTATATCACGTTTTCTGAAAGGTAATTGTGTCTAGTTGGTTCATTGAGGCGTTAATATTTTGTTTTTTAAGGAGTTTTCAAAATCAATGAGAAATTGTGTAGTAACACGGCAAATATTTACGGCGTACTACGGCGTTACCGTTTCCATTGTTTTTATCTTTTACAACTTAAGTTTTCTTCTAGAAATATTATTCCAATCGAATAATGATAATTCATATTTAATTACAAGTGAAATATTTACCTAGTATTTTATCAGTGTTTTTAGCTATTTGACATTTTATAATTTTCGTAGTTTTTATTTGGATTTCTGTCGAATTTGGATTTTAATTTAGTAGTCCTTATGGCACTATAGAAATATTGAAATTCTGTAGCCATGATTTTTTTTTTTTTTAATGATCAAGTTTTATTGAAAATTTTAAAAATGTTAGCATTAAGCGTATTAATTTTCGTTTTTAAGTGAATACAATTTTTAGTCCAGGAAAAAATACTCGAAAATCTGTTGTTATGCTCAAAAAAAGTTCTATTTACTGTATTAATGTTTTTTATATGTGTTTAAAGTTCAAGTAAATAGATATTTTCTGATTTATGGGTAAACAAATAGGTACCTATTTTCTGATTTATATAATTGAAACTAATAAAACTTGTTATGGTTTTTTTAAAAATGAAAAAAAAAAATACGAACAACTATAATTTTTTTTGTTATTATTTATTTTTTTTTTTCATTATTTCCATAAAATATATTGTAGTACCTACCTAATAAATATTAAAAAATAATATTTACTGTAAAATAAGTTCATAAATGTGTTTGACAGATTGAAAAAAAAGGACATGACATGGGGATGTGAAATACGATACTCAACTCTCTCCCTCCCGTAATTTCGCCGCTAATGCTGGTACACTACTATGTATTACACGATAATTTCCATTATATAAACGTGTAAAGCACATCTTAAAATATAATACAATACCTATATACAAATTATAAACTTATAATTAGCTTATAATAGGTTTAGTTTTCAGATGTAACAATGCACGCCAGATTTTAAGAGGAGAGTAAGGGCTCTTAAAAAGATTTATTTAAATAGACAAAAAATAGATAATAATTAATAATCATCTAATCTAATTTATCTAATTTTTTAGGATACATAAAGTTAGGTAATCAATTATTATTTTTCTGGAAGCAACGATAACCATTGCTAACGGAAAACGATTGTGAACGAAGTTTGTTTATCAAATTAAAAAGCCCTAATATTTACGATTTTCATCAAAATTTGATCTTAAACCATTATAAGAAAATTAATACATTACACATTACATTTTTTTAATAAAAATTATTGCTTATAATGACCTGCTGTAAAATGTTTAAATATTTATACTTGGTTAAATAATAATATTCATACATAATTTTATTACTGAAGAAAAAAAACTTGCGGAAAAAAAATTGAAAATTCCTTTTTTTATGAACCAGCAATGCACTCACTACTTGGAAATATCATCAAGTAGTATGTTAGATAGCGGTTTGCTATCATTTATTATATAAAGTACTGAACACACGTACATATTTTTTGGGTTGGGGATCATCCTCCTCAAAACAATTCTTTCCTTACATCCAATAAGTAGTAGAAATCGGTTAGCCGACGACCCGTTTATTCCACGTCACTTTCCTTATTCTTGCCCATCGGGATGGAGCTATCCCTTGTCGGCGTTGCCTCTCGCGCTCAACTTCAACATTAGCGGCCATTACGTCTTTTGAGAAACGAACCACGGCTCTCCAGTTTTCCCGGTTTTCTAGAATTACGAGGATTAGTTAACCCGGGCTGAAAGTTCTAATCACGTGGACGAGGCGTTTCCGTTCACTATCCAACGCTTCGCAGCAAACGAGTGTGGAACACTTCGTCCTCCTCCACAGCGTAACCGCCAGATGGTCCGGTGTGGGAGTACCCGGCCGACGGGTCGTGGTTGATTTTGTGAAGGAACCATAAGAAACAGCCGTGCCTCGTTTGTGAAATAATTATAACTATATGGCATTAATAAATAAAATAAAACAAAATTGAAAAAATGAAACCATTAAATATTCGCCGATAACTATTTCTCATTCTCTTTATGTTTTTTCCCGGTTTTTCTCATTTAAATTATACACAGATAATCAAAAAAACAATTTATTGATTCACCTACTAGATCCAAAATACAACAAAAAATGCATCTTATCATTTTTTGATTGTATTAAGATTTCTGTAGAAAAATTGCTCACAGGCTCAACAATTACAAAAAAAACACGCATCATTGTAAAACCAATAAATCCCTCCTAAAATCCCTAAATATTAAAAAGAACATAAGTATGTTATTATTGCATTTTTTTAAATATACTGAAAGTTTAAAGAGCCCTGTGTTATGTTAGGTATGTAAAAACCTAATATGCACTTGTATACAGTAGAAGCTGCTTATTAGAAACACTTTTGGACCGAGGTGAAATGTGTCAATTAACCGATTGTTTCTAATAAATGATTGGTTTTATTTATTTTTATGAAACGAATATATAGTTTAAAAAAATTATCTACTATGAAAAAAAAAAATTATTTTATACATTATCTAATATAATATGTATTTACCGACGAGTCGAAGCACATAGTATAACTTTAAAATAACTCGCACTTCTTTTCCAAACTAAAATCTCGACGTTTAGACATTATAGATTTCTAGACAAATCAAATTCGAATCTGTACATTTAGGTACGCAACTCGGAACTGAACTAAACGGTATCGCTATTCGGGAAATAACATGGTAGAACAGTAGGTACTGTACTTACGATAAAGAACAATAAAAATAAAATAAATTATAATTTGACAAGTGGAAATCAGTACATTGGTTATCGCCAAACAACCGAATTTCGTCGTCAACCATGGCCCTAATTGTTTCAAATAACCAACGTGTTGTTTCAATAATCCAATTGATTTTCAACGTTTTGATATACAACCGGTCCGTCCCTATACATTTCGTTTCAATAACGTGATTGTATCAATTATCCGTGTACTAAATAAGCGGTTACTACTGTATTTTAAAATAATGTAACTTTAGGCCACGCTTTCGATCAGAAAATGGTCATTTATACATCGAAAGTTCTACGAACCGTAACATTACAATAGTTATCAAAGGACAAGGATATATTAACGTAAACAACGAAAATTTACTTCAAGTACTCGGTCAGGTAATACTTATATTTGATTGATTTATTTGTTTATGTAGCTATGAATTAAAACGAGTGTATTTTATTAAAGGCTAAAGAAGCGTGGGATGTAGTTGAATCGTTTCGTACCAACGATTTGCCCGCGTTCACGGATACGATCAAAAATATTTTACCTATGATCGACGGTCCCAAAAGTTTAACCAGTCGTGTGACAGCTCTTGAAATGCAAATGGTTAACAGCACCGCAGTGTCTACATTGCCCGCCAAGGGGGTAAGATTATTTAATTTGATGATTATTGTTATAGCCATGTATTATATTAAATTATTGTAAACGTAATTTGAATGATAATAAAATGGTGTTGTATTGTTATAGAAAGGTGGAAATATTCCGGCCACCGGCAAACTAAGAGTCAGAGTAAGACAAGTCTAATATATCAACTCTAATATTTAATAATGAATAATACAATATTAATGTTCGGTCATGTATGATTAGATAAATAATTTAGAAAAAAGAGTTACCAATCTCGTAAACCTCTTATCGATCAGCGAATGCTCGAGTAATCCGTGTCAAAACGGTGGAACGTGTACGGATCTGTATAACGGATTTCAATGTAATTGTCCGCAAAATTGGCAAGTTAGTATTTCGATAATTTAAACCTATTATACTCAACATAATTCAGTGATTATTCATTTTCGAAAAGAAAAAAAAAATCACTAATAACAGTATTGCAAGCTACCGTTTTGCTTGCATAATATTATATACATTTATTTTATATTCTACTACGATATGCGTTTTTGTAATTTTTTTTGTTCAGTATGTAAACAACTTTTCTACCAAAATGTTGTTTGCCCCGATAATCAAATACTAAGAGGTAATGGGTTCTAGTAGAACATTTTATCTAGTCGGTGCAACGAAGAGGTTATTTCTCGATTTTACTTGTAGTATTCTTAATAATGGGAAAACCTAAGAAAAGCTGTCAGGAAAACTGTTGTATTTATACAATAATGGTTTCTGTGATATCCGATTTTGATTTTCTGTTGTAATTCAGTGCAAAATAATCGTAGAGGCTGGGAATTTCACTGAAAACTTATATAGAGATACAGCTCTTCCCAGACATGGTACCTACATAATAATATCAAAATATTCTGACAATTTTGCAGTAATTTATAGCCATTTACATATTTTCTAGTCTTTTAAGAGTTTAATGGATTTTATGAAATTAAAACTAAGTGAGCTTCAATTGTAAAAAATGACGAAAATATCGATAGAATCCAGTAATCTGAAAATGCTTCAAACCACCTAAAAAAACTGGGCTTTAGAAGAAACACCATTTCCATACGTCAGCTGAAGTATTTGTGAACATTTTATTGTTGAACTGGGTCTAAGTCAGAACCAATATCGAATAGCTAATATTGCTCGAGATTATTATCACTCGTTTTCAGAACGCAATAGAAAATTCTGGGGAGTTAAAATTAAAATTCGTATTGAAGACACATTCGATGTTAACTTACCTCCAATTTAAACGTAAACCAAATTGATGCAAGTTTACAAGCTGCACTACTAGTCTCATCGTTTTATTTACACACCTCGTAAACATAAATACATGATTTATGTAGATACATACAATTTTGTATATCTTCCACATTATACAATCCTAGATCCGCTACTTGTGTAATTCATCGGAGTATAAGCAAGTACAGCACCTATTTGGTATAAATGTAATACCTACTTGTTGTTATATAGGTTATAGATAGAACATATGAATAAAAATAATCATTTTGTGAAGTTTCTTAGTTTCTATATATTACTTTTTAGATTTATATGATTTAGCACTAATCATTTTAAACATTTCAATGGTCGTTAATACCCATTAAGTATGATGGTTACACGATTAATAATATTATAGTTATATAATGTTTGTTTTACTGTAAATTATTAATATCCCAACAAAAACCCTTGGTCAAATACGTGTAAAAACCTCGCTAAGAAAAAAAAAACCTCAAGTTAGAAAAGTTGTGATATCAAAAAAGGGGTTAAGTAATTTCTTAAATTCATTAGTATAAAAATTGTTTATAATTGTTTGTATTTGATGAAGTACGATGATTTAATAAAAATAATTTAACTTAGCTTGGTGGCTACTAATATTTACGACTATAAATAAAGATACAATGTCGAAATTAATATTTACATTCCCATTTTATAATTTATTATTAATACTACATTACATATTATGAGTAGCCGCCAAGTTAAGTTAAATTATTTTTATTAAATTATCGTACTTCATCAAATACAAACAATTATAAACAATTTCTATACTAATGAATTTAAGAAATTACTTAGCCCCTTTTTTGATATCACAATTTTTCTAACTTGAATTTATTTTTTCTTAGCGAGATTTTTACACGTATTTGACGGAGGATTTTTGTTGGGATATCACTTATTTTTTTAATTACAATTTTGGATATAATTAACGGGGGTTTTTTTTTCAATCGAGTGAAAGATTATGGAAAGATTGTTTTATGGATTGAGTAAATAAATATATGATGTATAGCTATGAATATAGGTTATTATGAATGTTGACAGAAAATGGTATTATAGTAATACAGCGGTAAAATAAATAAATAAAATTGTTTTTTATTCATCGCAAACGGCCACCGTCGCAAATTATCAAACAGGTGGTAACAACACGTACAGAATATATATTGTTGAATTATTGACAAAAATATTAATTCGAGTAAAAACTATGCTAATACTGTTACATATTACTCAGGCTGTAATCATCCGATCAACTTAAAATTTACAAAAATATCATACACATAACACACTGATCAACCTATGTAAATTTAAAATCAATCGGTCCATTAAATTTAGGCTATAGAGCGGAGATAGGACCATTTGTCGTAAAATTACTCAGGTTAAATAGGACTAGACCTTCTCGTGTAATATACTACGGTCGACGCAAGTGTTCTTTTTTGTTTTACTTAGCTCTGCACCAAGACCGCGCTAGATTTAAAAAAATATAATTTGTGCACAGGGGAGACTGTGCGAGTTAGACGTAGATGAATGCGTGCGGTTCTTACACACAGATTTGGGATGCCAAAATGGAGCCGAATGTAAGAACACGCCGGGTAGTTACGAGTGCCTTTGCGCCCCAAATTGGTACGGACTGCATTGTACGAAAAAGAAAAACGATTGTAATTTAGCTACGTCGTCCGAGCTCTGCGGCAACGGCGTGTGCGTCAACCAAATGTCGGCGATTGGGTACGCATGCATATGCAATCAGGTCGGTGACCGGTCTATGGACTGATTTTCGTAATTATAATATTAGTTTTATAATATAATATAACGTTCAGGGATGGACGATCGATGACAGAGTAAGTAGTCCGGCATGCACCAAAGACGTGGATGAATGCAAGGAAAACAGGCACACGTGCTCGGTAAACCCGCCTGTCGAGTGTAGGAACACGAGAGGCTCGTTTACATGTGGAAACTGTCCAGATGGTCTGTACCTACACGTAGTATAATACTATAATAAATTTAAATTAATTTATCCAAAAATGTAATTTTTTTTATTCAGGCTACGTAGGAGACGGTTTCTTGTGTACAGATGTTAACGAATGTTTGATCAACAACGGCGGATGCAGCATAAATCCTAGAGTTATGTGCATTAATACGAGGGTACGATAAGTGAAATTTTTTTTCCATTAGAAAACATTAATAAATTAGATGACTGACGATGTCACATGAGCTTTAAAATTAGGTGTGTTAATAACTTTTAATAATCGAAAAACAATAATATCATAGTATACTTGATGAACAAATATGATATGATAGGGATTCCAAACGTCCTATATTGAATCGAGCATCCTGTATGTCCTTCATTATTACATTTTATAATTTCAAAATTTGTTTTATAAATTTTAAATGATAATAATATCTTGGTAATTCAAAAAATTCAATTTACAAAATACATTTAGTGTAAAGAAATAGAGATTAATAATTGAAGGTCAGAAATTATATTTTTAGATTCTGAGTGGAGGGCAGAATGTATTGGGTTTATAATAATGTTTTTTTTTCTTTATTTTTTTTTATATTGTATACACACATTTTACTATACTATTTTTCATGAGAGAAAGTTAGTGTTTCGAGTATGCAAACTGAGCTACGGATCGCTGCCGGATTACACCTGTCCCGATAGTAGTGGGAGCCCTTGGCGAGATGCGGCGTGGGGATGCGTAAGAATGACTGGTTTTCGTCGAGACTCTCTACCGTTCTTTTGTGAAAAATAGTATAGATATCTTGCTCTGATGTAGCAAGTGTAGCACTTTTCTTAAAAGAGAATTTTATCTATTTGATACTTTAATGAAGTCATTATCCAGGTAGTTTTCATAATAATTGGGAAAAACCGAAAAAAAACGTAGGAAAACGAGAAAATTGACAAAAATATTGCTTTTTTATTTTCAACTTTGTGTTTTTTGTTGTAAATCAGTTAAAAATGTTAGTAGGAACTTGAAATTTGAACAGAATATTATCATAGTATATAGTAATAATATACCATGATAATATAATCATATATAGTAATCATAATATTATCATATTTGTCTTTTATAAACGTAGTAACATTTTTAAAAAAAATTAAGCCATTATTGAGCTATTTATAGATATTTTAATTTTGTTAGTTTTTTTTATTTATTTTTCGTAACCAAATAGTTGTACGTACTTATTGGCATCCTAGTTTAAACTCGTGTTTCAAAAAAAAATTGTTTGCACTTATTTTTTCCCTTTTACCTAAACAGGGAAAAAATGATTGCACTTTTTCTGAAAGGAAATTTGATTGGAGATGTATATTTGAAAGGTAATTTTCCCAAGAGTATTCCTAGTAAATTAAAAAAATTAGGAAGAACATGGTAAAATCACGACAAATGCAGGAAAAATGGAAAAATCGATACAATATTAAACAAACATTATTAAAGAAAATATATAATACCTATTCAATTATTTTACCATAATATGACATATATATTGTTGACAAAGCATCACAATCAACTAAACTGTGCTCTGAATCGTTTTTTCGTTTGGTTTATCGTTTTTTATAAATAAAAATTAAGTTACCTATAATAGTGGCTGCACCTGTCTCCATTATCCTAGGACGTCTTTTAGATTCTGAGTGGAGCAAAGAAGCTTATAGTTTTACAAAAATGTTTTTTTTTTCTGTGGAGAACTTTTCTACAAGAGGACTTGCTCCGATTTTTACGTATAGTACTATTACTGAAAGAAAATCGGTGTAGGGAGGTATTTTAAGGAGGTCTATTTTCTAAAGTGTTTTTTTCCAAAAATGTGAAAAACCGTAAAAAAACGGAAAAATGTACGAAATATATTAATGTACAAATATTACAATTTGTTTTCTTGTGGACAAATTTTTAACCAGAAATTTTGCTCCAATTCGTAACGATAGCAATATTTATAAAAGAAAATTTGACTGGGGAGGCACTTTAAAGAAGTTATTTTTCGATTTTATCAAGAGTTTTCTCAAAAAATGTGAAAAACTAAGAATAGGAAAATAGGAAAAACAGGAAAACCGGTACAGTTAACAAATATTATTAAAGACAATATATAATCCTTACATTTCAATATTTTACTATAATATGACATATATTTATTGTTGATATCACTATATCAACTAAATTCCGCTCAGAATATTTTTTTCGTTAATAATGATTAACCGTTGCTAACAGATATACATTAAATTGTCCATAACAGTGGCGTCACCCGTCCCCATTGTCCTAAGATGTCTTTTTATGTTTATAACGTATTATGTTAATTTGGTTTCAACGTTATTTTACATACAAAAAAACTACCTAAAAAGTAAAAATTAATTATTAAATTTGGTTGGACAACTATTGAGTTATGGACTAGTTTGAGCGCTACATCTCTCCCATTGCTTCTTCTGGCATATTTAAAATATCTCGTATTATCCCTATAATATGAACATTACAGTAGTATTTATCAATCGACTGAAAAATAACTTGTTTTTTAGATTGTTTTAGCTTTTCTGGCTGTTAACAACTTAACAACCTTCTATTATAAATTTTGATCCAATTGTCAATTCAAGAGTTTGTTTCTGGCAGGAAATCATTTTTTTCAGAATTTTTAAATTTTTCTTGTAGTTTTCTTAATAATTAAGCAAAAAAGAGAAAATGTACGTCATAATGTTTTCTGGTATTTTCGATTTCGTTTTTTTGTTGTACCAAATCCAGTTCAAAATCACCGAAGACTTTATTTATCCTCTAAAAACGTTATCAAATTTTCAAAACAAACCGACAGTTGTTGTGCTATTTATAATCATTTTAAATTTTTAAATTTTTTAGTTTTTTTTTTTTGAGTAATTTATATAAGTACGTTTTGTTGGTTTATCATACACACTCGCAAAGTTCATCGAAAGTTTTTCCTTGGGCTCTATACAAATATTAAAATGCGTGAGCGGCTGCGTCTATACTGCTCGCTGACTTGACGGTCCGTGTGGCTCCAGCGGTTACCGCTAGCCGCAAAGTTGTTGACGTATTTAGGAAAATGTATCCATTGCATAACATGGAAGCAGTAATCTGCGTCAAACGCCTTGCGTTTACGCTTCTGACGTGTCATAGGAACCGCACCTATTTAGTTGGTCGTTTAAAAATAATTATTCGATTCCTTTAGTTTGAACTTGAAAAGGAAACGTAACTTCAAATTATATAAAATATCATACTACTTCATAACATTTTTGATTTAATATACTTTTCGTTTCATCTTCATAAAGGGTTCATTTATGTGTGGGTCGTGTCCACCCGGTTATAGTGGCGATGGATTTAACTGCTTATACGTAGATGGCGGGGCTTGTGCGATAAACAACGGTGGTTGTCATCAAAACGCTGAGTGCAAAGGTAAGTCCAAAAATAATTATAATGTATTTATGAAATTGGTATTAATTTGAGAATATGTACCTAATTTTAGTTTATGCCGAAACAACAATTCAGTGTACATGTCGTCAAGGTTTTATTGGCAACGGAATTGTATGCGTTAAAGATAGTTCAGCTACAAATGTTTGCGCAAACAATCCTTGTGGTCGTTACGGATCATGCATTTCAAACAGAAATAATACTTTTTCTTGTGAATGTAATGAAGGATATATAGGTGATAATTAATTATTCAAAATTCCATAAAACATTACGAATTTGTATAGATTCTCAATTGTATTTCAGGAAACACGTGCGATATTCATATAGAAGATCCTTGTTTTATAAATCCATGTCGAAATGGTGACTGTATTCCTGAAATGGAATCAAATAAATATTCATGTAGCTGTCACCCGGGATATTTTGGAATTTTATGTGATTCAGAAAAAGAAAGTGAGTGAAATAAATAAAACTGCATTACAATCTAAAAGTACATAATTTTGTTATTATGCTAATGTTAGTATGCGGTGGGTATTTTAAAACTCCCAATGGCATAATACAATACCCTGAGCCAAATACAACATTGAAATATAATAATAATTTGGATTGTGCTTGGATAATTGAAGTGGCATGGACTTCAGTTATAAATATATCGTTTGATTGGATTGACCTTGAAAATTCAACTACATGTAACTTCGACTATGTTTCGGTAAAAGTTTAATATTGGCGCACATATATATTTTTGTATGATTTTACATAATTAAAGCTGGTTTAGATCTTAAATAGCGATTCTGAAGACGGAAATATATTGGGAAAATTTTGCGGTAATATTTTACCGGTGAACAATAGTATTATATCAGACTCGAATGAAGTCATTGTGCGTTTTCGATCTGATGGATCTAAAAATGGCCGTGGGTTTCAACTGAAATACAACGCAACCGATCCAAGTAAAGTTTATAATATACACAACCCATATTGTATATAGATATATTTTTAATTTATAAATTATGAATGTATTTTTAGTATGTGGTGGTGTAATAAATGTTAATTCACACGGAACGCTGTCCTCTCCGGGGTCCCCTGGAAAATATCCCAAAAATCGAGACTGTTATTGGACGTTGAACACTATGCCCGGAAAAAGAATACAATTCAACTTTTTTCTAGTTCAATTCGAAAACCATGTGAATTGTAGTTATGATTATTTAGAGGTAATTATTTCACATTCGTTCTCAACACACGAGATACCGTTATAATATGCATTTATGTTGAATACAATAATATACTACTCGTAACACATATATTAAAATAATTGTTGGTATAGATTAGGGATGGTTTTACTCAGCAAGGTCCTATACTAGCTACGTTGTGTAATTCAGTCGTACCACCTCCGATTTTAACTTCTGGTTCACATGCCAATTTACATTTCCATTCCGACAATTCAAATCAAGACTACGGATTTCAAATGTCTTTCAATATAATTGAAGGTACGTATTTCTTTTAAATCGTTTCACAATATTATTACTATTTAAGTATTTTGGTTTTAAAACGTAACGTGCCTACCTAGTTATTTCAAATACTAACGAAAATTTGTATTAAATAGGAATACCTGGATGTGGTGGTATCTACACAAACCCTTCTGGAATAATATCTTCACCAGTAGATTTAACAAGTGACAACTACGATAGTTTAGATAACTTGAATTGTGAATGGCATATCAGAATGCCTCTTAAACAAAAATTAAAACTCGTATTTGTAAAAAAGTTTGGTATAAAATTCTCGAAAAATTGTGCAACAGAATTTTTGGAAGTGAGTGATTTATATTTTTCAATAATAAATTAATTATTCATTATTTAAAGAAGTAAATTTATTACCTATTAATTATTGAAAAATCTACATTTTATTTTCATTAAACTCGTGATGTTTAGTTATTTTATAAAGTTCAGAAAAAAGAAATGTACAGTAGATTAATTATAGAATGCAATTACAGTTTTCTGCATAATTCAAAGTACTTTTATTTGAATTTTAAAAAATTATTAACACTCACCAGTTAAATGAAAATTAAATTCGATTCATCAAAATTTTCAAAAAAATAAGCTCTATAAAATTGCTCTATCTTCAAATTTTTCAAAAATAATAAAATAAAAAGTTATTTTTTAAGTTTTTTATCAAATCATAAAAAATGAATTGCAATACTAATTTTTGTAGTTCTTATTTCTGTGAGTAATATGAAAAAATCAAAATTTAATTATCTTTATTATTTTCGAAGATTTACGATGGGTATATCTTCGATGAGAGTTGGAACACTCTGTATTTTAAATTAATCTTTAAAATTCGTAATAGGCTAGTGTAAATAAGTTATCCACTAACATTTAACTATTTGAAACATTGGGTTTTTATTTTGTTATAGATTTACGATGGCACTAATATTCAATCACCATTAATTGGTCGATATTGTGGATCAGTTAGATTTGATCAACCGATAATCACAACTAGCAATGAAGTAACCGTATTATTTAAAGCTGATTTTTCATCTATATCTGAAGGATTTTCAATTAAATACGAAACATGTTTGTATAAATCATTTTTTTTTTTATCAATATAAAATAATATTTTAGTTTTAAATTGGTTATAGACATACTATTAATTTTAAGTAGGTACCTACCTACTGATATATACAGGATACTATTAAACAATTTAAAATCTAACCGTACATAAAAAAAAAAAATAATGATATTTCTACTAAAAATAAACACCTTGTTATACTTGTTGGTTTTAATTATTTAAAGATTGATGTGATATATATATATTACATCAAACAAAATAATTAAATAATGAAAAACAAGTAAAATGATTGTGTTTATAATCAAATCGTTGAAGAATAATTTTCACACAGTTATTTTTTAAAAGAATTAATTATTCATTTGTCTAAAAGATAAAATTCTAGTTCAATAATAGCTTGCATTTTAGGTTATATTTATTTTTTTAGGCATAAATGCAGTTTAGCTCTCCGGGGGTTTTTTTTTTCAAAATACGTATTTTTGCATTTATGTTAGTAAAGTTTTACTTGGCTTGTTAACAATAAAAAGCAAGTACGATAAGTAAACTCTGATTTCACCAAAATGTTGAGCATAAAAATATTAACATTTAAAAAAAAAATATTTTTAATTTTTTTGTATTTTTTACTTAATACACGATATTTTGATCGAGAATTTTGAAGGCTTTTGACATTAATTTCTAATGGTGGTTTGAGCGGCTTTTTTTAAAAGTATCATCAAATAAAATATGGTAAATCACACATTTTGAAAAAAATAACTTGGGAGCTAAACTCCATTTGTTCTCTATTTTATTATTATTCCGGATTCCCTATATTGTATTTATGAATTTATTATTTGGAACAAAATTTAATTCCAATTTGCGTACCTATTTAATTTTTTCTATTCCTTATTATTATTATTTTGATATATTATAATCTATGGATATCTAATGATAATATCAGATATTAGCATGTTACATTGTTGTTGTTCGGTTTTGAAAACAATTCTAAAATTAAATTAATTTTTTTTATTTCAGTATGTGGAGGAATATATACTGATAACAAAGGAATAATTGAATCTCCATTTTATCCAAACCCTTACCCACAAAATAAAATATGCACGTATCTTATTGAACAACCGATTGGCAAAGCTATTCAATTATCGTTTTTGGATATGGATATTGAAGATCAATCACATCCGAATTGTATTTATGATTCATTAGAGGTAATTCAATACTAGATTTTTTTATTAATATAGATAGATATTAATAATTGAAATTCTAGATTTATTAGAAACATAGATAATAAGAAAATTAAACAGTCGTCAATTAATTAAGTATTATTTTTTTTATAAAATTTAAAAATGTATAATTTAATTAAATTACACTTACAAAATGGATAATAGGTAGGTACAATAATATAAGCTCAATCTACAACATCTATGTATTTTTTAAAAGGGGGGAAAAATTTTGTAGTTTATATATGAAAATTATTTAATTAAAATTAATATTAAATTATGCGGAATATTTGTTCGTTATTGATTTTCGTTATTTTTATTACATAAAAGCAATAATGAATAAAGAAAATCATTTATTTTATACTTGGACAATACAAAATTATTATAATTTATTATAAGTTTAGACTTAAGAGTTAAATTTTTAATTAAAATCTTAAACCTAATATGCTTATAAAATTGTATGCTTTTTCTTACATATATTAATTGTATGGGATAAACGTATTCTATTATAGATCAGAGATGGAGATAATGAAAAATCACCTGTAATAGCATTGTTGTGTGGACAAATTGAAAAACTTTCTACACTTTCATACATATCAACTCATAATTATATGTGGTTAAAGTTCACTACCGATAGTTCTAATAGTAACAAGGGATTTCGGGCTAACTATTCGACTATTGATATAGGTATGTTAACTAATTTAAAAAAAAAAAAATGTTAAATTTAATATCATTTAATGTCATATTTTAGGGTGTGGTGGCATTTTAAAGAACTCATCTGGTATCATACAATCCTCAAGACATCAAGAATATTATTTACATGACCAAATGTGTAAATGGATTATATCAGTAAATGAATCTAATCGAATACAATTAATTTGGTCAACATTTTCTTTGGAAAATCATCCTAGTTGTCAAAACGATTATGTTGAAATTTATGATGATAGTATTTTAGGAAATGCATCAAAAATTGCTCGGTAAAAAAATTATCTCATTGAAGTATAACCACTATTAATTTAAATTAACACAAATTTGTGTTATTTTACGAATAAATTCTTGTATTTTTTCTTCAATTAATATTAATTTAAAGTGAATCATTATGAATAATCAATTCATCAATATTCTCAATTGATAAAAAATCGATACCTAGTCTAATGATCTTTAATAATATTTTTAGATACTGTGGAACCAAAGTTCCACCTATATTAACATCGTTAGGCAATCGGTTAACAATAATATTTAAAACTGATCATTCCATAGAACTAGATGGATTCATGTTAAGTTATGTTTCCCTCAATAAAGCTCAAGGTACATGCATACATTTAATGCCCAATACATTAGTACTTATTTAACTATTGAATATAAATTAACTGTGTAGCATGTGGAGGCAATTTCTTCACCGTAGAAGGTTTTATTGAATCGCCGAAATTCCCAGATAAATACCCTAGTCACAAGGATTGTACTTGGGTAATAAATCTGCCCGTAACTAATCAGATTGAATTGAATATTTCTCAATTCGAACTCGAAACAAGCACTGCCTGCCGTTTTGATTTTCTTGAAATCCGGTTAGTAAAATTGAACTTAAGTATGTATTCAGTGTGTTTATGGTATCTGTTATATTTTTATAGGAATGGTGGATATTCCACTTCGCCTTTAATTGGCAAGTTTTGTGGAACTATGATTCTCCCGATTATATCTTCAATTGGTAATTCCCTATTCATTCGATTTGTTTCTGATGGGTCGAGAGAACGCAAAGGTTTTTCTATGCAGTGGTATGGAGTTATCAAAGGTACAATGTTTAAGTTAATAAAATAAAAATTATATTTAACATAAAACATAATTTAAAGGATGTGGTGGATTATTAAACTCTGGCACCGGACACATTTCTTCTCCAAATTATCCTTTACCTGTACGAGAAACATTAGAATGTTTTTATAAGATAGTTGTCGCACAAGGTAATCAAATTCAACTCACCATTTTGGATATTGAGTTAATAGTGGGAAACAACCCTGTGAATGCCTGTATAGAAGATTTTATTGAAGTATGTATTGTAATATTATTATAATTATATACCTAGATAATATAAAATATAAACAAATTTATAATATTTTTTCCTTATTAGTTGTTATACCTCTACTTGTATTTATAATTATTATGACAAGTGTTTTTTTTTTTTTGTATGTATAAATATACCTACTAACATAATAACTTACTTAAATATCATTTGTAATTGGATACCTATCAAAAAAAGGTTTTATTTTAAATATTTAAATGTAATATGTGATCTAAATTTATTACGTTTTAAATAAATTGGATGTGAAGGTTTATAATAATAAGTTAAATGTATAAAAAAATCTATATTTAATTTATATTTTTACAGTTTTATGATGGTGAAAATTCTGCTAGTAAATCTCTCGGAACATTTTGTTCGGTTGTTCATTCCTCTACAATAATACAATCATCATCTAATAAAATATATATTAAATTTAGAAATAGTGGTTTTCAAAGAGGTAGAGGTTTCTCATTAAAATATTTTACAGGTTTGTAAAATAAATCTAATTTTAAATAAAACGAACAATAACGATGTAACTATGAAATGTTGCCCTTGATAGATTGTAACATAACATTAAAAGGACATCAAGGTGCTATTGAACTAACGACTAAAGCAAATGTGAAGACTGATCAATGTTCATGGACAATTATGGCACCTCAAGGAAATAAAATTAATATAACTTTTACCTCGTTTTTCATGCATGTTAGAATGAATGTGTTTAGTCCACGCATTGATTCCAAGTGGAACAGTCATTTCCTTCCAGGGTCAATGTTAAATCCATTGGTCGGCAGATCAGCACTTGGTTTCGAGAGACAATTAAATAATTACCGTTGTAGCGATACAAAATTTAATGTAATTTCAAATGTATAATTATAGCACATGCATGTGTAGATTAAAATTATAATTTGCATTCACAGATATTTGAAGGTCGTAATATAAATGAAATAAATACAGAATTATGGAAATATTGTTCATCGGATCCTCCTCTTCTAATATCTTCAACAAAGGATATTGTAAGAATTAGTTATGTGTATCCACAAAGTAATTTATATTTGAATAAACGTAATAGTTTTCGTTTGGAATGGATTGTGGATGGTTGTGGGGGCACGTTGAATAAATTTTCAGGAGAATTTACATCTCCTAGATATCCCCAATATTACCCTTCTAGTACTACATGTGAATGGAATATTGTTAGTGAATATGGATATAGTATAGAGATAACTATAGAAGACTTATCAATTGAAACTTCAAGTTCTTGTACTAAAGATTTCTTAGCTGTATGTAGAAAGATGTTTAATATTTATATAATGTTACTAATTAGTGTATACCTATGTTCTTTCAGATTTATAGTGGAAATGATGATTCTGGTCCAGAACTATTGCGCGTTTGTCATAGACAAACAAATCCAATTACCATAACACCTGGTGGAAATCAAGCTTTTGTGAGATTCGTAACTGATTATCAATTTGAAAATAAAGGTTTTAAAGCTACGTACGAAATAGTTTTAACAAGTATGTTTTTCTCTTTTTACTGTAATGATGCATTAGGTGTTTGAAAATTAGATCAATCGCATTATTTTTATTAACGTTTATTTTCTTCTTCTTCTTCTTTGTAATCGACCATTAAGATCATATTGTCACACAAAATTCCTGCCACTTCCCTCTGTCCATCGCCAAAACATGCCAATCAGAATCTGGTTTCACCATTTCTACATCCTTTTTCACTTTGACCTTCCACCTTAGTTATGGTCACCCCAAAGGTCTCTTTCCTTTCAGAGCATCGTATTGAATCAGCTGAATTAACATTTCCTCTTTTCTCCATACATGTCCTGCCTATTGAAATCTCATCTTATTTGTTTCCCTAATTATATCAGGCATTTGATAAAATTGTCCAAGTTCTTCGTTTTTTTGAATTCTCCATTCCCCTGTGATTTCATTTATACTTCATCTCACGAGAGAAAGTATATCGATGAGAGCGCGGACGGAATTTCTCCCATTCTTGATATCTACGTTACGGATGCGAATGGGCAAAATTGGTGGGAGATGCTCAGCAATGAACGAAAAAACTTATTCCTTTCCTGTTTAGATAGAGAATAAATATGATCCAAAAATTCTCCTTTGTACTTTTATTTCAAAAATCAAAAGTTTGTTTTACTCAGATTTTCGTAATGTCCATGTTTCACAACCAAACATTACCTCTAGACGGATGAGAGTGCGGTACAGCCGTATCGTGAGGTTCTTTGATATTGTTCTAGCCTTTAACAGTATACTTAATCCATAGTAAAATTTATTACCGGATTGGAGTCTCGCTTTTATTTTAGTAAGTTCATATTTTTTTTGAGTGAAAAGCGACCCCAAATATTTAAACTTTGTACTCTCTTAAACTTGCACGATCCAACCTCTAGATATGGATGTGCATGATCTATGACCTCTTCTCTCCGCACGATCTTATAATCAGTCGTTTTAGCATTTATTTCTAAACCTACTCTCTTACCCGTATCCAATCATTGTTTTTGCTTGTTTAATGAGATTTTCCTTACTTTCCGTCAATAATACTATGTCGTCTGCGTAGGCTAATATTCCTATTATGCGACCACCTATAAATATTCCATTGTTTTCAACATGACTCTTTCTGATGACTTTTTTCAAAGCTATATTAAATAGTGTGGGTAACAATACATTCCATTGCTTCAAAGCAGACGTGTCTGGTACTCCTTGTGATAAAGTATTGCCAACTTTAATCTTGATTTCCATATGCAAGATATTTGGTCTTATGAAAATTATTAATTTCTGTGGTAGTTTGAACCCTTTTTTTTAAATATATTCAAGAGAGATTCACTATGTTTACAACCATACGCCTTCTTGAAATTGATGAATAATACATGCATTTCTTTGTCATACTCTCACATTTTCTGGAAACTGTTTCAAAATGAAAATCTGATCTGTAGTAGATATGTTTTGTCTGAAGCTTGCTTGATAATCATTTAATATGTCTTCTGCCAATGACTTAATTCTGCTTAATATACACTTGGATAGAACTTTATAAGTAATGTTTAATAGAGCGATGCCTCTGTAATTATCATATATCTACGTATCGCTTTTTTTGTGTATAGGATATATTAATACTGATATTTTCCACTCCTCTGATATTAATTCTTTTCCCCAAATTTCTTTTTTACATCATACCAATATTAATTTTTGTTTAATGACATATTAGAAAATTTGATGCAAACATATACTTTTATGAACGATATAGTGGTTTTTTTAGGTTTTAAAAATAAATAATAATACAAATTTAAAACAAAGTCAATTCGTAGTTACAAGATTTAAAAACTCTATTTAATTACAATTGCATTATTATTATTATCATTATTCATTAAATTACCAAAAAATCATTTTTTATTTACTTTAATCAACTATTAACAGCAGTTAATAATAATTATCCAGCCGCTACTGTACAGCGGTCAACGTGTTTATTGCATGCATAAGGGGTAATCGTTGATTTTGAAATATTTAAATTTTGGGTAAACAGATAGTTAACTATATTTTAAAATTATAAGTTAACATTTAAAGCAAATATTCACTTAAAAAAAAGTCACGTCAATACGTTATAACGAAAAGAAAAACAAATTTTTTTCGGGGCCCTGGGCTCGCGCACCACGTGAACTTAGTGTTAAAATGTCACTGATAGGTATATAAGTGTGTAAATAATAAATATATTTTGTACAATGTAAGTAGGTGCTTACCGTGAAAGAAAATATCATACAAATAATCGAAAATTAAAGTTTAGTGTACAACCTATAAAAATAGAAAATACAAAATTTCAGTTTCAAAGATATTTTTTAGAACACATACACAACTCTACTGAATAATCAACATATACACAATATTACACAAAATTACAAGATTTTAGTTTATAATATTTTTTTATTTTATTAGGTTGTGGTGGAAAGTTTACTGCTCCTCAAGGAACTATCCATTCTAATAATTACCCACAGCATTATGATTCCAATAGTACTTGTACATGGTATATTGAAATTGCAAAAACGCATTTAATCAAACTAACATTCGTTGATTTTAATACTCGGAGTAATTTACCTGGAACAAATAGTGATAAAGTTCTAGTATACGATGGAGGTTTTGAAGGAAAAGTACTCCTTAACCATTCTGGAAATAGTATACCACCACCGATTATTTCTTTGTCTAATAAACTCTTAGTATTTTTTGAAGTTGGTGAACGTGAGATACGAGCTAAAGGATTTAAAGCAAATTACACTACAGTAATTTTTATTGTTTTTGAATATTTCAATTAATTAATTTATTTTATTTTATTTAATATAATTATTATTTTATTAGGCATGTGGTGCGAAATTAATCACAAATGATTCTGGGATTATTTCTAGTGACCCATATGTATCGAGTATTTTACACGAAAACTGTACATGGACAATTATATCTGATATTCCTCAGTCAAAGATCTATCTAAGTTTTACGCATATCGACATAGTAAATAGTGTAAATGATTCTTATAACATGATAACAAATCAAACTACTGGAGTGTCTATTCCTCCAAGGTATCATAAAACTATTCGAATTTTGGATGGTCGTGATTTAGACGCGCCTGAAATAATAAACTTGTGTAATTCTGATCAAATTCCGCCAATTATTGTTAGTAATGGACCTGCTATGATTATAGAGTTCACTGGTAATTCCATTGGACTTGATTCATTTTCAGCTGTATATTCTGTAAGATCGATAGGTCAGTAAATATTACTATGTAGATAATTGTTGTATAATATGATATATGTATTATGTACATTAATTTTAATAATGTCTATTAGCCTGCGGTGGAACTTACGATATAATAAGAGGAACAATTTCCACACCCAACTATCCAAATAACTATTTGAGAGATTCCGAATGTGTTTGGATATTAAAGTCATCTGTCGGGAATCGTATATCTTTAAATTTTATTGATTTTCAATTAGAGGAAGACGAATTTTGCAATGAAGATTATGTGGAAGTAAGGGAAAACGATTCTATTGGTACTATTTTAGGTATTTTTTGCGGACTAAATTTGCCAACTAATATTACAACAAGCTCTACCCTATGGGTTAAATTCCGTTCGAATTCTATTGGCTCAGCCAAAGGGTTTACCGCAGACTTCAAATATGGTAACTGTATTGTTATATATAAGTAGATACATAATACAATTTGTTGCGTGTGAATAATTATTGGAATTTTAGTAACTAAAAACTATCTGACACAAAAATCTGGAGAAATATCGAGTCCAACGTACCCAAGAACATATAGAGGTAGTGAAGATTATTTTTGGACAATAAATGTAGACGTAGGAAAAAGAATACAGATTTTCTTAAAGGATTTTATGTGTTTATCTTCATTTCATCATTTGAAAGTACCTAAATAATCAATATTTTACTTACGTTGGTAATTATTTTTGAACAAATTTACTTTTATGTATAGATATTTGACGGAGATGGTATTGATGGATTAATTTTACTAGAACGGAACAACCTGAATTATAATAATGCTTTAAATGAAGCCATAACTTCAAGCTACAACGTTATATTCATACATTTGATAGCTAGTAGTCGAGATCAAGGAGGCATAAACTTTGTACTATCTTGGACACAAGTTGATGGTTTATATCTCAAAACATATTATCCAGAATTTGATCAAAATCGTGAGTAATACATTTTAAATAAGTAGGTACATTAGTATTTTATGTTTAAAATAAATAAATATATATATATATTTTTTTTTTGATAATACAGTTTATACATCAAGTTTTGATTATTATTTATCAAAGAGCACAAATGAAAGTGTTAATATCACAAGTCCTGGTTATCCGTACGGCTACTCATCAAATCTTAATATTACTTGGACAATTCATACAGATTCATATAATCACATTGAAGTTGAGTTTATTGAAGTAGATCTTTGTCCCGTTCATTTAAATTCTTTCAGAAATTTCGGCGACTATATTATGGTTGAGACAAGTACATATTATTTTCTACTTATTTTATTTATTAATTCAAAATTATGTGAAAACATTAATTCTCAATTATTTTACTTTAATTTATTAAGATATTTAATACTTTTATATAATATGTTTATAATTTTGATATGGATATATATACAAAATAAGTTAACTTATTGTACTCACCAAGGTACCTACTAATTTCATGATATTGCGGTCAAATATATTTTATTATATACCAATTTGTTTTATGTAACACCTAATTCCAATACAATATAATGTACTATAGTTGATCCTAGTACAACAGCACGGATCGAATTGAAAAAAATCTACAGATATAATATTGAAAAAAAAGACAGAGTAATCATCGGTAAAAATAAAGTAATATTAACTTTTGTGTCGGACAGTTCATTAAACGGTACTGGATTTAAAGCTATAGCTAAAATAAGTACGTTTGTTTCTATAAAATAGTTATAGGATAGTTAATAAAATATCTAATTTAATATCATATTTATTTATTTTTGGAAGATTGCGGCGGTGAACTAACAGGTACTACCGGAGTAATTGATTCATCTAATTTATTTTATAGTCACTACTACTCAAATCTGTTTTGCACATGGAATGTGACTGTACGTCCAGGGAGAACTATTTTAGTTAAATTAATTACAATGCAATTTTCGTTGAATCAATGTTCAGTCAGTTATGTTTTGGTAAATATATATTTTTTTTACTGTTAAATATATACTATTTTTTCAATCCTTTTTTGACCATTACCAAGTATTTTTATTAGTGGGAACATGCATACTACAGAAAAATCATAGTTGAACTATTACCAGATGTTAAATTAAATAAATGCATTTCAATTAATCTAGAAAAAAAAGTGTACTCAATTTAACAAAACTATTATATCATTTAATTGGAAAAATATTTTAAATTGTTTCTATTGGTAAATAGATAAACTTGCTAAACAACTTTATTCTTATTTAAACATATTAATTTATTTTATGATATTTTACTGACATAGACAGCTCCTATAAGAACAAGAAAATATTTAATTTATATTGAGTAAATATTCATTTTCCAATATAAAAAAAAATAAATATATACTCAATATTAGTTTTTAATTGAGGAAATGTTTTTTAATATTTGTTTAATATTAAGTTTATTAATATTATATTAATATTTATTATTATTATTCATATTAATTTTAATTATTAATATTTTATATTAAATGTTGGTGTGATACATTTTGAAAATTGGATTTAAATATTTAATTTTCAAATTAAATAAATAAAAATTAACATAACGTCTAAAATATTAAAACATTAAAAACAAAATATTTATTTATAAATCTATACTAAATATTTATCAATCTTTATCATTGGAAATTGTTACTGTGGTATAATATTAATAATATATGAATTTGTTTTTTGTACATAATAATTAGGGCTGCGAATTTAATATATTGAACAATTATTGAATGACATTAAAAATGCACAACAAAAGCAAAAGAATGCTAATAAAATATGCATTAAACGTCTCAAAAAATAGAATACACAATGGTTTTTAATTTAATTTTTATGTTTATTTTGATATTACTGATATTAGTATATTATATAAATACAAATTTATTTATTTAAAAAAAAAAAATTATAAAAATGTTGATCGAATTTGAATGCTGAATAAGTTGATTTTTGCAATATTGCTTTATTTTATCGAATCCTTATCTTTACCCAACCCGTATAAAGCTTGTGTAAAATATTATTTATAAGTTATAATTTTAGCATATATACAGCCTGTGCAAAACAAAAAATATGTGTGTAAAGATGTTAATTAACAGAATTTGATTAAAAATATCGAAAAATGAACTGAAAAGGAAAATATGATTTTAAAAGTCCAAAAATGACTTTAAACATTAAAAATGTCAAAAAATGTAAAAATTAAAGTTTCATAAATAGATTTGTTGTTACATAATTCAAATGATGTAGATACTTAGAAAGCTACATTTCACAATCATCTAAAACGAATGCATTTTCCTACAAATTCACAGCCCTAGTAATAATAAAACAGTTATAAAAACAGAAATATACATTTTTATTTTAGTTAAAAAATGGTTTCTACGAGGATTCGCCTGTTCTGGGAAGAGGAAGATATTGTAATGATACTACTGTAACCGAATTATCTACAACTGAAAATAAGTTACAAATACAAATCAAAATAAAAATTATTGAAGCAAGTATAATTTTTTTTTGTTTTTGTGGTATTATTATATTGTGTACATAAATTTAACTAAAAAAGACTGTCCTAGGATAATGGGGATAGATGCAGCCACTGTTGTAAGTGGGATGTTAGAAAGAAAGGATACAGAGGGGAATTTAATGTAAACAATGAAACAGCGATAAACCATTGCTAACGAAAAAACGATTCTAAGCGGAGTTCAGTTAATAGTGATACTTTAACAACAATATATAACTTTATAGTAACCTAACATAACATATTACAGTAAATTAATCAGATAGGCATTTTATATTTTCTTTAATAATATTTGTTTAATGTTGTACCGATTTTCTACGTTTTTCTTGGTTTTCCCATATTTTTTTCTAGTTTTTCACACTTTCTTGGAAAACTCTCGGAAAAAACCGAAAAAAAGATTTCATTAAAGTACCGCCGTAGTCAGTTTTCCTTTCAGAAAAAGTACTATCATTGTAAATCGGAGCGAAATTTCTGATAGAAAAGTTGTTCACAGGAAAAAAGAAGATCGTAATATTTATTAACTAACACATACATTTCATGCATTCTTCCGTTTTCCTCCGTTTTTCCCCCGGTTTTTCCCATTTGTTAAGAAAACTTCTGAGAGAATCGAAAAATGCCCTCTTTAAAGTATCACCCATTAAGAAAATGGTCTACTTCGTATACATTGGAATAAGCTTTCTGGTAAAAAAAGTGTTCATATAAAAATAGACATCTTTGTAAAACCAATACATTCTTCACTACACTCAGAATCGTATATAGTTAAAATTATATTAGGTAGTTATAGGTACGTAAAATGTGTAATCATAATAAATCCAATTTCTATCTATTAAAATTGAATAATTGTATCTTCAGTGTATTCAGTTATAAAAACTTGAATTATAATTAAATTTAAATTTAGAGAGTGCAAATAGTATTTGAAGAAAAATCAATCAACTGCGGCGGTGAAATTCATTTGGACAACTTATACAATAATACCGAAATTACTTCACCTTCATATCCGAATATACCTCAAGCTCACATAGAATGTATATGGAGAATAGTGGCGCCCACCGGTGAACGAATGTCAATAAGTATAGAAGACATAGATTTATTGGCCGATATTGAGTAAGTAAAAATTGAAATAATTTATTTTATAATATTGGGTGAACGGGGATTATGTCACACTTATCTACCTACTTCGTAAAAAATATTTGTTTACATTTTATTACCCAGGTATTGGCCCATAAATGAAATATATATTTTTAAAGGGTAGAGTTTGGGGATTGGGTCACAAATGTATAACACAAAAATATATAATTTTAATTATATTTTAACAATATTATTTTTATTTTTTTTTCAATAGACATAAAATTAATCTAATAATTATTAATTTTTTTTATACACGGTGAAAATTACATCAAATATGTCATAAATAATAATAATACGTATATCATTTTTTTTTTCAAATATTTAAAAATACATTTTTTGTTTTTGTTTTTTTATAGTGCGATACAGACATCACATACATCCTAATCTGGTGTTTTTCCTTTTTTCGTATTTTGTTATTTCATTACGAATATAACTTTGTCGATTTAAAGTTCGTTTTCTTGTTTTTACTGTACAATCCTGATAATTCTTTATCATTTAATATTGAACAATCTATTACCTTCTCATAAAGCACGCGGTCACTGCTAGTAAAATATTATACACATTATACTTGTATATTTTATTATAATCTAGTATTTATTCAAATAATACAAAAATCGTTTAAAATAGTATCTCAATCATTGGGTTTACTTGTTATAAATGTAATATTTTTGTGGCCCAAATACCGTATACCTATTGAAAAAAATGTTCTTTGTGGACCAATTCTCGGACGCCCATAATATTTAGTACATAAGAAAAATGTGTTACTAATGTACTGTAATTGTATTTGTCAACGAAAAAATAAAAGATAAGGACTACAAATTTACCAACAATACTATAATTGTAGAATAGAACATTACAACAAAATTACTACCTATGTAATACGAGAACAATGTTACTTCTTTAAATGCGATTAGTTGTAGGTAAAATAAAACATAGTATGTACTTATAATTGTCTTGATTTTTTGTAGACTGGCATAAAGCATAATTATCTATAGATACCTATACAATTACACCTAAAACTATAAACTGTGAAATGTAATGTCATTTTATTGTAATACACCTAGGTTTACGTTATATTTTCTAATATAATAATTTATGGATAGGTATTAATTTTATACATGATTTTTGTCAACATTATTATCATTATATATTTTTTTTTTTTTATGATAAACAGGGGATATTTTCCTATGAAGATTGAAATTTGATCTACCTAAATTGTATTATTCATTTATAGGTGCAAACAAGAATATCTCGAATTCAGAGATGGTGCTGCTAGATTTTCACCGTTAATTATCCGTATTTGTGAAAATACCAACACTTTGGATATCGAAAGCACTAACAACTTTTTATACATAAAGTATTTCACCGATATAAACGTACCTAGCAACGGGTTCAAATTAAACGTGACTATAGGTATTATATTTTTATTAATACACATTTGTGTTTATTTGCTTAATTTCATACTATTGATGTATAGTCAGGGCCGGATTTAGGACTAGGCTACCTACTTAGCCTAGAGGCGCTACGACTCCAAGGGGCCAGTAGAACTATAGTTTTTATTTTTAATGAAATTCCTATATGCATGCATTGAATTTACCATTTACTAGAAAGAAATAAAATTATTTATCTGTTTAGTCATTAGAAATATTGTTGAACATAAATACTTAAAATTAAATAATGTTTTTCTTTTTGTAAATCAATTTATCGATGAAGTAAAATTATTCAAATAGACATGATTTAGCCAAATATCATTAAAAAATTATATAGTAAATGGGCGATTAAACTTTACATTATATTCTTTTATGATAATATTATTACGTATTTATTTTCAACATATTCGCTATGGGAGAAGATCAGAATACTCCCACGGTACCTCTACCTGACGTAATAGACGACAACTGTGATTACGTTTGGTCGAAATCCTATATAATTCTGTCAGAAAGTGTGAGAAGTTCTAAACAAGAATTTGTCAGATTGTTCCATCTGGCTATCTCAGATGTATTCGGGAACAGGAGAGGGAGTGTTATGGTGTATGATGTTTTGTAGATGATATAATTTTGGTAGGAGAGAATCTGTAATAAGTTAATAGTAAGCTTGAGGAATAGAGAATAACACTGAAAATAAGGGGAATAAGTAGAATTAAGACAGAGTAGGAGTTTGGAGGAACAGGCAAAGAAAGTTAATGAAAATAAGCAGTAATAGGCGAGGCAATTTAAGAGGATAGGCAAAATTGGCCGAAAAGAGAATGTTCTGATTTTGGTCGAAAAAGGTCTCGTCCATTTCTACAGGTAGAGGTACCATAAGAGGGGCAGGCCGGTTTCAGTCAAAAATCTATCTTTCCAATTGTATAAATTACAAAATATTAATTAGACAAATAAATAAATTTAAAATTAGTAAGTTTTTCTATTTATGTATGATACAATTTTTGTATATTATTAATTGAATATAAGGTAAAAAAAGTTATAGTACATAAATATATAAATAAAAAAAATTATTATTAAATTTCACACTTTTTAATATTTATAAAAATAAAAACAAATTAATTAATAAATGCGTCGCCTGGAGTATTATGATATGTATATTATATGACCGGATTTGAATTAAAAATTTATCATTTGGTATATGAGTCAAAATATAAAATGCGACTGAATATAAAATAGAGCTGATACTGGGGTTGGGAGCGGCCACTAGTTGTTTGATTTTTTACAACATGTAGGAGTATTAATTTAAATAAATTTTGGTGTTAAAATTTATGATTTCCGTCAAACTCGTCAAACCGAGATATTCCACTTATACATTTATACAAGGAGAGAGTAATGAAACACTAATAAAACTTCACACGCTGTGCCGCCATACAAATGATATTCCACTACTTTCTCCCTACCTAAACTTAAGAGTGAAATATCTCATTAACGGATTGACGAAATTCAAAAAAGTTGATATCAAAATTTATTTAAAGTGATACTCCGTATTTTTATGGATTTTTTTTATATAGGTTCTCATGTTAAAAACCAAAGTTGGTATCGCAACAGGATATTCTTAAAATATTGTAAAAAATCTAAGTATTCGAAAATATCGGCTTTAATTACTCTTAAAAATTTCAAAAATTAGAATTTTAATATATACAAAATCAACGAAAAAATTGGGGTGAGCAAGCTTAGTGAATCAACTTGTATAACCTTTATTTCTCATAAGATAAAATTCTTATACTTTTTTAAATAAGAAAATGTTCTTTCATATCCAGAGCTTAAAACTGAAATAGTTAAGTGGATTTGTACAATTTTATGAATTTAAATAAATGTTCTGTTTATATGTATATGTCTATGCCTATAATATACATCCGAGATTAGAGACAATGAACGCCATAATATTTATAATATTTAAAAATAAAATTGAGAGAGGCAGTTCAGGGTCATTGAATATTCTTTGAGGATCAGGCTCCCTAAAACCCCCCTTAGTAATGTGCCTGCCTCCCACAGAGAGACTTTGAATGGGATATTTAAAATATTATTGTGATGTACAGTATAGAAAATCGAAGTACTTGTCCCAAAGATAACGAAATCCGATCAGTTACACCAACTTAAAATTCTATGATTTACCCGATTTGGTTTTACCATTTTCCCCTATCTAAGCCATAAGTCGTAGTTTTGCATACACCAGGTCTTATGTATACGCTCTGGACACTGACTTCTTTGAAACAGTATCAGCATAGTAAAACATTATTTTAGACGAACTTTATCATAGAAGATTTTTATCATAAATGCATCAGTATTTTTAGTATTTTATTTTTTCTTTTATTTCCTAAAATATTTAACAATATATTATTCATTGTGCATAGCAAAATGTGGCGGTACTCGAAAATCTCCTCAAGGCTCGATTATTTCACCAAACTACCCCGGCTCATACGAACAGAATATGGATTGTGAGTATAGGATTATTGCCGCACGTGGTAGGCGAGTCGAACTGAAGTTCGAGACAGTGAATCTGAAACGACGGATTGCTAAAAGCGAATTCGGCCAAGTCGTGATGAACAACGAAACGTACGACGATACGTTGACAGTATTTGACGTGAACCCGCTGAACAATAATAGTAATCATTTTTAATCGTTCATTATAAAATAAGGTTTTCAGACAGATGCTATGGAATTTCAAAATAATACAAAACTGCTTAGTTTTTTTTTTTTAAAAAAAACTTGCTTTTTTTTTTCTTGAATATAACCGTAAGATATGTCTGATAAAATAAAAGTTACGAATTTTTTTAATATTTGTGATCTCCCAGTCAAAAATTGTAAATAATAATATTACTATTGTAATATTATCGTGGCTTAATTTTCAGGGACAAAGATAACAACGATTTTTGGTTCTAATTTACCATTAGATACTTTTATTTCTACTGGTAGAGAATTAGTGATTAAATTTAAATCACAAACTAGAAACGGTCAATTTTATGGGAAAGACGTACAGGCAAAATTCGCAATGTATTATTGGACTTCAGAAAATGGTAGGTAACATAAATAAATTATTACATGCATTTAACATACATACATATATGATATAATATTATAATATTTATATATATTTATATATATATATATTATATATGTATACAAAGCAAGTATATAAATAAAATACGATAATAACTTATTACTTTAGTTATATTTATAATAAATAAAGGTTATTATAAAATTAAAAACAATACAATTATGGATAATAAACGTGTTACAAAAAATTTACTATGCCTAGAAAAGGCTAATATAACTTTTCTGTGCAAATGTCAGCTCTCAACGGTTAGATTTCACCTGTTTAAAACAAAAAATCAAACTGAAAACTAACGAAATCGTTAATGCCGTATACGTTTTCGTATTTCCAACGTTTTTTCTGGTTTTTCCCAAATATGTTATTTTTTGATTATTTCTGGTAGAAAAGTTGTTTACAAACACACACATACAAATAAATAAAAAACTTATTATAGAAAAACTAATAGTTCCCTCGCTGTCTTTGGAATCTAAAATATACAACGGGTTACCGGTATAGCAGTTCCTAACTTTGGAGTAATTACTCCGTCAGTAGTAATACGGGATTTCCTGAGAGATAAAGACTACACCAATTTTTTTTTTTATTATTATACGTACTGTATATTATTATTAATTATATCTATCAAATTGTTTATCATTTATTTTTAATCCTTTCAACAAAAAAATATTTTAAATTTGTAATATAAATTATGCAATTTTAATAAGATTTCTATAGTACTATTAGGACGTTAAGTGTTAAATATTATTACTTGAGTTAGTTGAGTTATATTTTAAATATTTGTTATTTCACTCATATAATACGACATAATACATGCAGTTTCTTGTAGTTTTTATGATATTTATTGTTATCTTAGCTTTTTTAGAATTATTGTTGATACAACATCAACAACCTCTGTAAACATCTGACAATTCCTTTATAACGAACAATCACATTTGATGGTAGATATATTATTAAAAAAAAAATTGTTTCAATTTTTAATAGTTTACAACTGTCAGTTTTTAAACTAAACTTTTTGGGTGCTATTTACTATTATCTAACCCGGATTTTGGTTAACAGCCTCAAAAAGGTCGGGAACCATTGGATTGAACAATAGATAGAATGGTTATTATAGTCATTGGTCAGTCTTACCTAATTATCTCATTTTAATAATAATATAGTGATAGATGGTAATTTTGTGAAATGACAACAATAATATACATCATATTACACTATTTTATTTTCATTGTTATTATAATTATTGAAATGTTGATATTTTATTAGAATGATTTTTAATGACTTTTTTTTTAGGTTGCAGTAAGAATTATGAAGCTGAAAGCGGTGAAATAACTTCTCCCAAGTTCAATTCACACACCAACTATCTACTTTGCACGTATCTCATTACGGTACCTAGAGGACGTAGAGTTACTGCAGAAATAGTGCGAGGAAGTTCAATTATTCAAACTTGTGATGATTATAGACAATCAAAATTTCTATCGAGAGAATTACTTTTGGTTAGTATTTTTTAGCGAAGCGTTTTGTAGTTAAAAATTAAATTTTCCTTTTCTTTCTTTTGTATGCTTGTATCGTGGCTACCTTAACATATTTAAAACTATACACATTTATTTAAATGACAGGAGCAAAATTTAAATTCTTCAAGAACAAATATAATTGTGTTTATCATAATAAATATAATTATAATTAATTTATTATAGTATACCATAGATAATTATCTAATAAAATATCGTATCAAAATCTGTTCTTTTAAAATCTTGTTTAACTAAATAACTACTTATTTATCAACACATAATCTAAACCGCTAGGGTAACAAACTTGAAATATTGTACATAGGTTTCTTTTATAATTTTAACATCCATTAAGAAAGGATTTTTGTAAATTAAATTCCTAAATGGGGAAAATGAAGCCTGAACGTTTATATATAATATATATGCATAGCCCAAACCACTGAGTCCAGAAACTTGAAATGTCTTCTTTATATATCATAGAAAAGCATATTGAGAAAAGCTTTTTTTACTTCAAAATTCAACCACCAAGTGGTAAAAAGAGATTAACAGATTAAAGGGGATTAAACAGTTGAATGCATGGTTTTATTTGTCTATTTTTACTTCACACAAAGCAACTGATTGGCACCTATTTCGTAAGTTTTCCCGTTTTTCCTACGTTTTTTCTCTGTTATTCTCATTTATTATGAAACTTATAGGAAAATCAAAAATCGACTTCTTTCAAGTACCACCCCAGTCAGAATTCCTTTCAGAAAAAGTGCTACATCATTGTAAATCCAATATATTTCTCGCTCCACTCTAAATCTAAAAATGTCTCTAAGTGGCTTTAAAATCGCCAAAATGTTTTGAATGTTTTGCTACGTCTAGAAAACGATATTTTAAGTATTCTGTCATTATTTAATTTACAACGTTAATCAAAATCGGAATTACTTAAAAATTAATGCTGTCATTTGCAGTTATCTCCTACGTTTTATCCTGCTTTTTCAAAATTATTATAAAAACTGATTGGGAAATCAATGAATTATTTACCAGATTTTGTTAATAAAATATCATAATGACACCTTAAAGAGAAGAGGGTACAGGGGATGATTTGAGGACCAAAATGGAATGTTCCGAGAAAATTCAAACTGTTTCGCGTTGGGAGGTTTCCGGTAGGCATTATTATTGGTCAACATGTACAGTGTATGGTTGTGTATACATGTAAACTGTACATAGGTGAAGATAAAACTAGTATATTATAATTATATTAAAATCGATAACAGTATACTAGTTGAAAATTATAGTTTTGATATTAAATTGCATATGTTTACAGAGTTTCATAACCGATACTAGATATGTATTTCAAAATGCCATGTGTATTGATCCTGTTTTTAATCCTTCGACATCAAGATATGTTTACGAATCTTCGTCAAATATAATGGTTTTAAATTATGCATTTCCACGTGGTAAACAGAATGGTTTTCTAATTAAATTCTCGTCAGCTAAGCCATCTAGTAAGTGAAAATGTATACCTATAGCTATTTCTTTTCAAAATACTTCATCACAACAATTTAATATAAGAAAACATGATGTATAGGTAATAGATATAGGATTTTAAAAATAATATACATAATACATTTTGGTGCACACATATTGCGTACTAGTCCCTCGAATCGCGTCTCAATAAATAAAGGTAATCCGTATTGCATCTCAAGTTTAATTATTAAACATATTTTCTGTTTGCTGGTTTCCAATATTTTCCAAACTGATTTTGTAAGTACTTATATTTTTGACCACTTCCCATGGTCCGATCAATTGGGAATAGTATTAAATTAAGCACTTCATACAAACCTATTGCTTTACAGACTCTGGACTACACGGACTTTCCATTCGATAATTGACTGCAGTTCATAGGCAAAACATATAAACAATAACATATTATTATATATATATTTTCTACTAGACACTACAAATAAGATTTATGAAAACCACAATTGTATTTCAAACATAATGAACATTCATTAGGTACATTATTTTGCCGTGGTCTAATAAGTCATAAGTTTTCATTAACACTGCAATATGGAAAGTAAACTTAAATTACTAATAATGTTGACTGAATAAAATGGAATATTAAAAGTTGTTGATGATCTTTAATTTAGATGCTATACAAATTATTCGAATGAAAATATAATATTTGATTTCCATCTATAATGTCCAAATAAGAATTGCAAAGATTTTTATGAATTGATACGCAAATTAGGTAACAGTCAAGTGTTAGCTTTAATTCACAATCACGAAAATCTCTAAGGAAAAAATTGAATCGCTAAAAATTTATCAATAGCTTAAAATGGAAAACATTTACAGGCCTATCAGAGCAAACAATATTTTATTTCATAGACAATTAAAAAAAGAAAACATGTCCACAATTAAACTAACTGATGTTACGTATATTAAAAATAATATGTATTGTGTACTTATAAACTGTTACCCTCAATTACCCAAAACTGTTGAGGTTTTAATCAGGTTTTAAATTGTATAGAATGTAAAACTACAGAGAATGAGCAATTTGTATTATTTAATAACTCAGAGACTGATTTAGTTATATTCCTAAATCAATCCAACTTATGCCCTTTTTTAGTAAAATTTATGTATTTATGTAGATGTAACATTTTAATTTTATTACATTTTTACATTTTTTTGTTAATTATTCACAGTTTATGGATTACACAAATTGGTCTTTATATTATGCTACTTTTTTTTTTAAAAAAAGCGAACATCGACTTACATCGAAGCATTGAAAAGCATTTAATCGCAAAATTAGTAAAATAAATCCTTCATTTTTTATTCAAATAATTTTCGTGGACTTTGTTAAGATCATACACAATACTATAAATGTAATATTGACGAAAAAAATAATTAAAAGGATATCGATTTAATCTCAGCTAATCTTGGTAGTGAAGAACTAGGCTTAGCTTCTCACTATATGGAATAGAAAATAATAAAATAACCAAATACTTATCATTAACTTTTAGATCATATTTCCTAGAACCAAACAAATTTGGGGACTTGGTTTCATCTAAGATATCTGCTATTCAACCAGAAGGATATACAATTATAGATTTTTCTAGTTATTTAGTGGATACATAATATTATAGAAACGAAGATTTTATATTTTCTCTTGATTTACGAGCAGAAATAAATTTAAATTTACAAAGAACCACCAATGATTGCAAATCTGTGCATTTAAAATTTAACAGCCTTTTTGATAAAAAATAATGCAAATCAATAGTAAAATATTAATTAAAAGTAGTCTGAAAAAGTCTGCGCACCTAGGAAACCACAATAAGTAAAACTTTAATAGTATATTATTTATAAAGTAAAATAAGACAATAATAATAATATAGAAATTAAAGATAACCTACTTATGTAAACATATTAGCTAATAAATATAAATGCACAACAAATTAAATATATTATGTTTTTAGATTAGAAGGTACCTATTGAATTTATTGACAACTACTGTCTACTTTTTTTTTTTTTGTAAATATGCAATTAAACATGATCTTATGATTTATTATGATGTACTACATTTTAATTGTGTGTGTGATTTTGCAAGACATGATATTATGTAGTAATATTGTTGTATGTTTAATTTTAAAAATCTATTAATTGTAAATTATTTGCCAAATTTACATTTTATTTGGCAATATTACTTTAGGAACTCCTTATGAAAATGAACTGTAGGATGAAAAAGTAATTCGATTCGCTTCCGGGACGCAATTCATTCAAAAAGATACATTTACCTAAATTAGTACGCAATTCGTGTATGCCTATACTTATATACCTATAAGTACTAAATTAAATTGTCGTACACTGTATAGTAATATTGTGTATTCATAATTCAATTTAAATCCTTATAATTATTGTTTTAAACTGGGGGGGAAGCAATCAAAAATAAATATTGTTGCAACAATCGTTGTGATAATACTGTCTCGGAAATCTTTCTTCAGAAAAATTCAAAAATAAATAATCTGTACATTATATTGTTTAATCATAATTAAAACTTTTTTTAACTCTTAAAATATTATAGTTTGTGGTGATGGCATAATAGACGCTAGTATCAAAGGTAAAATAGAAATACCTACAGGAAATGTAACTCAATTCTGTACATGGGATTTTACAAACACCAATGGAACTCTAATAATTGTGGCCGATTTTAACATTATAACAACCAAACTTACGTGTAACAATGATGATATATTGTTTGCAACTGACGGTATGTGTGTACTTATTCAGTTTTATTTTATTTAAATTAAATTAAATTATTAACATCACAATTAATCGTCTACAACATTAATATTTTTTTAGGAGACGAAAATTTTCTGTTGATGAAATATTGTTCAGCTTCAATTAAGAACGATAAGTTATATATTATAAGTTCATTTCCTACGACTAAAATTACAGTAAGACGTTTTTTTTTTGAGGGGGGGGGGGTAGAATCATTATCTGAATTTAAGCGATTAAGTAAATTATTTTAAAATACATACTAAGAATATATTTTAACGTTTCATTACTTAGGTAAAATCAGATCCGAGATTAGTTAATTTCACCGCGACATTTGATTATTTTATCAACTCGTGTGGCGGACAATTATATGGACAAAAAATTACAATTACTAGTCCTAATTATCCTCATAATTATCGACAAAACAATATTTGTGCTTGGTTGGCAAATCTTCCCGAAAATGAAAATATTATCGTAAGTATTACAACGATACAGTAATTCTTTTTATATTATTATATAATATATATATATACATGAATATCTAAATATATAATATTAGATGATAAATTAATTTATAATCATCATCAATATCACTGGCACTTAATAGAACTTAGCGCAGAGGTTCCCAAGCAGGGTGCCGCTAACTTAAATTTAGGGTCCCGCGAAATTATTTGAAATATATTTTTTTTTTAAAACGACTTCATGAAAAATATAGCATTACATTATACTATAGAGTCTGTAGTATAAAACCTATTGTGTATAATTAATTATATATATTATAATTTAATATATTAATTATATAATACATAGGATTTGTACATAGTAATATTGCGATCTTTATTGTTTATTATTAACATGTAACGGCAAAATAATAAAAAAACCAAAGTTACAAAATAAAAATTTAAATTCACAATGTATTACTATTGCGTATTTAGTATAGAGTATAGGGAGTATGTGCCTCCGGATCTTTAGAAAATAATTAAGGGTGCTGTAAGTCAAAAAAGGTTGGGAACCTCTGGCTTAGAGTTTTCGCTGTCATCACTAAATTTCTGCTTCCCTCTATAACTCCCGGCTTTGAAATATTTTCTTCCAATTTTATTTTCTTAGGGTTTTGGTATCCATCTACTATATCTAACTATATCTTCTGTGATTTTTTGTAATCAGATTATTAGATTATAGATTTATAATTTATAGAAAGGTATAAATCTAATATAATACATAAACATAATACATACCTATACATATTAAAACATATTTAACATATGTATGGATATCAAAAAACAGTTAATATCCAAAGATTTCTCAAATTCATCATTTTAATTAACAAACTGAATTATTTGAGTTATTTAATAATATTTGAATATATTATTTTAGATACGTTTTAACGATATTGATCTCGAATCGTCATGTGATAATAATTACGTAGTATTATACGATGGACCTAATTTTGAAAGTCCTGTGCTGGGTAAATATTGTGGAAATACTTTGCCCGAAAGTTTAACCACCACGTCCAGCACGATTTGGATAGTATTTTATTCCGATATTAAAAACAGCACCAAGAATGGATTCAATTTAACTATAGAATCTGCGCCAGGAAGCTGTGGAAATGTTTTTGTATCGGAAACTGGTGTATTTTCTACTAAAAATTATCCGAGCTTATATCCGAACAACGAAGAATGCGAGTGGACTATTGCGGTAGGGCCAGGTTACCATATCAGCTTGAAATTCATTGAGCGTTTTAGTCTGGAACAAAGTATAAATTGTACAAAAGACTATATACAAGTAAGAATATTACAATTAAAAGCAGATATCTATTAAATTAAGTTTAACTTTAATCACAATAAAAAAAAGGCATTATTATATTATAAATGTGATATTTTTCTGTTCCAAAATTGAACACTTTATTAAAACTTACCGAAAGAAAAATATAATTTTGATATTTTTTAGGTTTTCGACAACATAAATGATAATTGGGTACAAATTGGAGATCGTTTGTGTGGTCGTCAAATTCCACCTGTATTCAACTCAAAAGAAACAAAATTAAAAGTTCGTATACGAACTGATAGCGACATACAGGGGGATGGATTTAAAGTGAGTAATGTAGAGATGTCTTATTTTTTTTCTATTACATTTCTCTCGTTAATATATTCATCCAGGCCTCTTGGAGTAGTATTTGCGGTGAAATTTTCACACAGAATTCCGGCCGAATAATTTCACCAAATTATCCAGGACCATATAAACAAAATCTATACTGCAATTACACCATAGTCAGTCCCAATAAGAAAATAAAATTGCTTTTCAAATTTTTCCATCTCGAAGGTACACGAATATTAATTAATTTACTTTTTTTATATGAAATTTTAAAAGTAAAAAAATAAATATTTTAAATCACATATTATGCGTGACAAAAATAATGAATTATCGTATATTTTTTATGATCTATCAGCAGGTGGTAAATGTGGTTATGATAATTTAACTATATATGAAAATGCAGATTATGTATATAATCCTAATATGAATTCTAGAAGTTTCTTTAATTCGATTGTTGGAATATATTGTGGATATTACACTCCAAAAACTTTAACGCTCAATAATGGTGTTTATATTATATTCCAGACAGATGGATATGCTAATTACAGAGGATTCGAAATACATTACAAAATAGAGGGTAATTAAATAAATAAATAAAACATTTTGTAGGAAACACGGCACATATTTAAAATCAACCTTAATGAATTACCAAAAAACCTACTTCAATGTGAGAATGTACCTGTCTTTTCCTTTTTTTTAAAAAAAATAAAAATAGATTTTCAAATGAAGCAAATTATAAATAATAATGCCTAATTGGTTTAATATTAAGTTTATACAATTTATCTATAGATTGTGGAGGTGAAATTACGACTCCAGGGTTAATAAAATCATCAATTGGTTCAGATGAGTTAGCCAACGGATACCCGAGTAATCAAAACTGTACATGGATTATTCGAGCTCCACCAGGACAGCGTGTACAGCTTGTGTACGTTTTACTTTACATGATTAATCTTTGATAACATATTTTTTTTTGTCATTTTATTTATTTTACAGTTTTTCTAAATTCCGATTAGAAGGAAATAGAGATATGCCATCATCGTCTATACAAGCAGGAAATAATTCAATAAATCCAGAAGACATATGTCCATACGATGCTGTTTTTATTTTTGATGAAACTAGTATAAATAGTAGCACTCCCAAATATCTAGGAGTATATTGTGGAGTTTTAGAAAATTCATTACCCGAGGTTAAGTCTGAAACAAACGTAATGTATATACAGTTAATTACTGATAGCTCGAAAACTGACGAAGGATTTGTTGGTGAAGTTTCTTTTATATACGGTGACTATTTGTATAATAAACAATTTTTTTCTCAATTACTAAACATTAGAATACAAGATATAATACCAACATTTTTAATTATACAATTATTTGATTTAAATATTGTAATGAATATATGTATGAAAAATATATATAATTTAATTTTTTGCTTTGTTCTGTTTATTTTTTTTTTGTAATAATGTATTATTAATATGTGTTTACTTATTTATTTTATTATTTAGATGAATCTAAAGGTTGTGGCGGTACTATACGATTAAACTATTCAAATAGCAATTATACACTGAAATCGCTAAAAATGCCGATAAAAAGTAATCTTGATTGTGGATGGTTAATATTAGTAGAGCCATCATATGTTGTTCAGGTTCAAGTTGTTAATTATGTAGAAACGCCTAAATGTCCATTGAATACCACGAATTGCCGATGCAGTTCCATCCAGGTTAGAAATTATGTATTATTATTGACTATTATTAAATTTGTGTAAAATGTAATTTTTTACATATTTTATTCGTTCACGCATATTTATACATTTAAAACTATTTAATATCTATATTGGTAGTGTAGTAATTATATCAATTTTGAATTTCAGTTCTTCGATGGTCCCGGACGTACAGCTCAAATAATTCGTCAATTGTGTCCAGAAAATAATAACAATCCTCCTTTGGTGTCATCTACAAGTGAAGCTTTCCTACGATACCAAATTTTCGATATCGATTTAGACGTACATTTTGAGATAAATATAACATCTAAGATTTGTAATTCAACTATTATACGCAAATTAAATAAAGCAATAGTCTTAAGATTGGTTTTATTTTTTTAAATTAAATAGCGGTCTGTGGTCAAAGGGAATTATCCTTGACAAATGAAACTCAAATATTAACATCTCCAAACTATCCATTACCGTACAGGAATGATTTGATTTGTACTTGGTCTTTGAAATTGGATCCTTCCATGCCAATTGTCACGATAAGTTTCATTGATTTGGATTTAGAAAACACCAAAGACTGTTCGTCTAATTATTTGGAAATACGCTATATGCCGGTAAATATTTTTAAAATATTGAATTGCAATAATTGTTTGAGGAAAAAAAAAATGATATATTGATTATTTTGTAATTTGTTATAAAAACATATTAGCTCACTCAAAATATTTTAAAATTAATTGATACATTTGTATTTAGATGAAGGATATGACAAAATATTTACGCATGTGTCATCAAGATCATAAGTTTGATTTCATGCAGTATATGTGGTCCAATACGGTTGACTTAAAGTTACATACAGATAGTCAAAAAACGTCTAAAGGGTTTAAATTAGAGTACTCGAGTTCAAGTAAATTTATAAAATAATTTTAATTATTATTTACAGCAAAATTACCTGTGATTATATTGATTTAATACCAGTGCTATTTTAAATTAGTTAGTATATATTTATTTACCTACTTGTTATAGACTGCCGAAAAACATACAATAAAGAAAACGGGCGAGTAATTATGAATTCAAATCAGAAAAAATCTCCTGTGGTGTGTACATTTACAATAAGCTTGAACCATCCAAATTTAACGATATCCGTTTACTTTTCAAAAATAAATGTGCTGAACCAAAAGGATAACAATTTTTTAAAAGTAGGTACCGCATTTATTTAATAATTGATGTTTTTTGTTGCAGTCCGCTACCCAAAACATAATATTTCAATAAATATGATATTATGTTCATTTCAGATTTACGACGGACCGTCCGTCTTTTCGCCACTGATTAACGCTGATATACCAATGAAGTACTCAGGTCCATTTTCGATTTTTTCGACTGGTCCATCATTAACAATGTCCTTTAAAATGTCGCCTGATTTTATTGGGATGTTTGATATGATATACACTTCTACGAAAGAAGGTGATGCGATTTTAAAATGGTTAAAACAATACATTCACGTGTATCGTAATATTATGATTTATACAGTGCGTTATATTTAATCGTTTATAATATAGGCAGAGGCTGCGGTGGTAAAATTTACAACACTGAAGGTTTGGTGACCAGTCCATTATATCCATATGTATACAGGAAGAATGCTACTTGCAAATGGGATATCGCCGTACCCAGACCACACTCAATTAATATTTTATTTAGAAGTTCGTAAAATTAAAAATGTTTTTATCTTGTATGTTAATAAATAAATAATAATGTTTATTTGTTTTCAGGTTTTGATTTGGGTACTAGAAAATCGTGCGATACCGATTATTTAGAAATTTACGACGTTAATCAGATGACGGAACAGTCATCGCTTGTAACAAAATATTGTGGCCAAGTGAGTATAGCTGTTACATTGTTCAATAAAATATTATAATATTTTATTATTTGAAACGTAAGCGTAATAATTTTCAACGTTCATTGAGAAACTAAAAATTTTGATTTGTGTGAATTGTTACTGTTACGAGATTTAAGACCTACCATATGGACGTTCATATACTCATATAAAAGTAGAAATGGAAATAATTTTTAATATACTGATTAGGTAACTTAGTTGCTTACAGAGCTGGACATGATTTCAAATCCTTTGAATTTTCAAAATCCAAAATTAATTCCAGATTTTAGATTTTAAAAATAAGTTTAAAAAGGATTTTGATTTTAAAAATTAAATTTACAAGGATTTGTAATTTGATTTTAAAATACCATTGTAATGATTTTGAATTTCGATTTGTCAGTTTTTAACATGAACTTGGATAACATATTTTTATACTTTTATAGTTCGTGGTTTTTAAAAATTAGAAAAAAAAAAATGTGAAAATGGTTACCATGGTTATTAGATACATGTTAACTGTGCTCAGTTACCAAAAACATTTATACTAAACATTGATATCATATCAATATGTCTTTAGATACAATAATATTAATATTTATATATTATTATTATGTCCTTCACGAACGTCTCTTTGTATTATACAATATAGACTAGCTGCTGGTCAAAGCTTTAATGACAACGTTTTAATATTTTTTTATACCCATAATTTTACGTCATTTTATTTTATCATAGTATTTTCTGTTTAATTTAGAACAATGTGTATTTATTTATGAAATATTTTTTGAATGTCAAATCTTCTGTAACCTTTCTTAGAAATTTTGGGAAAACAGGCAATGGGGAAAATAATTTTTGGAAAAAAACAATTGGGGAAAACAGATTAAGAAAAGTGTCTCCCTACCAAATTTTTTATATTTTTAATTAGCTGTCCCGCCTGTCGTTGTCCGTGTAAATTTTTTATTATGTGTTTTACCCATATTATTTTTTGGTATATTGACCGTGTTGGTATTGAGTGAAAACAATTAGGCGGAAAGTGGTCCACCGAAAGTGGTTCGTCGGACTAAAAGTATTCTGTTATGACATATATTTTTAAATTTTAAATTACTATTTGCCTTAAATATCAAAGATTTTTGGATACACCACGTTAAGTATCTCATTTTTGTGGCCAGCAAATTTGTTTTGCATGTGACACGTGACAGAGCCACGTACAATTGACCACGGGAAAAACATTGGACGGTTAGGTCTAAACTCTAAACCATCAATATTTAATATTTGATCTTGTGCCTTATTTATGGTCATTGAAACATTGATATCATTGGTAAGACCATTTCCCCCGCTCAATAGCCAGTAAGAATCATACACTCAAGTAAATAGTTTTTTTAAAGATTTTATTTGAAATTTTGTGTGTTATTAATTACCTCAGATACGTTTTGACCGACCTTTTAAACTTTGTCTATAGAGTATATAAAGACAACGATTATAAATTGCTAAAGTTGCTAAATTGCTTAATCAGTATGTTGAAAGTGGACTATGAGCCTCGTGACAAGCCAGTTATATCAAAACTAGGTTCGCAGTCTATAGGTTGGCGTGTTCTAGCGAACCAAGCATTCCTCTTGAAGCTGCTGATCGCATGAAAAACCAACTGTCTTACTGAATTACTCAGCCAAGTTAATTTAAAAGCTTCTAGATTTTCAGTTTCGTTCTTTCGTTCCGTTATTTATACCAAATTGCTATAATATAATTATATTCTTATTAATATAATTAATATATAATTAATATAATTATATTATTATAATCAACGAATCTATAGAATGATGTGCATTGAAAACAGGGGCCAGTTCCATATATTTTTTCGTGTTTACAAAATCTATAGCATATTTAACATTAAGCATTTAGTATGGGTTTTCAATTTTTTTTTAGCAAGGGTATCTATACTTAGGCCTTAGGGTAATGGCCCGTTTTGTAATTACTCAACAAAATAGGTATTTCACAATAGTATTTAACATTATTTTATTTAAAATGAGCTGGTAAAATGTATCAAAAATCGTTATCACATCAATATTATTAACGGTGGTTTTGTTCTGATTGTTAGGACGTCCCGGCGTATCATACTAGTCAATCGGGAGCCGTTTCCATTCGTTATGTAACATCCACACACAGCACTGGTTCGGGTTGGACAATGCGCTTTCATTCCGAACGTCATGATGCGCGTACTGGAGACAACTACTTTCAATATAATATAGAATATGGCGATGAAATAAATTCATAATATTTTTACATACTTATATTGTTTGAGAAATGTTTTATTATCTGCTGTTCTTCTAAGAACGTCGTTACATAATATACGCGCATAATATTTAATGAAACAAACATAATATAATTTTTATTGGGTCTGTAGTTTTATACACAAACAAAATATCTAATTAATTTAAAATAGTATTGTAATAAACACCGCTTTTTAATATATTCAATTTATAATAACCGTCTTTGTATTATAAATTAGCATTGTGTTCCATAAACTTAATCTTTAACTGACAGCTTTCCCGAATTTACTCTCTAATTTAAGCAACCACAAATTTATAATATGTGTTTATTTATTTGTCACTACACTTGAAATATTAGAAGTATAACTTAACCTAACCAATAGATATAGAAGGATAAAATAATAATTGATACTGTAAAATACTCACGGATTTGCCAATGTTATAAGTGAGAAGTTGGGAAGGTAGAATGTATAAAGATATTTTAGACTAAGATTATTTTATACATATAATAAAATAATGCGGCAGAGTACTTACGCAAAGATAAATCAATGCTGACGAAATAATATTTTGAGTAAAGTTCGGTTATAAATGTTTTGAAATGCATTGATTCTTATGATTTTCGTTAACATGTTTAGTTAAAATATTTTTAAAAAAAACACCATTACACCACTTCCAATTATATTTTCCCTGTTGACCACTGAGTACAACTTATGATTAACCACGAGTAAAATGTTCAAACTTTTTCGGCTAAAACAATATTGCATCCACATAAAAACAAATAAGATTGAAAAAGAGATACTAACATACGTTGCATATGGGTGTAGCTAATGTTGTTGGTGGGAAGTTGGGAAGGTAGGATACAAACGGGAATTTAATGTATATCTGTGAGCAACGAAAAACCATTGCTGACGAAAAAAATGATTCTGAGAGAAGTTCAGTTGATTTAATGTTACTTTATCAACAATATGCAGGTCATATTATAGTCAAATGATTACAACAATATACGTTTCCATCCCAACAATGATTTTTTAAAAATATTAAAATAATAAAACTTAATAACAAAAAATAAATAAAAATGGTTGCCAATTACAACCTTGTTTTTAATTTTTCAATCTTTTTTAACCTAAAAGTCAAGGTTTTCCTCATTATCTTGAATATTAATGAGAATTTCAAAAAAAAAAGATTTGATACTGGGAATAGGTGCAGCCACTGTTTTAGGTGAGAAGTTGGAAAGGTAGGATATACAAGGTTATTTTATTTATATCTGTAAACAACGATAAACCATTGCTTAACGAAAAACAATTCCAAGTGCAGTTCGGTAATACATAATTTGAAGCGCCGTAATTTTTTTTGCGATTTTCATTTAAATTTTATTTCAAAACAATTAATAAAAAAATCATTAAATGATTTTGAAAATTTTACCACGTCTAGGTAAATCCACTCAAGTATTATTACCAAGTTTCAAGTCGCTATGTGTATTTATAATCGAAACACAGCAAAAAAACTCCCAAATATTAAAATTCTTTAAAAACTCAAAAGTGGCTCAAAAGTTTTGACAATGATACCGTTAAAAAATAAATTATAAAAGCAACAAAGAGGTATCTTGTAATTTTTCGATTAAATCATTTTTTCTGGTACTAAAAGGTCGTCCGTGTTTTTATAAAATAATTAAATCGTGAAATTGTACATTTCCCTACTTTTTTTTCCCATTTAATTGCTTTTATTTAAAAAAATGACCTCTTTAAAGTTCTATCTAGATAACTTGAGTTTTCAGAAAAGTTGCTACTCATAAAAATCGGAGCAAGTTTATTAGGAAAAAACGTGTTCACAGACGAAAACAAAGATCAAATAAAAAGAAGAAATAAACACCATTTCAAAATCAATACATTCCTCGCTCTATTCAGAATCTAAAATCAACATCATTGTAAAACCAATACATTTCTCTTTTCACTCAGATTCTAAAAGTGGAACAGGTAATGTTCTTCCGTGTGTGCTGGGCAATTTTGATAATTATTTTACTAAAAATATTGTGTAAGAATATTTGTTTTATGCAAAACAGTTTTTACAGTTAAATTATTACGTATATCAAGGTAGGCGGAGGTATACAGGATTTGCATGACCGTCATCGTAATGACAATAATCGGTATTCAGCATTTTTTTGACGATAGCCATAATGTATGATTTACAAATTGCAATAAACTTTGCATTAAAATAGAATATTTTTGTTCTATCACTACTTACTTAGCCAAAAATAAATAATTGTGTAATATAATTTAACAATATTATAATATTTTAAAGAGCTACTACAGTTTGTAGTAACATATATTATGGTATTGTGCTAATAATGTAAGGTAATGCACAGTAAAATCATTCAACAGATTCTCATATATGATGCACCAGAACAGTTAAATAAAATAATTTCTAATGCCAAAGTATTTTCAGAAAAAATGAACGTAGACTTATTTATTTATTTTAAAAACATCATAGGAAACGGTAGATTCTTATAAATGTTGATACCGATATTCAAGTTTAATTTATAGTGATCATTTTTTATTTTTACCTACTGTACTTTCATTTTTTGTAGGAATTTTTTAGTTACCATCAATTTTACTTAAATTCGGTAATTCTCTATAGCATAACCCCCTCCCCCATCAAATTTTGCAGGTACTAGACTTGACGGTATGTATGCTATCATCATAATAATATGATTAGTAACCCATAATAGGGTTAATTTATTGACGCGTTCTGAATAGAAGACTAAATACGTTATTTATATAATAATGAAATATAATTATTTGATTGTAGTGTCTATAATTTTAAAAATTAATTATGTTATATCTACTTAATATTCGTGTAATCTTAAGTGTGTGTGCGTGTATGTATTTTATGTTATTGGATAGTTGTATTGTGTGCCTATTGAAAATATTAATGTGTATTTAGTATAGTGTAATACTGAAAAACTAAAAAAAGGCTTAAACATTTCTAAAGTTCTAACCTCAACCCTACTATCGGTTCGTATGTTAGCGAAAAACTCGATATACTTTACCTATTTCGATAAAACTAATTTGGGTCGATTTCTCATCATTATAAAAAAATATATATATATATATATATATATATAAAGAAAATAATGCTGATGTTGTTGATGGGTGCGTCATTGTTATTTGTGGAAAGTTGGAATGGTAGTATATATACATAAATAAATTTAATTTGTATATATAGGTAACGAGAGACTATTGTTATCGAAAACCGTGCAGAGCAAAATCCAGTTATATCTGTTTTGAAAGGCCATAATATTTACTTACTCGTCAAACTTTGATATGAAAATACATATAAAAAAAAAATGCTACGTTAAACTTAACTTTTTCTTGTTAACCACAAAGTAAAATTTATAATAAACCTTCTGTTAAAAAAGGATTTCCGTTTAATAATTTTATCCACAGGGTAAGTATACTGAATAAAAATTACGTAAAAAACTCGCAAAACTAAAATGTCTCCAAATAGCTCAAAAGTTTTAAATATTTTGCCACGTCTAAAAAAGGTAAATATTAGTTTTTATCTAAATTAAAAGTTTTTATGACTAAATCACAACAGAAACAAAATTTAAAATAATACATTTCTTACATTTTCCTGTTTTTCCTAAGTTTTACCCCGGTTTTTCCTAATTATCATAAAAACTACTAAAATCAAAAAATGACCAAATGTAGTATCATCCCAGTCAGATCTTTTTTAAGAAAAAGCGATATACTTTTAAATGGGAAGAAGATTTCGGGTAGAAATTGTATACACAGTATAAATAATAAAATAAATAAAACCAAGAAATTCCTCGCTTCGCACAAAATTGAAAATAGAAAATAATAAAATAGCGTTATTTTCGTAAATGTTCTCGTTCTTTACACATTTTATATTCTTTGTAGAGCAAGGAATGTATTGGTTGTACAGTGGTGTTTATTTTAATTTTATTTTTTTTATGTAAACACTTTTTCTGAAAAAGTTTTTGGATAAAAAAACTAATTTTAAATATACTCTGAGTAGTTTTTTAGAGAGGTCATTTATTGAAATTCTCATTAATATTCGTGATAATGAGGAAAACTTAATTTTTTAGGTTAAAGAGATTGAAAGGTTAAAAATAAAGTTGTCATTGGCAACCGTTTTTAATTAAATATTTTGTTATTATTATGTTTTGATTATTTTAATAATTTTTAAACAATTATTGTTGTCATGGAAAAGCACATTGTAATAATTTTACCTTAATATGACATATATTGTAGGAAAAGCAACACTATCAATTGAACTCCGATTAGAATTGGTTTTTCGTTAGCAATGGTTTATCGTTGCTTATATATATGCATTAACTTTTCCTCCTACTACTTTCTCAATTTCTCACGCACGTGGCTAAAGTGACTGCAGTCACGTGCGAAGTTTGTCCGTCATTTTTTTTCTGTTTAGCTCAACTATTGAAAAAACTACAGCGATAATCTGAAAAGGACTTTCTTCGTGATAATCTAGATACAAAATGCAACAAAAAAGGGCTGCATGCATTTTTTTTTTTGTTTAAAGCAATATTTCTAATAAAAAATATAGTTTGAAAACTTAAAAATAATCAAATCGGTAAGCTTTTAAAGAGCATTCAAAGTTTTATACATGGCCCCTCAATTTAAACACAGAAACTCCAAACTGGTGTCAAAACATTCATTATTATAGTTTGCAAGAGTTTGCAAGTCCATTCGCAGAAGTTCCAAATCTGTTTCTAGCCAAGGACGCGTTTTTAAATTGTATACAAGTCTTTATTTTGATTTATTTTTTATCTAGTAGTTGAATAAGAAAATCGTTTTTTGATTGTTCCTGTAGTGTTTTCAATAATCGAGTGAAACCAGAAGAAAAAGTAGGAAGAACTGGAAAATGTACGAAAATAGTTTTACTCTCATAACATGTATAACCAACTTTGCTCTGAACTGATTTTTGTAAACAATTGTTTATCCCTCCTAATTTTCCATCTACAACAGTGGCACACGCGTTCCCAGTATCAGCTCTTATTTTTTCACCAACAAATGTAATTTATGATAATTTTCGTGTGAAATGTTTAAGAATTTCTGCCGGCCAAAACAATTTTATCTGCATAACATCAAATAAATAACAAAAATAATCTCCAGAATGTTTTGAAAACTTAACCACAATACTTAAAATGATGAATAATATTCTGTGAAAATGTTAGGTTTTTACAATTATTCTTTTAAACAAAATCAGTACAAAAATACAAAATCGAAAATAACGATACCATTATTTTACATTTATTTTCCAATTTTCCAAACGATTTAAAGATTCTGAGTGGAGTAAGGAAAATATTAATTTTACAATGATTTAATTTTATTATTATTATTTTTTCTTTGAACAACATTTCTTCTAAAAATTTTGCTCCGACTTTTGAGTGTATCACTTTTTCTAAAAGGAAATTTGACTAGAGTGGTATTTTAAGAAGGTAATTTTTAATTTTTTCCGGAGTTTTCACAACAAATGCGAAAAAAACGGAAAAATTAACAAAATGTATTATATTCAAATCATAAATATTACGGCTTATCAAAAATAAAAATGCCTAATCATTAAACACGAAGTTTAATATAAGGTATATTTATAGTGTTCAACAAGAAAAAGTTGAGTGTAATTGTATTTTTTTATACGAACTATATTTTCAAATTTTGACGAATATCGTAAATATTACGACCTTTTAAAACATGTATAACTGAACTCTGTTTAGAATCGTTTTTCATTAGCAATGATCAAATTTTGTATACTATTTCCCCTCTTTCTTCTTAATTTTTTCCCTAAAATAGTAGTCGACCCATTGTGCGAAGTATATCGGTTAGTTTTTTTTTTTTTTGTAATTTTTCTCTAATACGCTTATAATAAAAAAAAAATTTTATTTTTCATTATTATCGTTGCTATACGTTCAGGCTAAGCGTGAATAAAAATATTTTAACATTTTTTGTCTTTAGAATCTCAATAACTAGAAAATAAGCCGAAGAAGAAGAAGACATAAACGGTTATAATTCAACTATTTTAGAAAACGTGAATAATGGCATTTTCTATAAATATAAACGATAAAGTATCATATTTTCGGCGAATTGCATAGTATATATTATTTTAAATGTAAACCATAATATTATTTTGTCATAACCAGCGTTACAAAAAACAGACCTTTGTAGCGCTTTGTCAAATCTGAACGCGTGCGGTGTATATAATAATAAATGTTATCAATTTGGGGGTGGATTCAAGTAACCGAAATGACGAATCATTATCTGAAGACTGGTTAATCTCATTATAATAATATACCGAATATTATTCAATGGCTTCAGTTCTCGTTTGGAAATGCTTCGATCATATACTCGTGTGTACCTGTCACATTATAATATTTGAACGAATGCAAAACTGATACAATACTTATTATCCAAATGTAATTTGTCGAAGTTTTATAATCGTTATAACTATAGGTAATCGTTTTTGATGAATTAGGATTTTATCACCTGCCCCAAAATGAGGTTTCTTTTTTATATTTTACTTTCGATACTTATTCCTGCGGCTCTTGGACTATACAGTAATCAGTAAGTATATGAGACATAGGTTAGGTTTAAATTTTGAGTAAAGGAATGTGTTGGTTTTAATTAATGATCCCAATGATGATATGTTAACAAATGTTTTTGAAGGATTAAATCTAAATATATTTTTGCGTATAAATAAATAAAAGAAAACTATTTTAGTTACGTACACTGTAATAAAAATTACGACACTTGTAATTAATAATGGGTAGGTAATTACCCATTTTTAACTATAAAATAGTTACGGATAAAGAAAAAATGTTTTCATTAAAATTATCGAATTTCAATATCTATAATATTATTATTCATATGATACCTATCATTGGTTTCAGGGAATAAAGGCTTCAGTAAATTTTTATAAATTCCTCGTATGCAATTTTCGTCATAATTTCACAATAATTTGTTTCCGTAAATTTAATTACGGTTATATTATATTATATAAATACATTCTATTAAAAAAAAAAAAATTATTTTTATAGAACTGTTTATTATGCCAAGCACCTGGGTACTATTATTATAATTTTTTATTTTAGGCCACGATTTCGTTCGGAAAATGGTCATTTGTACATTGAAAGTTCTACGAGCCACAACGTTTCGTTGAATATCAAAGGACAAGGTTATATCAACGTGAATAATGAGAATTTACTTCAAATTATCAGACTGGTATTTTACCTAAAAAAATATTATTGTTCGAATGATTTCGTTGATTAAGTAATTAAATTAAGTGTTTATTTCGTAGGCAAAAGAAGCGTGGGATGAAATCGAATCGTTCCGTTCCAACGATTTGCCCGAGTTTGCGGATTCGGTAAAAGCCATTTCACCAATGTTCGACGGACCGAAAAGTTTGACCGACCGCGTGACATCTCTTGAAATGCAAATGATGAACGGCACACTGTCGTCGACATTGCCTTCCAAGGGAGTAAGTACCGATGCCAACACGATTATATTTTGTAGTGTCATACTTTATCGTTTTATTTACACTATATTATATTAATACGATGTTGATATAGAAGAGTGAAACGGTCCTTAATGCTGGTAAACTAGAGATCAGAGTAAGTACCTATAATAACTGTCTCTCTTTACGTATAATTTAGTTCATTAACTAGGCAACAAAAAGGTAGATAAATAACCATGAATAATACCTACTGTTTATAATGATTAGCTGAATAATTTAGAAAAAAAAATCAACATCCTCACGAACCTACTATCGACTAGCGAATGTTTGAGTAACCCTTGCCAGAACGGTGGGACGTGTATGGATTTGTACAACGGATTCCAATGTAATTGTCCGCACAATTGGCAGGTTAGTATTTTATTATAAGTGTGAGTTATCAGTATTTATGATAATAATATATCAGTAATATAATAATATATGATACTCCCCTTTGCATTATAATCGATAATAGTTTATCAGCTATAATAAATTATAAATATTTTTAAATGAAACTAAAAGAATAAGCCTGAGTCTGTACTTATATATTTTTGATTAATATTCAAAAATTACTTACAAAAAGTCAATATTTATTTAAATAAATTCAATAATAAATCGTTGGAAAGCTAGGATACATACAGTTATTTAATTTAAATTTGTACGCAACAAAAAGACCATAGCTAACGAAAAACAATTCGGAGCGAAGTTCGCTAAGACATATTTTTAAATGCCATAATTTTTACAATTTTCAACAAAATTTGATCTTAAACGATTATGAAAAAAAAAACTGAAGCATTAAACTTAAATTTATTTTTTAGATAACTAAGTACAACTTATAGTGTAATTTGTGTGAAATTTTCAAACATTTCTCTTAAGTCAGATGATTTTAATAACAGATAGTTTCCAAATAAAAATACACATAAAAACAAGAAAATATCAAATACCTAAAAATTGCTAGAATGTTTTGAACATTTTACCACGTCTGCAAAAGTCTAATATAAGTAATTTGTGAAAACTACTGGTCACCATACTAATTTTTAATCGAATAACCGAGAAAAAAATAAATAATTTAAATAATAAAATAATTATTTTCGTACATTTTCCCATTCTTTTTACATTTTATTCTGTTGTACGTGATTATTAAATAAATTACAAAGAAAATAAAAAAACGAGTTTCTTGGTTAGGAATATATTCGTTTGACAAAGTTGTGGTTTTTTTTTTAAGAATTTCCATATCAATTTTTAGCAAAATCACAAATATTACGATCTTTAAAAAATATGTATAAACGAACTCCGCTCAGAATTTTTTTTCTGGTAATCATTTATCATTGTGTACAGATATACATGAAATTCCCTTTTATATACTACCTTCCCCACTTCTCATCTACAGCATCAGCCCATCTATCGTGCAAAATATGTTCGTAGTTTTTATATACGAGTTTGAAATTTAATAAAAATCCTTTAATTTTGCGTATTATATTTCGATATGTGTGAATATAATTTTTAGCTGAACTAAAATGTTTAAAAATATATCACGAGGTTCATATTTTAAAGTAAAAAAAAGTAATGAAGTAGTTTATTTTTTAAGATTTTTTCAAGTTTAAAGTTATATGATAAAATTATAAAAATCCCGACATTTTAAAATAAATATATTCAACCTAACATAGATCAGATTCATATTTTGTTAGCAATGATTAATTGTTACGTACAGATAAATTAATTAGCTCTATATTATGTAGCTTGCGTTTTTAAATTGTCCACCTAAAACAGTGGCACACCCATCTGGATTTCAGCTCTTTTTCATTGTTCATTAATTATTATATTTTGTTAGAAATGTACACGAATTAAACGTTACACTTTTGCAGGGTAAACAGTGTGAGTTGGACGTAGACGAATGCGTGCGGTTCTTACACACAGATTTGGGATGCCAAAACGGAGCCGAATGTAAGAACACACCGGGAAGTTACGAATGTCTGTGCGCTCCGAATTGGTACGGGTTGCGTTGTACGAAAAAGAAAAACGATTGTAATTTTGCTTCATCGTCGGAACTCTGCGGTAACGGCGTGTGCATCAATCAAGCGTCGGCCATCGGGTACACGTGCATATGTAATCAGGTCGGTGGCCGGTCTATGGACGAATTTTTCTAATAATTATATTTCGCAGTAACGTATATAAAGGACGAGAGTACTTGGACTGAAACTATTTTGTTTAAATCATTCTGAAATGGTTCCAAAAAATAAAAAAATATCATATACTTTTTACAGCTACAACTGTAGAAGGGAGTTTTTGGACACTATTGGCCGACAAATACGTGCCAGAGGAATCAACAGGATAATGTATATCTATTTGTATTATACAATATGTCATAAATAGAAACTACATATTTATAACCCGTTAGCCCACTACCGAATTTCTAGTTGTAGTTAGGCTATAGTAATGAACAGGCCCATAGTGAAAATAATTCCTGTATACGTTACTCAGGCGCTACTCTGGATTTATAGAACAATAGGACACGGGGCAAATAGAAGAAAATGGATACCAAATGTATCTAAACATACAATATTTTCAACTGCTTAACATACAAGTGTAATTAAAAAAATAATTGGAAATATAACATTCCAAATATTCATAAACTTATTTAGTTACTTATGTAAAAGTTATATTTAACCAAAATAATTATTAAATAAAAATAATAATTTATACGTAATACGTACATATTATTTTATCTTATTCGAACATTTTTTTTCTGGATTTGTCTTTGGCGAGTCAATATAGAAACCTAGAGACGGATCCCTTAAGCCCCATTGTAAGTCTGGGCCTGACGTCACTGACGACTACAGCGTGTCCCAATATGTTCGACTGATTTTTCTAGCGCTATTAATATTAAATTTTTTTTCAATGGGTTTATCTTTAAGGAGACATCTGTTTGGAGAAAAATTAAATGTTTATTTTCATTCTCTAAACACAAAAAAAAAAAAAAAACTATTTATTCACTTAAGACAATTTTCAAAATAGCTATGTATAAAATAAATTATTCTAAAAATTTTAATGTATCATACATTCATATCCAATTAATAGTTTCTTAATTATAGCGTTTTAGTTTCTAGAAAACATGCGTGGAAACAATTAATATTCAATAAAATAACACATTATGCGATAAGGAATTACAATCAGCACAGTAATTCTTTACCTTCTATTGAATATTAATTGTTTTCAGGCCTAATTAAAATAGTCGTTTGACTATAACTAAAAAATTATTCATCAGATTTGAATGTATGATGCATTCAAATTTTTAGAATAATATTTTTTACAAAATGGGTATTTTAACATTTTTTCAAATGAATAAATGAAGTGATTTTTTTTTGTTTATAGTTTGTTTAAAATGCAAATTTAATTTTTCTTCAAATTGATATCCCTCTCGAAAACAAATCAATTGAAAAAAAATCGAAAAACATTTAATATTAACAGCGTTAGAAAAATTTGTCAAACATGGCGTGACACACTGTATAGCTACTTAATACACATTTAGTTAAATCGTAAAATGATTATTATTATTTACTATCATTCATGCGTTATACGAACGTTCAGGGATGGACGACCGAAGACGGGAGAATTAATCCGGCGTGCACCAAAGACGTGGACGAATGCAAGGAAAACAGTCACACATGCTCGGCAGAACCGCTTGTAGAGTGTAAAAACACAAGAGGATCATTTACTTGTGGAAACTGTCCGATTGGTCTGTACCTAATTATATCATTGATTTTCTTTGTTATGTTTTAATAACTGAGCAAAACTGAAAAATATGTAGAAATTACGGGGAAATATACGAAAATAATTTATTATTTTAATTTAATTTTTTTTTTTTATGTTATTCAGTTTAAAATATTCGTAGTGACTTTAAGACATTTTCACATGAAACATATGTTTACTTTTTCTAGACGTGGTAAAATTTTCAAAGCATTTAAGTTATTTTTAAGATAATCATAGACATTTAAATTTTAGAAGTTTTTACATAATTTTTATTCGGTAGATACTATATAGATAAAATTAGAAGACCAAACAGAAATGCTGGGAAATTTAACAGGAATTTCATTATAATTTGTGCTTAGTGGTCAAAAAGGAAAAGTTGAGTCTAATGCAGTCTTTTTCTATAAGAATTTTAACATCAAATTTTGATGAAAATCTTAAATATTATGACCTTTTAAAACATATAAAATTTTTCAAATAGAAGCAATTAAGTGGGAAAAAACGTAGAGTAACGTACAATTTCACGATTTCATTATTTTATAAAAACACGGACGATCCTTTTGTACAAGAAAAAATGATTTAATCGAAAAATCACAAGGTATCTTTTTTGAAATACTTTTTAACGGTATTATTGTAAAAAAATTTAGGAATTTTAATTTTTGAAAGGTTTTTGCTGTAATTTGGTTATAAATACACGAAGATACTTGAAACTTGGTAGTAATACTTATATTGGACTTACCTTGACGTGGTAAAATTCCTAAAATCATCAGATTTTTTTTTTTAATAAGCGTTTTGAAATTAAATTAAAATGAATATCGCAAAAATTATGTATAACTGAACTGCGTTCGGAATCATCTATTGTCAAGCAATGGTTTATCTTTACTTATAGACATAAATGAAATAACCTGAAATATCCTACTTTCCCAACTTCTCACCTACAACAGTGGTCGCTTCCATCCCCAGTATCAACTCTTTTTATAATTGGTGTTACCACGATAATATTATTCATTTTTTTTTTTGTACGGCGTTAATATTATTGATACCTTTGGCCTATCCTTAAATAGGTTTCGAGGGAGATGGTTTCTTATGTACGGACGTCAACGAGTGTTTAGTTGACAATGGCGGATGCAGCACGAATCCTAGAGTCCCGTGTATCAACACGAGAGTACGTACATCATTTATTAATTACTCCAAAATATACCTCGTTAAATGTCAAAAGTTAATAATTTTTGTTATTCATTGGTTTTCACATTCGAAAATCTTTAAATAATATCCAAATGTGGGGCTTTGTTTAGAAAAGAGTTCATTAACTAATTTAATGTCATTAACCAGAAATATGAATTCCATATTGGTACTAATTATATCACTTCACTGTTCCTATTCATTTATATATCTTGTTTTATGATTTTCAAGGGTTCGTTCAAATGTGGTTTGTGTCCTCCTGGTTATAGTGGTGACGGATTCAATTGCGTCTATATAGATAATGGTGGAGCTTGTGCGATAAACAACGGTGGTTGTCATCCGAATGCCGACTGCACTGGTAATTCAAAGAAAAACTTATAATATAGGTAGTATTAATGTAATTTTATGTTATGCACTCTGGGAATACCTAATTTTAGTTTATGCCGAAACAACAATTCAGTGTACATGTCGTCGAGGTTATGTCGGCAACGGACATGTATGCGTTAAAGATAGTTCAGCTACAAATGTATGCGCAAACAATCCTTGTGGTCTTCACGGATCATGCATTTCAAATGGAAACAATACTTTTTCTTGTGAATGTAATGAAGGATATATAGGTGATAATTAATTATTCAAAATTCCATAAAACATTACGAATTTGTATAGATTCTCAATTGTATTTCAGGAAACACGTGTAATATTCATAGAGAAAATCCATGTTTTAGAAATCCATGTCGAAACGGTTACTGTATTCCTGAGATGGAATCATATACATATTCATGTCACTGTGACCCGGGATATTTTGGAGATTTATGTGATTCGGCACTAGAGCGTAAGTACACAAATCTACCAAACGGAAATTATTTTTGTTATATAATGTTTATAACTTTTACGACAAAAAAAAGTAAGTCCTGGGAAAATAATTATAACATATAAGTCTAAAATCTTGATTTTGTTAAAATTTGAAATTACTTTTGATTGTATAAAAATACTCTAAATAATGACATAGGTAATACAGTGACGACATATTTCTCCGTATAAAAATAACAATATCCATCAATTTTTTTTTTTTTATAAGATTTAACTTAAATATTTGAAAAAATATTTAATTAGGGATCATAGTAGGGCCCATTAATTAAAATACCTCTGCCACCCCTACTTTAGATTGTATATATTCAAAACTATACAAATTATTTAGATTGTAGACTTATTTAGACGTGTATGTATATTATAATTATGTATATTATTTTTACGATATTTAGAATGCGGTGGGTTTCTTTTTGTGCCCAACATTACAATCCGTCACCCCGAATCAAATACAACATATTTGGATAACGAGAATTGTGTTTGGAATATTATTGTGAACGAAACAAAAGTATTGAATATATCATTTGTTTGGATAGATGTTGAAAAATCGATTGATTGTTTTCGTGATTATATTGAAGTAAGATTGTACAAATAAATTTATTATTACCTTAATCCGGGCACGTATACAAGAGGGAGGATCAACTCCCCCCCCCCGAAATTTCACGAAAATTATAATGTAAGTAAATTTTTAATAGAATCTCAAAAATAGTTTCGGTCAATGAGGAAGATTAATAAAATTTTGGTTTTATTTTAATTTTATTATTAGATAGTAGGTATATATTGTTAGTATTGTTATTTCTAATTTTTTGTAGTTTTCTGCTTTTAGAAAACTATAACTGATACTGTGATATAGCGTAGTCCGCATTATCATCACTATAATATGAATTACGTTATCATTTAGTCTGTATTCACTAAAAAAATATTAAATGTAAAATTTAGTAATATGTACAAAAGCTAAAAATGCCTAAAAAATGGGTATTATAAAATAATAACATCTTAATGAAAAATAAATAATCCTACAATTGAATGCATGTAAACTTCTTCGTTATAAGAGCATGAAAGTGTATTAACTAAACCCCTCCCCCCGAAATATAATGTTTGTAAACGCACCTATCTTAACCTCTTCAGTATTACTCTTGGTTCACTAACTCAAATTGTTTTAGATCACGAATAACGAAATTGAAGGCGGAAGAACACTAGGGAAATTTTGTGGAAACACTTTACCAATGAACAATAGTATAATATCTGACTCGAACCATGTTCTCATACATTTCCATTCGGACTCGACGATGTCTTATCTGGGGTTTGAGTTACAGTATACATCGATAAATCCATGTATACATAATATATCATAATCTATAGAATATATGATTAATATATATATAATTTATTAGTTTATTTCATATATCTATAAACTCCATGTGTATTGATTTTATTTAGATTGTGGTGGAGTAATACATATTGATTCACATGGAACGTTGTCATCCCCCGGATCGCCGGGCAAATATCCTCCAAATCGAGACTGTTATTGGACGTTGGACGCTCAACCCGAAATGCGAATACAATTGTTATTTTTTTCGTTGCAACTGGAACATCATGTGAATTGTAGTTATGATTATTTAGAGGTAATAATAATAATAACTCATTCACAAGGCTATGTAAACGTATTATACAAGCGTTGCGTATTGTGCACACCAATAATAAAATATTATTATGTTTGTATATTGAAACGATTATTGATTTAGATTAGGGATGGTATCACCCAGCAAAGTCCTGTACTGGCAAAATTGTGCAATTCAGTTTTACCGTCTCCAATTTTAACTTCCGGCTCGAATGCCCATTTATACTTCCATTCCGATGATAATAATCAAGACTATGGATTTCAAATGGCCTATAGTTTAGTTACAGGTATTCAACGATTTTATAATATTATTACACGTTATCTATGTATTTATAACTGAGTAAAATAAATAATATACTTTAAATACACTGGATTTAATGTTTTATAGCCATGGATGTGATTTTTTAATAGGGGTTCCTGGATGTGGTGGTATTCATACAGCTCCTATGGGTATAATAACATCACCAACAGATTTTTCAAGTGATACTACTCAATATTTAAACAATTTAAAATGCGAATGGCATATTAAAATTCCTCTAAACCAGAAAATTAAACTTGTATTCATCAAGAAGTTTATTCTAGAGTTTTCTGAAGATTGTAGTTCAGATTTCTTAGAAGTAAGTTTTAGTTATCCAACTTATAGTTGAATAGTATTCATACCATACAAATATCTAATAAATATATTGTACAATGTTATATTTATAGAAAACAAGCTGTAGCCCAGCTTTGATCGCGCACAGTAGTTCACGAAAAAGAATGTATAGTTTTTTCCCATGTAATCAACGGATACCCGAAATAAATTTTAAAAAAATGCAATTTTCGTATTTAAAGGACACATTTCTTGTGTGAATTCCAGTTCAGGGGACGAATTTTCCATTTAAACCGCTTTCTAAATGATCCTGAAACTAATAATAATAAACCATTAAATTATCTATAAAACCGATTAAGTAATTTATAAACTGCATTTATACATACCATCGTTGTCTTTATATATATATATATATTGATTATATATGTTGATTTGTGTTACCCGGTAACAGGGATGAAAAATAATCTTGGTTAATTATTATTAGAAATTAGTTAGAAAATATCACGTGATCATCAAAATCGGTCTAACCATTTTTGAGTTATAAATGGTGTAACCAACCCGACTTTGTTTTATTTATGTAAGATTAATGTTTATTTAAGGGTTGCCACGGAAATAAAAATTGTTATAATCATTATTATTACTATTTTTTACACTATTCAAATTTTACAATAAAACACATTTAGTCTGCCGAAGATGGACTACCCATTTTTCACCTATTCGTTTTCATTAATTTCTAACACGGCCAAAATCAAAAATAAATATGGGTAAAATAATAATACAAATTGGCACGGGAAACGCCGTGCGTGGGATAGCTAGAATATATATACGATATATACGATCGTATAGGCTGTCCCAATTTTAAAATATCCATTCTGTAGAGTTTAGTTTTTTGAAAATAATAAAACAAAAAGTTATTTCTTTAATTCTTTTACTAAAAATAAAAAAAAAATTGAAGTATAAATATTTTTAATCATCATCCCTATGATTAATATAAAAAAAAAAAAAACAGAATTTGATTATCTTTATTATGTCCGGAGATATTTAAGGGGTATATCTTCGTGTAACAGCCTAAATATATATATGTATAAGGACTATTAGAACCGGTCTTAGATTTTTTGTCACCCTAGGCAATTCTAATTTACGCTACCCTATTCAAATAATAAAACCATTATTTTTCGGTAATTTTCCTGTTCTTTCTACGTTTTTTTTTTCGAATTTGTTCAATAATTAAAAAGACTACAAGAAGAATCAAAAAACGACTCTCTTAATCATTGACTGGATTAAAAATTCGACACAAAAAGGTCAATTTTTGTTTTTCATTGGAGCAATATTTCTGGTAGAAAACATCAGCTATACAAATTTTAAACAATGCAATCGTAATGCCGTAAATTATGTAAATACGTACATACAAAAATAATATTAGATACACGAGAACCGATATTTATTTAGATCTATTGATTACAATCTTATTAATAACTGTTTAAATTAATTCAAGATTATAAGTGTTTTAATTTGAACTCATGCGTGTAACATTATTATTGGTAGTTTTAAATTGATCGAATTTGAATGATTATGTATTTTCACTTATAATAATATGTACAATATTATATTGGAAGCATTATTATTTTTTTTTTTTTAGATTCACGATGGACCTAGTATTAAATCACCTCTAATTGGTCGATATTGTGGAACAATTAACAATTTTGACGAAGCCATTATCACAAACAGTAATGAAGTCACCTTATATTTTAAATCCGATATTTCAATTGCAGCTCACGGATTTACGATCAAATATGAAACATGTTAGTATACTTTTTTTTTCAATATAACATATATAATATCTTTAGATTAGCATTCCTAACGAAAAAACTATTCAGAGTGGAGTTCAATTAAAAATGGGGCTTTTTCAACAGTATAAGTATTTGTCATATTATGTAATAATAATTAAATATGCATTATATTGTCTTTAATAATATTTGTTTAATGTACCAATTTTCCTTTTGATTTTCCCATTTTTCATGTTTTATCCGGATTTTCACATTTACTGGAAAGACTCTTGATAAAATCGAAAAATAATCTTTCTAAAGAACCTCCTCACACCAATTCCCCTTCAGAAAAGGTGCTCTTTACGTAAAAATCGGAGCAAGTTCTATGGTAGATAAGTTATCCACAAAAAAAAAATAACATCTCTGTAAAACCATTAAAATTGAAATAATGAAATTATATAGAAATAAATAATTATAGCTAAAAAATTTATTAAAACAAATTTTGAATGGTGATCTATGTGTGGTGGGGTGAGAGGCATTACTTGGTAACCTGTCGGTGTATAACTGAATTGATAAGTATGTGCGATAATCCAAGTAAGATGTAGGGCACAAATATAATACTAATTAATAATTATACTTAACTTGCCTGTATTTATTATTTGTAGAATTTATAATAATAGTATAGTTATTAAAAATGTTATTTTTATTTTTTTAGTTTGTGGAGGGACATTCACAGATAACAATGGTATCATTGAATCTCCATTTTACCCAAACCCTTACCCAGATAATAAAATATGCATATATCTCATAGAACAACCGATTGGCAAAGCTATTCAATTATCGTTTTTGGATATGAATATTGAAAAGTTATCATCAGATACAGATTGTTATTATGATTCATTAGAGGTAAGCAAATTATTAGGTTCACTATGTTTACCACATTCACTCAATAGGTAACAAGTACCAAAAAATAGAAATAATCCAATAACTTAAATAGATTACATTACTTTTTATATTACCGTTCTTTTATATATATATATATTTATAAATATTAATTTTTTATTTAAAATGCAGACACTAGAAATTTTGTTTATATATAGAAACATAATATTTTTGAATTTTTTAACGAATGTATCTAATAAATATATTTAATATTTGTTTAATTACAAATTTAACGATAAATTCATTTAACTGTTTCAGTACTTATTTCTTTAAACATAAAAATAAACAAAACTGTTGTCTTCTACCAAGTTTGAACATGCTTTTTTTGTCTAAAAGTACACGTTATCATAAAAATATATTTGATCAATTGAATAAAAGTTGAATATTACTATAATAATAGCTTTTGGTTCTTTGGACGTTACATAAGTAATGGTAAGGTTAAAAATAATGGATTTTGCAAGACCTACTATTACTGAAATGGATAAGATAATTTAAAAAAAAAGACGGAGATATTTTGTACCTGGGTGGGCCACTGTTATAGGTGAGAAGGTGGGAAGGTAAAGGGGAAATTTAATGTACATCTGTACTCAACGAATAACCATTTCTAAAGAAAAACGATTCTAAACGGAGTTCGTTTCAGTGACGTATGCATGGAGCTAAGGGGATTAAGTACTCCCCCTATAACTATTTAATTGTTTATTATGGCAAAAAAAGATCAAATTTTTTCGATTTTTGGTTTGCAAAAAAATAAAATCGACAAGTAAGTAATGCAATCCAAAATTCATAAAATTCTAATTTTGGTTGATCTCTGGAATTTTTAATACTCTACTAGCTTAAAAATTGTATTTAATTATCCCAACATTTTTATAGTTACATAGTTACATAAATACGGTTACCTATATATTTTATATTTGTTATTAGTCAGAACTAAGAATGAACTTACTGAATTACTCAATTTTTTAAACTTGTAACAAAACAACTGAATCATTATCAATTTTCAACATACCCCTCCCCTTGAAAAATCCTGCATACACCACTGGTTTGATTAATAAAGTGTCAATAATAACTTTGTAGCTATATCAAAAATATATTGTGGTAAAATAATTACATATGCGTTATATATTTTCTTTAATAACACTTTTTTTTTAATTTTCCTATTTTTCAGTTTTTCCTACGTTTTTTCCATGTTTTTGACATTTTTTCCATTTATTGGGAAAACTCCTGGAAAAATTAAAAAATGACTTCCCTAAAATACCACTCCAGTCAGATTTCCATTTCAGAAAAAGTGCTTTCATTGTAAATCAGAACAAAATAACTGGTAGAAAAGTTGTCCACAGAAAAAAGTGAAAAAAAAAACATCATTGTAAAATCATTACATTCCTCACTCTATTCAGAATCTAAAATATAATTTTAGTCTTAAACTATTACTAAAAGCTTTAAACTTAATAATTATATCCATTATATACATTTCCTAGTATTCCTTGCTGTACTTATTAAATTAACGTATTTTGTTCTAGATCAGAGACGGAGACAATGAAAATTCAACTTTAATTGCCTTATTATGTGGAAATATCCAAACAAATTCTATGCTTCCATACATATCGACTCACAATTACATGTGGTTAAAATTCACTACCGATCATTCCAATAATAATAAAGGTTTTCGAGCCAACTATTCCACCATTGATTTAGGTTTGCTATTTTTTTTTTAAAATTATTATAATATTAAATTCGGTTTCTTGTGATTTAATATAACATTCTAGGATGTGGTGGAATTTTAAAAAATCCAACGGGTACCATACAATCTCCAAAACATGCGGAATATTATTTACATAATCAAAATTGCGAATGGATAATAACTGTGAATAGATCAAGCCGAATACAACTAACATGGTTAACATTTGCTTTGGAGAACGAACGGAATTGTGTAAAGGATTATGTAGAAGTTTATGATAATAGTATCTCAGGAAATGCATCAAAAATAGCTCGGTAAATAAGTTTAATATATCCACAAGGTCTATATATTCATTTTATTCATAGGTATACATAAAAAAATAATTGATTCTAGAAATGCTTGTGCTACTGTTGTAGGTGAAAAGATAAAATATATTAAGTTATTTAATTCAAATCTGCATGAAACGATAAACTTTTGATAATGAAAATTTGATTATGAGCAATGTTTGATTAACATGTTTTGACTTACTTACGACTTTTGTCAAAATTTCATCTTAAAATTTTCATTAAAAAAAACTAATACATTATACTCTCTTTTTTTTTATTACTAAGTAAAATTTATGATAAACGTCTTATTAAATTTGCAAACATTTTGACTGCAAAAAATGTATTTCACATAGGTAAATTGAAGAATTGAATAAACAATTTAATATATTATGCTATTTTTTTTTTCCAATCAAGTACCTACAACCAGGGTCGTATTAGCGAACAGGCATTTTAGGTACTGTGCCTAGGGCCTACGAAAATGAGTGGCTACGATTTTTTTGTAATATTTTATATTCTAGGTGGAGCGAAGAATATATTGGTTTTACAAAGATGTTTATTTTGTTTTTATGTGAATACTTTTTCTACCAGTAAGCTTACTTTGATATATACGATGTAGTCTCATTTCTGAAAGGAAATTTTACTATTGAAGTATTTAAGAGAGGTCATTTTTCGATTTTCTCAGCAGTTTTCCTAACAAATGTAAAAAACCGAGAAAAATCATTGTAAAACCAGGAAAAAGGTAGAAAAAATGAGAAAATCGGTACAATATTAAACAAATGTTATTAAAGAAAATATATAAAGCTTATTTAATTATTTACCATAATATAAAAAAAATTTTGTTGACAAAGCATCACTATCAATTGAACACCGCTCAGAATTGTTTTTTTCAAAATCAAATTAATAAAAAAAATTTTAGACTACGGAAATTGTAGACATTTTATTGAAATTTGTTAAATTTCAACACATTTGCGGAAGTTAAGATATTTTGGGTTGGGATGGGTTGGGTGGGTAGGTAGAAATTAAAATCAGTGATTCAAGCTATTAATACTTCGAGCAGCCACTGGTGGCAAGGGATAAAAAAATATGCAAAATAGTACAAAAGAAGTTATTTTTTTTATGGCTTTTGAAAATTAAATTTTTTATAGTTTGGGGTAAAATTAATTGTTTTTAGGATTTGTTAAAATTGTTATCAAATAAAGTTATAAAAGTTAGCCATAGGCAGCCTTGGGCCTACGAAAATAATGGTATGATTTTTTTTCCTTTATATTAAAATTTAACAATATAATTTTGACCTTTTCTTTGCTTATTAATGCCTAGGGCCTACGATAGTGTTAACCTAGACTTGCCTACAACTAATGACAAACCTCGCATTTCTGATTGACAAAAATCATTTAATTCTCGTGAAACCTAATAAAAACTAAAAAAAAAAAACTAGAGAATGTCAAATACATATAAATAAGTAATAAATCGCCAAAATATTTTGAAAAATGTATCACGTTTAGAACAGGCCAATATAAGTATTCTATGAAAGTATTTCAGGCTTCTACGATTATTTTTAACCGAATTTCAACAAAAAACGAATGAAATCATTAATGCCATAATATTTCCCATGTTTCCTCCTCCCCCACGGGTTTTTTAATTTTTAAGTTTTTTCAAAGAAACCTTTTAAAAATAATTTTCTTATACACCAACTATCCTACACAATATTATCATTCAAAAAGATGCTATACTTGAATTTCGATATAAAATTGTTGACATAAAAATAAAACTGAAAAAATGAATAATAATGAAATCGTTAATGCCGTAAATTTGTTCGTTTTTCATTTACGTTTTTTATCTGGATTATCTCAATTATTTTGAAATATCTTGTTATTTTTATATTAGAGCATGATTTCTACTAGATAAGTTAAAAAAAAAATGCACGTGGTACGTGCACGCATCGTGGTAAAATCAAAATATTCGTATTCCTTGCCAGGCTTATAAAATATATGTTACTTTGGTTTTATGTAAATTGCTAGTAATCATTTAATAGATAATCCAAAAATTATTTTTACTACTTGTAGATATTGTGGAACAAAAGTTCCACCCATACTGACTTCACTGGGGAACCAACTAACAATTATTTTCAAGACTGATCATTCAGTAGCATTAGACGGATTTATGCTAACTTATTCTTCCCTCAAAAATGCACAAAGTACAAAACTGTAATTCTATACATTGCTAATATATTCTAATCTAAATAATAATGAATTGCATAGTGTGCGGTGGAAATTTCTTTACTTCAGAAGGTTTTATCCAGTCCCCTGGTTTTCCAGACAACTATCCAAACATGAAGAATTGTATTTGGGTTATTAATGTACCAGTAACTAATCAGATTGAATTAAATATCACCGAATTCGAGCTCGAAAAAAGTGCGGATTGTCGTTTTGATTTTCTTGAAATTAGGTCGGTACACTTCAATTTTCAGTATTTATTTGTAAATTATTGTAGGTGTTTATTATGCAATACGAATAATATAACTGTTACATTTTTAAAGGAATGGTGGATATTCTACGTCACCTTTAATTGGGAAATATTGTGGAACTAATATTCTTCCAATTATATCTTCTATCGGCAATTCTCTTTTTATTAAATTCGTCTCCGATAACTCTAAATCACAAAAAGGGTTTTTCATGCAGTGGTATACAATGACCAGGGGTATAAAGAACATAATGATTTTTAAATTGCCTGTACCTACCTAGTAATTAATATACTATTTTAATTTAAAGGATGTGGTGGAATATTAAATTCAGGTGTTGGTCATATAACATCTCCTAACTATCCTTTGCCTATACAAGAAACATTAGAATGTTTTTACAAGATAGTTGTGGTGCAAGGTAGTAAAATTAAAGTTACTTTATTGGATATTGAGTTAAATTCAGACATATTTTATGGAACTTGCAAAGAAAATTTTCTAGAAGTATGTATTTTAAATAATAGTCTATAAAAACAACAATATTAATTTTTAAAAATTATCAAATAATCATTTAGTAGTTAAGTAGAATATTAATTAATATAAGTGGTGGGGAAAATCTGGATTTTTGGAATTCGAAATCCAAAAATATCAACACTATAGTATGAAATATGAATGATAAGTAATTATTGTAATTATATATTTTTTTATAATAATTATATTTTAATGTTTAATAGTAATAAGTTTAACAACAATAACAAGTTAACAACTATATATAATAATGATAAAATCAAAAAATAACTACCTTAAAGTACCAATTACAAAATTTTCGATATTTGAAGTCCAAAATACAAATTTTTGGATAATTCGAATTTATTTCATATTACTAAATGTATATTATATATGTTTAAATAATTAATATTTTGTTCAGTTTTATGACGGAGGGAATACTGCAAGTAAATTATTAGAAACATTGTGTTCCGACAGATATGTTTCCACTATAATACAATCGTCTTCGAATCAAATGTTTATTAAATATAGAATTAAAGATTTTCCAGCAGGTAGAGGTTTTTCATTAATGTATGATACAGGTCTGTAAATACAATTTATTTTTATAATTAAAAATATTGAAATAATATATGAATATATCTATATAATATTCTGTTAGATTGCAACGTTATACTTAAAGGACACCAAGGTGCGATTGAAATCACTAAACAAGAAACCCAAAGGTTAAATAATTGTTCATGGACTATTATGGCACCTCAAGGTAATAGAGTGAATATGACTTTTACTTTTTTAAAAGTACTTAAAAGCCGTTTTAAAAATATATTTTTTAATCGCTCAAATCAAATGTTGAAAAATCATTCTTACAACACGAAATTAACTGTAAGTACGCTTAAATTTGCAATATTGAATATTCTAACTTATAGATTTAAATTTATATTCATATTTATAGATATTTGAGGGAGCCAATATTAATCAAATGAATACAGTTTTGTGGGAAATCCAACCTGATTCGTTGGGGGCTCCGCCTCTGATAACTTCAACTACAAATTTTGTTAGAGTTAGCTATAATATCGAAAACAGACCTTTTATGTTCGAATATGACAGTTTCCGTATGGAATGGATAGTAGATGGTTGTGGTGGTGTGTTAAAACAATTTAAAGGTGGATTCACATCCCCTGGATATCCAAGATCTTCTCCTATTAATAGCACTTGTGAATGGAACATTATTACCGAATATGGATTGACAATACAAATAACTATACACGAATTTTCGTTTGAATCTAGGAGTCCTTGTTCCTCGGGTTCTTTATTGGTATGTTTAACAACAATTACAATAAAGTATTTATAAGTAATAATTTCGTTATTTTTAGATTTACAGTGGACATGACGATTCTGGTCCAGAACTATTAAATATATGTCGTACACAAACTCGTCCAATCATTGTAACGTCAGGTGGAAATGAAGCTTTTGTACGATTTCAGTCTGGCTTTAAATCAGAAAGAAAATCATTTAAAGCTACATTCATTACCGCATTATCTAGTTAGTTCAAATAAATGATAAATATAACAAATCATAATGATACTCTGAGTGTATGTTATGGTGCATGTCTAAGAAAGATTAATCAAATTTATCATCATCTTAATGCTTTAAACAAAAAATAATGACGTAAACATTTTTGAAATGGATTAAATAATAATATGATGATAAATATGTTATAAATAACCTATAATAATATACGAGGATTATCATTAAAATACAAACTTAAATAAAAATATTCAAAATGTTGTTAGATAATTATAATATGTTGTATAATTATTAATTATACGAATATTACATATAATATAATAATATTAAAGTAAAAACAAAATTATTAAAATGGTTAATACTCGTAAATATAGAAATAAAAAAATTAATAATTGAATGAATGCGTCGCCTGAAGTATTGGTATATGGTATTATGATACGACCGATTTCTAATTAAAAATTCATCATCAGGTATATCATAGTTCAAATATATACATCATATATTATATTAAAAAAAACAACAGTATAACAGAGCTGATACTACTGATGGGCGCCTCATTGATAAATATGGAAAATTGGGAAAGTAGGGTTTATGTTTATTTAATTTATATCTGTAGGCAATGATTAATCATTGCTAACGAAAAACGATTCTGAAAAGAGCTTGGTTAAGTAGTTTTTTATAAGAAATTACACCGATCTTACACAATCTTATATGATTTGTAAAACAACAGTACCACCCGAATTAACCCTTTTACATCTGCACCACTACTGCCGCAAAAACTTCATGTAAAAGTGCTTTTTCCTAGCTATCCTGCGTTTTTATGTTTTTTAATTTTTTTTTAATACATATATATTTTTTATAAATTAAATGAAAATTACTAAAAAAGTAAATACATTTTCTTGGAAAATAATGCACCATAAAAATTAAGAAAAAAATAAATAATAAATAAGCACAAATAGTTCTTTCAATGTTTTACAAACCTTAAAGATAAGCAAATGTTATACTTTGCTCAGAACAAAAAATAATGAATTTGTACACTTAAAAAATAATATAGTTCATTTTGAAATTGATATATATTTGTTTAGAATGCGGTGGATCGTTTACAGCGCCTCAAGGGATTATCCATACTACAAATTATCCGCATAACTATGATTCTAGAAGTTCTTGCATGTGGTATATTCAGATAGCAGAAACACATTTGATTAACCTAACATTTGTCGACTTCAATACACGGAATAACTATCCTGAAATAAGCGAAGACAAAGTTATAGTATACGATGGTTTACTAGACGGAAATGTACTCCTGAACCATTCTGGAAATAGTATACCACCGCCGATTATTTCTTCGTCCAATCGACTCTTAGTATCTTTTGAAGTTGGTAAACGTAACATACGGGCAAAAGGATTCAAAGCGATCTATACTATGGTACAATTCTTTAGTTTTAAAATATTAAGTTTTTATATTATAGTATCATATAGGTACCTAATTATGCTTGTATTGTTAGGCATGCGGTGCAAAATTAATAACGAATGATTCGGGAATTATTACTAGCGATCCATCGAGTGTGCTACATGAAAACTGCACATGGACGATTATATCAGATACCCCTCAATCAAAAGTTTCATTGACTTTTACGCATATCGATATAGTACACAATTTAGCAATCACATCAGTCAAAATAACAAATCAAACGAACGATGTATGTAATAATCCCTATTACAGTACAATTATTCGAGTCTTGGACGGTAGCGATTCAGATGCACCTGAAATAATAAAATTATGTAACTCTGATCGAATTCCTTCGATTATTGTTAGCAATAGTCCAGCTATTCGTATAGAGTTCACTGGTAACTCAAATGGACTTGATTCATTTTCAGCTGAATACTCTGTAAGATCGATAGGTCAGTAAATATTATTATGAAGATAATACCCTTATAATAATATTACAATAATACTAGTTGTCCCATTAATATAAAAAGTTTATTCCAATGTCTACCTAACAATAAATGGTTTTTATTTTGTTTTAACTGGATCACTATAATTTCAAGCACCCGTCCTTATCACAGTTAACACATGTACCGTGTTGTCCGTGCCAAATTAAACTTCTATAATAACTCTCTATTCATACCTCCTCCTAGTCATCCACTCCAGCACTTTATTTTGTCCTTCTTTCATTCGAACTCTCCTTTATCCATTAATAATCAATTAATTATCAATCATCAGTAGAGTTGAAAGTTAAATGTGTTAGGAAGACATTTCGCGTGTGAGTCATCGTTTAGGTAAAAAACTAATAAAACAGTTTAAATACATATAAATAATAAATATTACATACATAATAGAGTAAAAGTAGAGTAAGAACTTTTGTAAAATTATTTAAAAAATTATTATCGTGTTCAAATTTTACGTTCGTACATGTACCCATTGTGTTCATGTTCGTGTATTATGTATAATAATATTAATATCCTATAATTTGATTAATGTGTTTACTAGCCTGCGGTGGAACTTACGATACATTAAGAGGTACAATTTCAACACCCAACTATCCATATAATTATTTCAGAGATTCAGAGTGTTATTGGATATTAAAGTCGTCTGTCGGAAATCGAGTGTCCTTGAATTTTATTGATTTTCAACTAGAAGAAGACGAATTTTGCAATGAAGATTATGTGGAAATAAGGGAAAACGATTCTATTGGTACTGTTTTAGGTATTTTTTGCGGACCAAATTTGCCAACTAATATTACAACAAGTTCTGCCCTTTGGGTTAAATTCCGTTCAAATTCTATTGGCTCAGCCAAAGGGTTTACCGCAGATTTTAAATATGGTAATTATTGCATGTTTGAGATATTGACACTCTTATTATATATATATATTACTGTATTATTTAATTTGTTGATTATGAACGTGTAATGAATTTTTAGTAACCGACAATTATCTGATACAAACATCTGGAGAAATTTCAAATCCAATGTATCCAAAAATATACAGAAATAGTGAAGATTATTCGTGGACAATAAATGTAGAAGAAAATAAAAAAATACGAATTGTGGTAAAAGAGTTTACGTCTTCATCTCTAGTTCATTATTTAAAAGTAAATAAACATTTTATTTATATATTGACTTTATCTTTTTTTTTTCAATTAATGTTTATTTTTATATAGATATACGATGGACCTAATACTGAAGCATTAACTCTATTAGACCGGAATAGCCTTAATTATAATATTGATCTTAATGAAGCTATATTTTCTAGCACTAATATTGTACACATACTTTTGAAAGCGGGAAGTAAAGATATAGGAGGTATAATATTTTTACTATCATGGACACAAGTTGATAAACAGAATCCTGAAGAATATTACCAGCTTGAAATATCTGGTAAGTGTACACATATTTAGATTTCAAATCATTGGCACAAGTGTAAAGTGTTATATTTTTTAATTTTAATAGTAGTGAATAGGCCATATCAGTATTATTACTATGATGTGCGATTTTTTTCTCCTACGAAAAAACTTTTTGAATTAACAAAAATTCTCAGATTTATTCATCCAAAGAAGATGCTGAATTTCCATACGATATTATTTTACTAGAAATTTAAAAACACTTTAACATTTTCAACAGTTCACCTCTAGGCCTTTTTATTGTTTTATTTTTTCATAGAAAATAATTTTTATATTATTAAAAATACTCTAGACTATTTACATCATAAAAGGTACGGGTTGTGTGTTCAGTAGTACATTATTTTGTAAACAATTTTTCATATCTAAATAGTTTTTTGTAACATATAAAAACTATAATGGAAAAAACCACAAAAAAAAGTACATCCGATTAGAAATATATTTCGATTGCCATGATATTTTATCGTAGCTCTCAGTATATAAATTAAATTATCCTTTATCCTAACCGTTTTAAACTTTCCATCTACTACAGTGGCCTGCCCATGGTGCTTTTTGCTATTAATTATAATAAAATAAATAATGATTAGTTATATAATATATTTTCAGACAAAGAGTCAAACTTTACATATTTCTTATCTAGAAATACAAATGCAAGTATGATTATCACAAGTCCTGGTTACCCGTATGGCTATTCAAATGACCTCCATGTAAATTGGACTATACACACAGACCAATACCATCACATCGAAGTTAAATTTCTTGACGTAGATCTTAGTCACATGCGTTTAAATGTTGAAAGGATATTCGGTGATTATATTACCGTCAAAACAGGTAGGACAATTTGATATTTGTAATTTAACGGTTTAACATTATATGTACCACAATAAAACAAAGTCCCTAATAATCCGGGCTTACAAGATACGAATCTGATACGCACAGCAAGATGCAGGAGAATACCTCGCAAAATAGTTGAGTTAACTGTTTATACCAATGTTTCCTAACAAATTAAGATATTGCTTAGGGGGTAATTACAACGATGATGAAATTATAAAAACAAAACATAAAATGTGCAAAGTTACCACATCTAAAATTGAAAACAATAAGTTCATATTTGTAATTAATAGGGAAAGGTACAAGATTTTTAAAATCTAAAAGGGGATGTAGAATATAAAAATGTTGGGAAACACTAGTATATACGATGCGCATTCAATGTGGGAATAAGGTAAATCTGGGTGAGCCATTGGTGACTACATGGTTACATATAGTTTACGATGATACGAATCAAAATAGGCAAATCGTCTTTGATTATCACATCCAGAGGCTGACAGTGGTCCAGCTCGCTGAGAGGAAACTTTGTGGCAAGAATGCACGTAAGCATGTTTATTACACTGATCGAATCATATCGAATCTCGCCTTTACAGCATGCCACGTGTATCAGATTAGCGTTGTTTAAACAAGGTTTTAGATTTTGATCGCAATGAGGAATAAAATGGTTTTACTATATGTGCTCTTTTTAAAAAAAAACATTTTCCGTAAACAATTAATTCCACCAGAAATATTACACCAATCAAAAAAGACAACACAATTTTTTATTTATTGCATTTTGGAACTAAATGATGAATTAATTTTCATACAGATTTAAGGAAAATATATAGGAAAAACGGATAAATTTTTAACGCTCACTATTTCATTATTTAAGGTTTTTTAGGTTTTTTTTTTTCTACTAGAAATTTCGATTAGAATTTCTAGAGTAGAATTTTTTCTGAAAAAAATGTTTATTCAGTTAATTATTTGAATGGTCGTTTTATAACTTTCTATGTAAACTTGAGATAAACTGAGAGCAAATTTAACAAAAATAAGAAAGTTAAAGTAACGGCATAACGGTTTCATTATTTTCTATTTTATTTTTTATTGTGTTTCGGATAAAAAAAAAACCGTGGAGACTTGATATTTTATCGAATACTTATATTAAATTTTTCTAGATGTGTTAAAATGTTGACAATATTCTAGTATTTTCTCTTATCTATTTATAGGCATTTGAAATTGTCTAGTATTTTAGATTGTCAGTGTTGTAAAATATGTATTGGTTTTAAAAAGATTTTTATTTTGTTTTTATACTGTGTATGAATATTCTACCGGAAATCTTACTCCAATACAAAAAAAATTTCAAAAAATAAATTTTCTTGGGATGGTACTTTAATGAGGTCATTTATTGATTTTCTAGGCAGTTTTCTCAATAAAAATGAAAAATCGGAAAAAGTATAAGAAACAGGGGAAATTTACGAAAATAATGCTTTTATTATTTGTTCAATTTTGTTATTTGTTGTAATTCAATTTAAAATATTCTAGTCTGTGAACAAATTATTTCTTAGTAAACTTGCTCTGATTTTTACGTGTAGCAACTTTTCTGAAAGCTCAAGTTAATAGATGATACTTTAAAGAAGTCATTTTTTAAATAACAGTACTTAAATGGAGAAAAACGTAGGAAAACATACAATTTCACGATTTCATTATTTTATAAATATTATATTTAAAAATTGTATAAATTATTTTTTAACAGAACTTCGCATAAAATCATATTTTTAACAATTTATAGTTGCGTACAGATATAAATTAAATATGTATTCTATCTTCTCAACTCTTTATCTATTACAGTAGCGCTCTCTCCATCTCTCTCTGCGGTTTCAATCTGAAGTTTTCAGCTAATTTCCACTCTTCTCTACCATCCGCTTTCCTTTCATTTAGAATTATTTTAGTTTTGGTTTTTCTTTACTATTCTTTCTTTCCATACTTCCTTCTGTAGTTAGTTTTAGTAATTCGTCATGTCGAATTATAATATGTCCTATCCTTTTTTTATTATTTAGGTTTCACACCCTTTTAGGGCTATACTCCATGCATATTTCTTCATTAGGTTTTTTCTGACTTGAAGATTAAGGTTGACGTATTATTTTAAGTAAGTAAGGTTTTTTTAGTATTAAAAACTATTTTGGCTTAGCAAATACGCTTTACTATTTCACTCTTATTAGTTTATCCTTGCTTCTTATACTTCCTAAATACACAAATTCATCCACTTGATCAATTATTTTTGTTTCCTCGCAGATTTATGTTTACTCTTATATTTTTTCTTCCACATATAAGCACTTTAGTTTTTTGCAAATTTATTTAATTCTCAGAGCGTTGTTAAATATTTCATCAGTTCCTGTAAATTCTCATTTTCAGTAATTATTGCTAGGTCATTGGCAAAGTGTAACATACTTATTCTCTGACCATTAATCTTGTCTGAATTGGTCTCTTGCTTAATCTTATTTATTACTTCTTGGATATACGCATTGAATATAATTGGGGATATCGTGCGTCCTTCTCTAACTGCTTTGTTTATTTTCACTTCCTCCATATTATCTTGGATTCTTATGATGGCTGATTCATATTTATACAGGTTGTATATTTGCATGCTTTATCTCCACTCTACTCATCATGTTGAACATTACCGTACATAATCTGTTATCGCTACTCCCCACTACTAGGTCCATTTTAATAGTCTCATATGACAAACATGGATTACTGAGAGCGTATTATAGTCCCCACCCTCAGGGCAAACAGTAGCACACTTATCAGCATTCAGTCATCTCAGCTATTTATATTAATTGAGTATATTACTTTCAAGTATTGTATACATTTTTTTTTTTAAATAATAGACACAACGGATTCATTTTTAATTAATAAACTTTAACTTAATATATTATTATATAATCCTAACTGTATAGACATTATGTACCATGTGTTTGAATAATTTATTTTTTAAAACTATTTATTTATAAAATATGATCTATTATGAATAATTAATATATATTACTTTAGTTGATCCTGATACAGCAACAACTATCCCACTAAAAAAAATTGACATGTTTTATAATACTAAAACAAACGATAAAGTCATCGGTAAAAATAAAGTTATAATAAGTTTTAATTCAGATTCTTTATATAACGGTACTGGATTTAAAGCTGAAGTGAAAACAAGTACGTATTATTTAAACAAAATATTAATATCTAATAGCATATTATTACTGTCCAATAAATTATATCTGTTGTATTAGAATGCGGCAGTTCATTGAGAGAGCTTTCGGGAATAATCGATACATCTTATATAGTTAATGATGACTACAATATTTGTATTTGGAATGTAACTGTACGTCCGGGAAAAACTGTTTTAGTTAAACTTCTGAATATTCAATTGATTTCGCATAAACCGTGCGTGGACAGTTATGTATTGGTAAGACTTTTTTAAAAGCGTTTCTTATGTATTTTTCGTTCATTAATCGAACATGATTTGTTTAAAAAATAATTTTTCATCTCTTTTCAAAAATCATATGAATTTTTATTTACAAAAAAATAATACGAACATGTTTAGCGATTGTTATAGCGTAGAGATTTACAAACAAATTTTATAGGAGATAATGTGCTTTAAAATATTAATGTATGGCAAAACCATTAAATGTTTGTTACTTGCGTTACTGGTATTATAATATATTTACTTTTAATAATATTTAATTATGTTATAATTTCATTTTTAAATATTCAAAGAATTAAGGCTATGTGTTCTTATACATTTATAATAAAATGTGTTATGCCTTATGAACATATTTACATTTAACCAGTTAGGTACCTACAAATTTAAAAAAAAAAAACAGACATACTTAGCACGTAGGTGGGCTACTGTTGTAGATGAGAAGTTGGGAAGGTAGAGGGGAAATTTAATGTATAACTGTATTCAACGATGACCATTGATAACCAGGGCTTATTCTAAAGCGCAACTGAGTGTTATTTTACGTATTTGGAAAAGCTAGATGCGCACTTGATAATGAATTTTTGCATATTTTATTTTTCATAATTTATTGTTGTATTAATAAGATAATACAATGAATAGTAGTTTTAAAGGTATTAATGTGTCATGGGATTTTGCAATAACAAAAATAATTTTGTATACTAATCTATGATTAATAATTATAATTTAAAAATGCAAACTACTAAACTATGTTTATACTATAAAGTTAAAAAAAAAATTTCGGAAATAATATCTATGTCATTGCATTGTGATAGATTAGTGTATCTTTTCACAGATAGATAGAATGTATATATTTCAAAAAGTGTTACTAAAACGAATTAAAGAGCAGTATTTATTGAACGCAGGGCAAGTTGAACAAAGAGGTACTGAGGGAATTTTGGATTCTATTGAAACAGCTTGTATGAATATAATGTTACTGAATATATTTTTAAAAATAGAATTTTGAACTAGAGAACTACAACTGTCTGAGGAAAAGAATTTACAACTAATAAGGATACCATTATTTTTTCAAACCTAACTTTACCTAACATTTCTTTTAATCTAGTTAACGCAATATCAATTTCATGGAAAACTTTGATTACATATATGCAAAGTTCTAAAGAAAAATAGTTTAATGGTCTTTTATTATTATTAACTAATAAGGATACTATTTATTTATTAGTATTTCAGATTCTGAATGAAAAGAGGAATGTATTGGTTTATTTTTTTTTTTTATTTGAACACTTTTTTTACCAGAAAGCATACTCCTATTATCAATTTTAGTACCTTTTCTGAAAGAAAATGTTCTTTGGGTGGTACTTTAGAGAGATCATTTTTGAGATCCTTATTAATATTCAAGATAATGAGAAATACCTCGGTCTTAAGGCTAAAAAAGATAGCAAATAAAAAAACAAACTATTTTACTTGATTGTATTATAGGTGCAAAACCTCATAGTGCTGACGTTGAATGATTAATAAGAAAAAGCAATATTCTTAAATTAATAAATCGTCAAAGTTTGCATCGAAAAAACGAAAATGAATATATTTGTATTAATTTTAACATGCCTGCTCTTTGAAATTGGGACCTAAGATCATTTATACAGATATAGTTAAACCAAAATGAGCGCCGCATTAAAGACGCACCTAAAGCCAATGATTTATCGGGACATTTATAGAAGTACCAAAAAAAATTTGACGAGTAAACTAAACCAATAATTAAAAAAAGAACGTTCTAATATTGTGTTATATTTATAATATTCGTGTTATGTATATAAATATTATGAAAAAAGTAAAGAAGACATTAATCAAAATAAAATATTTAAACATGAATGCTTATTATGTTATTTCTTAAATTTTAAATTATTCCACCTTAAAGATAAAAATGTTATAATTTTTAACAATTACTTAAAATCATATTTCGAGAATATACTTCTATTTTGATAGGCTTATTTAAACAAAATGCATAGTTGATAAAAATCCTTAGAATAAGCCCTGACAAAAAATGATTCCGAGCAGAGTTCGATTAATAGTGTTGCTTTTTCAATAATACATATTTATATTATGTTATGGTATTATAATTACACATATGCATTGTATAATTTCTTTAATACAATTCATTCAATATTGTAGCAATTTTCCTATTCTTTCCTACGTTTTTTTCCGGCTTTTTCCCATGTTTTCTCATTTATTATAGAAACCGCTAGGAAAATCAAAAAATGATCTCCTTAAAGTACTATTAATCGGATTTCCTCTCAGAAAAAGTGGTATCATTGTAAATCCGAGCAAAATTGACGGTAGAAAAGTTGTTCACAAATAAAAATAATAATAATAATAAACATCATTGTAAAACCAACGTACATTTCCCCAGTACGACCCACACATACGATTTTCGCAGACATTTTTTTTTCGCTAATATTTAGTATGTAATATTTGAATGAATTTAAATGAATATTTTCCGAATTAATACACACTTGGTTTTTGCTCCAAAAACAAAAAATTGGGGTGATGCTAAAGAAACTTTTTTCTGGCATTTCCTGGCGAAATCAGATGACGTTAACGTGTATTTTTCGCTACCATCATTTAGTACGCAATTTGTATGAATTTGTGTACCCATTAGTATTAGCCAACACGATAACGCAATCCGATCTCACGAGAAGTGTTGAAGGAACGTTTCTCCAGTACATTCCAAATTTTTTGTTAGTAGAGCAAAAACCAAAGTCGTACAAATTTGGAATAGAGTCATAAAAATTCATACAAATTGCATACTATATATTAACAAAAAAAATCTACGAAAATCGTTTGTGGAGGTGCTATGGAAATGTATGTAAAAAACCAATACATTTCTCAATTTTCTCAGAATCTAAAACTAATAAAAACGATACGGACAAACTTCGCACAATGGGTAGGCCACTGTTGTAGGTGAGAAGTTAGGATGGTAGTAGAAAAAAAATTGTATTATATCTATAAGCAACAATAAGCAATTGCTAACAAAAAAACGATTCTGAGCAGAGTTCAGTTAATAGTGTTGCTTTGTAAACAATATGATACATGCCATATTATGGTAAAATAGGATAAAGAGAGGAATTACATCGGAATATCTCTATGCAAAGATTAATCATTGGTTATACATGTTATGAAAGAACGTAATATTTACGATTTTAAAATAATAAATTTTACAAAATTTTCTCGTTTTTTTTACATTTTTAGATTCCGAGCGTAGCAAGGGAGCTATTGATATTACTAAGATGTTTATTTCTTTTTTTTTTATTTAATTTTTTTATTTAATTTTTTTTTTTTTATTTCTTAGTAAACTTGCTCCAGTTTTTACGTGTAGCAACTTTTCTGAAAGCTAAAGTTGTCTAGATTTTATTTTAATGACATCATTTTTTTGATTTTCGATGTCATTTTTTAAATTAAAGCATGTAAATAGGTAGGAAAACGTACAATTTCATGATTTTTTTATTTTATAAAAACATGGACGACATTTTCTACCAAAAAAAAATTGTTTAATCAAATAATCATAAGATATCTTTTTTGTTGTGTTTTTGTTTTACTTTCTAAGAGTATTATCGCCAAAATTTTTGAGTTGTTTTTGAGTTTTTTTATTTTAATTCGGTTATAAATACACGTAGAAACTTGAAACTTGGTAATAATACTTACATTGAACTTACCTCGACGTGGTAAAGTTTCAAAATCATCGAAAGATTTATTTTTTTTTTTAATAAGCGTTTTGAAATCAAATTTTAACAAAAATCGCAAACAAAATTACGGTACTTCAAATTATATATTACCAAATTGTGCTCGAAATCGTCTTTCGTTAAGCAATGTTTTATCGTTACTTACAGATATAATAATATACAATAATCTTATGTATCCTAACTAGCCAACTTCTCACCTATAACAGTTGCCGCTTCCATCCCCAGTATTAGCTTTTTTATTCTTATTTATTATGAAAAAATCCTAGGAAAATGACCTTAAATTACTACTCTAGACAGATTTCCTTTTATAAAAAAGAAAAGAAAAATAAACATCATTGTAAAACCGATTCATTCCTCGGTCTGCTCAAAATCTAAAATTGATAATGAATACCTAACTTATATTTACATGAATTTTTTATGTTTTAGTTGAAAAATGGTTTGAATGAAGATTCGCCGGTTCTGGGACAAGGCAAATACTGTGAAAAAACGGAATTACCAGAATTAAATACTACTAATAATAAATTGCAAATAGAAATCAAATTTAAACCAGGAGAAGTGAGCATAATCATTACCTACCATTATGATCTGTAAAACATTTTTTAATTTTATCTGTGTGTCACACATAATACATTTTTCTTAAAATTGAAATTATGTTTTAAACAATTTTAAAATTTTATAAATTTAGACGATAAGAATGTCGTTCAAAGAAAAATCGCTACATTGTGGCGGTCAAATTCATTTGAACCGCTTATATAATGTTACTCAAATCACATCTCCCGCGTTTCCGGATCAACCCCCTGCTCACACAGAATGCATATGGATTGTTGTGGCGCCTCTTGGTGATCAAATATCGTTGCATATAGAAGACATAGACTTATCCGAGGATCATAAGTAAGTACAGAATACAATAATAATATTGTTATCAATGATATTGTTATTATATCTACTAACCTACTAACTGATGTTACTGAAACTTGCACTGTTTTAAAAACACATTTCATGAAGTAAACATACCTAGTTATTTAACTATTAAAATTTTTTTTATAAATTTAAATATAATTTATAGTCTCTATATAATATAATATAATGTTTAGGTGTAAAAACGAATACCTCGAGTTCAGAGACGGTGCTGCTCGATTTTCACCGTTAATAAGCAATATTTGTCAGGATACCACTATTTCAGATATCAAAACCACAGAGAACTTTTTGTACATAAAGTATTTTATTGGCTCCAGCGTACGCAGCAACGGTTTTAGATTAAATGTATCAATAGGTATTGTTATTATTATTATTTGTATTTTATGAAAATCATTTTCGTGTTCATTCTTACTTATTGCGATTACGAATATATTTTTTCATTTTCCGGCATTACGTACGCACCTATGTCATAATAATAATAAATGGTTTTATACAGCGAAATGCGGTGGTGTTCTACGCGGTTTGAGGGGCATGATTTTTTCACCCAATTATCCAGCCTCATATGAGTCAAATATCGATTGCGAGTACAGGATAATCGCTAATTACAATTACAAAATATCTCTGAACTTCGATTTGGTCCATCTGAAACAACGGTTTCCCTACAATAAAATAACGTCGACGCCTGATAATAAAACGAATAACTACAGCACCACCTTTGATGACTCATTGTCTGTATATGACGTAGACCCTGTGAATAACACCAGTAAGTGAAACATGCTCGCTTAAACCCCTCGTCCAAAATACTGACATACTCAAAATTATAGACTGTATATCCATTATTATTTTATTATTATTAATTTTAAATTTTGTATTTAAATCAAATGTGTCATTCCATTAAAATATTTCACAAGTTTTCACTTATTTATGTCAAATATAATTTATAATCATTGAACATAACCGATCATTATTTTTATAATATTGTATATTTTCCAGGAGTGATGATAACAGAGATTTTTGGCTCAAATCCACCAACATCCATCGTATCAGCTGGTCGAGAATTAGTGATTATATTTAAATCACATATTGAAAATGGACCATTTTATATAAAGGATGAACAGGCAAAGTTTGTGATCGCTTACTTTGTTCAATACAACGGTAATTTAAATTATTTTATACGGGGGAAATATCAAAATCAAAGTTATCTTTTATAGGTAACTAATACATATTACATAGTTACAAAAAGGTTCTATTCTAAATATTAAACTTAAATTTTATCGAATTTTACTGCTAATAGGTGCATTATATAACATATTGTTAGATTCATTCGATATTTTTTTGTAGGCTGTGATAAAATGTATTCTGATGTTGAAAGTGGAATAATAACCAGCCCTAGGTACGGTTTGAACGTTGGCCGTATTTATTGTACATATACAATTAAAGTACCTCGAGGACGTAGAATCACTGCGGAACTAGTTAAAGGCAAATCAATCGGATACAATTGTGTCAATGATCCATTATACAATAAGCAGTATAACGAACAAATCATTGTAAGTAAATTTAACCTTCCTATAGTTTACCATATGCTCAGTTAAATTCGTCAATCAGTTTCGACAACAATAAAGTGATTCTATTTAAATATACTGTCATACTTCTGTTGAGTCTACAAAATAATGGCCAAGTAAAAAAAGTTATATACCGAGATGGCCAAAAGAAAAAAAGATGGACATACTTCGCACGATGGGTGGGCCATTGTTATAAGTTAAAAGTTAGGAAGGTATGATATAGAGGAGAATTTAATATATTTTTCTATGCTACGATTAATCATTGTTAACAAAAAACGATTCTATGAGAAGTTCAGTTAAACATGTTTCAAAAGGCCCTATCAAAGGTCAAATCAAAAATTGCAATAGACAACTCACTTGCACAAATATTCATTTATAGAAATAACCGTGAAAAAGCCGTGCAATTTCGCACGTGAGTGCAGCCACTGTTGTAGATAAGAAGTTAGTAATGTAGTAAAGGAGAAAGGTAATGCATATCTGAAAGCACGATAAACCATTGCTAACAAAAAAATGATTCTGAGTGGAGTTCAGTTGATAGTGTAGTTGCTTTGCCAACAATATATATATATATATATTATAGTGAAATATGGTAATTAAACAGACATATATTTTCTTTAATAATATTTGTTTACTATTGTACCTATTTTGACTTTTTTCCTACGGTTTTTTCATGTTTTTTTCAGGTTCTCTCATTTAATGGGAAAACTAGTAAAAAAAATCAGAAAAATACCTGTTAAAAGTACCTTCCCAGTCAAATTTCCTTTTAGAAAAATTACTATCATTATAAATCAAAGTAATATTGCTGGTAGAAAAGTTATTCACATGAAAATAGAAGGTTGTAATATTTTTAGATTGTGAACATCTTTTGTACAAGAAACTTTGCTCCGATTTTCAATGATGATACTTTATATGAAAAGAAATTTAACTGGGAATGTATTTTTTGATTTTACCAAGAGTTTTTTCAATGAATGGGAAATACCGGGGAAAAAATGGGAAAACCGAGAAATACGTAGGAAAAACGGGAAAATCAGTTCTATATTAAATAAATATTTATTATTATTAAAGAAAATATATAATGCTTGTTTAATTATTTTACCGTAATATGACAAATATATTATTGATAAAGCATCACTATCAACTGAACTCCATTCAGAATCGTTTTTCTTTAGCAATATGATTTATCGTTGCTTATAGATATACATTAAATTTCCCTTCTACTACCTTCTCAACTTCTCATCTACAACAGTTGCCACCCATGTGCGAATTATGTTTATATTTTTTAAACTAATAATTCCTACATGTCATTTGCCATGATCATTTTTGATTTTACTTTCCTTTTTTGGCACTATTATAATAACCATATTCAAAATGTATAACCTCACATGTTATCAGTTTAGGGTCACGAAAATATAGTTGTTTTAGTTGGTAAATACACATGTAGGTCTTTATTATCTTTGACCTATACCTATATAATAGGTGTAACGGGTCCAACGAAAGGATTAAACTTAGAAGGAAATTTTGAAATAATTTTAACTCCTACTCAAGTTATAACATTAAATTAATATTTCTATAAATAAAACACAAGTTCAATTACAATATTCTTCATAAAATACTTCAAGTCCAATTAAATTAAAATGCTAAAAATTACTCCAAATTCAATATTTATACTATAAAATTATTACAAGATTAAAATACATAAAACAAACTGACGCGAAATTGCTCACATTTAATCGTGGTGGACTCGTCTAATTAAACGATGTTTCGGGCGGCGTTGTATATGCTAATGCTGCTCTCCCTCAACCCGTTGCTCAAAGTCGCTGCTATCTATATTTTGCTGCTGCCGCCAGAATTAAAATCCAATCTGTCAAACACAAAATATTTTAAATGTTGCATATAATATTTAACTGTATTTATAGACATGAGTGAGAATCCTACAGACTCTTCACAATAGTACTTGTATTTGTATTCAAATTAAAATACTACCGGCGTGTGCCCGGGTACCAAATCTCAAGAGCTAACAAGTTATTTAGAAGCAGCACTTATTACTCGGTGCATTTCATGCTAGCGCCATATGCACCGAGTAAATAAATATATATATTCGATCTTACTATTTCAACTGCTAGCAAGTACGGGCTCACACGTGTTCCCTACGGATCGCGTGCAGACACGTAACATAGTTACTTGAATAAATTATTGTTTTATCACAATGACATGAAAATCTAAAAATCGATGACATTCCTAAATTTTATAGTACTCGTAGTAAATAATAAATGTGTAATAATCGTCATTATAGGTTGTTCAACGCAGAATGAGATATCCGGACAGGAATTTGTGTATCGATCCTGTTTGGAAGTCTTCACTGAGTTATGTTTATGAATCGATTTCAAACGAAATGACGCTGTTTTATAAATATTTAAGCGGTACCCAAGTTGGTTTTCAAATAAAATTCTCATCAAATAAGCCATCTCGTACGTAAACATTTTATATGCTCGTCGTTACAGAAATAGTATTTAAATTGTATAGGTATACGAGGGCTAATCAAAAAGTATCGAGACTGATAATATTACTCGGAAACCGAGCGTTGAAGAGCAAAACGATTTGNAATCCAAAAGAAGCGGAACTTGCTGCCACTCAGGGCACATTTTCAGTTTTTCAATTGACAATTAATGGCAAAAACCATGAAATGTTGCATCTCTATGAAACTGGAAAAAAATGCAGACAAATTTTCTAAAATTTCCAAATCTGTCAAGTTACTCTTATTTTGGGTTTATTACAAAATCGCCAAACTCGAAAAATATATTTTACAAAAATATTAGTGAAATCAAATTGAAGAATTTTATAGAGAAGCAATAAAAACAAATGTACTCAGAAATAGTCATAGAAGCAAGTGAAACCAATCCTACTGCTCTTCGATGCTCCTTTTCCGAATGATACTACCAGTCTTGATACTTTTTGATTAGCCCTCGTATAGTTCAAAAATCCATATTTTAAAAACTGGATATAAGTATAGATATAGTATACATATTATATAAGTGGGTAGATATATAACTTATTAATATTATGGCCTTATGGATAATTACTTAAATGATATTTCATTCAAACTATCTAGCTTTATTTTCAACATAACTATATTAATATAATTGAACAGAACGTCACGAGTCAATTTAATTATTTAAAAGTTTTGGATAGATGATAAAAACTATATAATATAAATAATTTTGAAGAAAAAAAAATGTAATTTAAGAATAAATACTTATTGAAAAGTATCATAATGTATGTTTATGTTTATGTTTATAATTTCTATGTAAAAATAAGTAATTTAATGTGATTTATTAAGGACTTTCAAAATTTTCGAAAGACTTTTATAATTTGTGATTCGTGACGGTAACGTTTCTGCAATCATTGATATAATTAAATTTTAGAAATAACTTAGTTAAACAATAATTTACATTATATATTCGCTATATTATAGTTTGTGGAGGCATAGTTGATGCCAGTATAAAAGGTAAAATTAATTTACCTTTTGGAAATTTTAACTCATATATTTGTCAATGGAGTTTTACGAACATGAACGGAACGACTGTGATAGTCGCAAATTTTAACGTTACATTGGACATTATAAATTGCCGTAACAATTATCTCATTATGGTCACTAACGGTAGGTATCTATATTATGTTTACTATATTATTTCAGACAACTTATTACGAATATTTCTATTAATTTAGAGGAAGAAACCATCGATATCCTAAATTATTGTCCGGATTCGAATAAAACAAATGAAAAGTACACCGCTATAAGTCCGTTGCCATTAACTAATCTTTTGGTAAGATGTTTTGATTGAAATCTGAACTTGAATAAAAATACTTGTGACGTCTCGTTCCTTCTGCCGTCTTGTAAGTAACCAGGGATAAGCGACCAGTGACGAACCGTGGTATGTTTAAATACTAGGTCTCAAGGTCGCCAACCTGCACCCTGGAATGATCTTCCCTATGTCTCCCCCGATGGCTGGAGTCATAGGATTTGTGGAAAATAAAAAAAAAATAGAAGAAAAGAAAAAAATAAGAAAAAACATTTTTTCGGGGATACATGTTGTCTTTCGTATATTGCCATCAGTATATACATATAATATATGTTATTTAGGTAAACCTATGTTTTTTTTTTTTTTTTTTTGAGGCGTAATTTAAACGCAGGTATAACTCAGATTGTGACAGAAAATAAACTTAAACTAATTCTTAAAGGCTGACGGGGGTACCGGCCAAGGTAATTTTCTTATGGAAGTATAGGGGAAAAAAAAATTGCACATACCATTATGACCGCGGACCGATGATGGTCGCCATTACGGGACGTGGACGTACTACTCCATGACGACTTTCCCGGTCATGGTCTCGAATAAATTGGTTTCCTTCGGACAACTGTGGTTGGTATTCTGAGTCTTGACGGTAGTGTAGATGTGTCCGAGTTCAAGAGTAGAAAATTAGCGAAGAAGGAATAAAAAAAAAAAAAACGGAATGACTTGAGCAATCGACGGACCACCAGAGCAGACGGTTCGCTCGAACACCCGATTAAGTTTCGATTTTTAATTAACCATATATCCCAGTTGGTGGGACTTTACATTTGTATGCGCTTATCGCGCATACGCACTTGCTGTCTCGGATCGGTGGTAAGAGAGGTGGGATTGACCGTTGTAGCACTGGTTATCGGTCACGGCGTTCTCGCACGTCCTATGCTTGTACGGGGAGTATGGGCACAACATTATTGATCGCTATAGACATATAGAGAAGTTCGTTTTTGGACATAACATACTGAAAATAGATATCAAATTTTAGGTAAAATCAAATTCAAAAATTACAAACTTGACTGCGACATTTGAATATTTTGTTAATTCGTGCGGCGGAAAAATTAGAGGAGAAAAAGTTACAATAACCAGTCCAAATTATCCTGAAAATTATCAACAGACTACGAAATGTGCTTGGTTCGTAGAACTTAATAGTGAAACCGTTACCGTACGTATTATAAATTATTTGATCGCATCTGTACATATTAAAAATTAAAAATTTCTTAAGACATTTTTCTTAATGTTTATCTACTGACCTATTAATTTTAGATACATTTTAATGATATCGATCTCGAATCTTCGTGCGATAGTAATTATTTGATGATATACAACGGAATGAGTCCTGAAAGTCCAGTTTTGGGTAAATATTGCGGCAATGTTGTGCCGGAAAATTTAGTAGCCTCGACCTCTTCAAATGTCATTTGGATAGTTTTTTCATCGGACAACGGAAACAGTAACAAGAAAGGATTCAATATAACTTTAGAATCCACACAGGTGGGATGTGGAAATGTGTATGTATCGGATACCGGTGAAATTACATCTAAAAATTATCCAAATTTATATCCGAACAACGAAGAATGCGAGTGGACAATATCGATGAAGGAAGGTAACAGGATCAGCTTGAAATTCATAGAACGTTTTAATCTGGAGCAGAGTGTTAATTGTACAAAAGATTATTTACAGGTAAGATATAATTGCAATATTATTATTTAAGTAAATGTGCGAATTTAAATTTCATCCAGTGTGGTGGCGATAGATTCGCCACAAATAAAATTTCCGGTTGGTCATTATTAGAAAGCCTAGATAATAAGAGAGTCGCCAATCAAGTGGATGTTTTCTATTGATCAGCTATTATCACAGCTTATGGACGCAATTTACCGTCCAAATAATTTGAATAACTATAGTAATTTTAGATTCTAAGTAGAGTGAAGGAGCTCACAGTTTTATAAAGAAGTTTATTTTCTGTGTGCAACTTTTCTACCAGAAGGCTTTCTTAGATTTTAAAGTATAGCACCTTTTCTGAAAGGATATCAGTAACCTTAAAGAGATCTTTTTTTTGATTTTCTTGGGAGTTTTCTCATCAAATTTGAAAAACCAAAAAATAAATGGAGGGAAAACAGGAAAATATAAGTAATGTAGGTATTAGTAAAAATATATTATGTTCTTCATTTTTCTGTGCGCAACTTTTTTATCAGCAATTTCAATCCAACTTATAATGATAACAATGTTTTTAAAAGAAAATTTCACTAGAGAGGTACATTAGCGAGGTTAGTTTTCGATTTTTCTAAGAGTGTTCCCAGTAAATGTAAAAAACCAGAATAAAACATTGGAAAACCGGAAAAACGTAGGAAAACTGGAAAAAATGGCTACAATATTAAACAAATATTATTAAAGAAAATATATAAAGCCTATTTAATTATTTTGCTATAAAATTACATATATTGTTGACAAAGCATCATTATCAACTGAACTCCGCTCAGAATCGTTTTATCGTATGCATTGGTTTTTCTTTGCTTAGAGGTATACATTAAATTATCTATAACAGTGACTGCATCCGTCCCCATTATCGTATTTTTTTTTTTTTTTATATGTTGATTTGTATAATTTACTCATTTTTTGTACATTTATCTTGTATAATAAATTATTTAAATAAATATTATATTATTATATACATCTTATATAATAAATCATATGAGAATTCAAAATATGTATAATTGAACTTCACTCCAAATTGTTTTTCGTAAGCAATGATTTATCGTTGATTTCAGATACAAATTAATTTTTCCTGTAAATCCTACTTTCTTTCCCAACTTTTCATCTACAGTAGTGACCTATCCATTGTGCGTCCGTGCAGTATGTTTGTCTTTTTCATATTGAAATTCAACAATTTGTGAAATTATTAATTATACTTTGTATACTTTATTTACATAATAATTATATAAATAAAAAATAATTATTATAAATATAATAAATTATAATACTATATGATATTCAAAGTATAATCATTTTATAAAAACGTCTATTCAAACATAAAAAAAAGTAAGGAAAAATGTGGACAAAACGTGGTGGCTATTTTACTCAGATGGCCACGCTTTTATTATCTAGACTCTCTAATAATCACTATCATCCGCACTGTTTAACCTGACTAAATTACATGTAACTCAATGCATTACGTCTCGTGGTGTTTTTAGCCATCTTGTCCTTTATAATATTAAAATGTAATAATAGTAGAAAAAATGATGTATAAAATATACATTATGCAGATTTTCGATTATATCGATGGCGACTGGGTGCCAATCGTAGATCGATTATGTGGTCGTAAAGTTCCGCCGGTATTCAACTCGACGGAAACAAAACTTAAAATTCGTCTAAAAACTGACAGTGTATTACAAGGAGATGGATTTAAAGTAAGTTTACAACTTAATTTTGAGTTTTTCCAAGAGCGTGTAGTTGTAGTGAATTCATATTAATTATTTGTATCTAGGCCATTTGGAAAAGTTTCTGTGGTGGAATTTTTACAGAAAATTCCGGTAGAATAATTTCACCAAATTATCCGGAGTCATATAAAAGCGATATTCAATGCAATTATACGATATTAGCACCAAAAAAATTCATACAGTTGTTTTTTAAAACATTCGATCTCGAAGGTAACCGTTCATTAAACGACGTAATTTACTATTAAATTGTTAAATATAAGAATAATTATACGCAAACAACTAGATAATATTCTTGTAAACTAATAAGTAATTTTTAAAACCGATAACTTACCACAATGAGTTTTATGTAATTCTAGAAGCCTTGCACACTCAATTAACCGCTATCTTCGATTTGTATTGATAAATAATATGGATTAACTAGAATACATATTATTTATTATTTATTTTTAAATAGTTAAAATTATTGAATTAATTGATTTTGATATATTTCAGCACCGATCCATTGTTTATTCTATGCGTAATAAACTTATAATTATTACTTCTATTAGGTAAATGTTACAGAACATATAAATACGGGGATTAACCGATTGCCTATAGGTATTGATTTTCAGTAGGTACTAGGTAGGCTAGAGGTATTATCTTCATCATTGTAAACAAAATGTCTTTACCGAAAAAAAATATGTATTGTTGTGTGAAAACTTTAATCGTGAAATAATCGTTATTGTATTTTAAATAAGTGTCTAATTAGTAATTATGTACGTTGAAATTAAATTTACGCTGCTATGAAAATGTACCAAATAACACGAATCATATTTTTAGGTTCATTATTTTCGAATGTTTATTATTTTATTATTTATATTGTATATTTGATACTTACATTCATAGATAGCGCTAAATGTTATTTCGACAATTTAACAATATACAACAAAGTGGGCAAATTTGACAGTAAATCAGAGCATTTAGTTGGTACATATTGTGGAATAAATGTGCCACAGACGATGAGGTTTGTACACAGCGCAATGCTGATATTCAAGACAGACGATTCCATTTTTTACAAAGGATTCGAAATACACTATGTATTACAAGGTAAACACATAGGTACTAAATTCGTAACTAACGTATTATTCTATAAATTCATTATCCATTATCTATTCGTATGTTATTTTTAAGTCGGTAATTGTAACAGACAAATAAAAGTAAAGTTAAAAAGAGTTGAAAATACATTATTAAAAGTATATTTTTGTATATTTGTAACTGTTGAAAACCCTTAACGTCCGGCTTCAAATTCTACAACAGAATTATTGATTTGCTTTAATTTTCTAAATGCCTACTTTTGAATTGCAGACTAATCCAGTTAATTTATCATATCTAAATTTAACTAAAATATAAATTTATAATATATATAATATACAAGTAGACATAAATATTTATTATTTTGAAACAGTAAATCTATATTAATGCTCATCAAATAATTTATACAGGATGTGGAGGTGAAATCAAAACTCCTGGAATAATTGAACCACCGACTGAGGTCGATGCTATAATTTCAGGAGTAACAAGCCGACTAAATTGCAGTTGGGTTATTCGAGCTCCGCCGGAACAAGTTATACAGCTTACGTAAATATACCTACGTTATTATAAATATATTTTTATTTTTTATTTTTTAGTGCCTATGTACAACTATTTGTCAAGTGTTAATATTTGTTTACAGTTTTACTCAATTAAATCTAACCAGTTATAACACGGAGAGTGAAACAAATGCATATAATTTATTTGATAATGGCAGTGGATGTCCGGATACTGATGTTTTACTTATTTATGACGAAACCACTATGAAGAGTAACAGCTCTAAATTCCTTGGCGTACTATGCAACGACTACGAAAAATTACCAGTAATAATAACATCTAAAACGAATAAAATGATCGTTCAATATAAATTCGAGAATGCAAGAAATTATAAAACATTTATTGGACTAATTTCATTTATATACGGTAAATATTTTTGACTTAGTTTGATATTGTGTTAGTAAAACAAAACAACAGTAAATATAATTGACTGTATTTTCATTTTTCACGTGCAATTTACGTATTTTATTCCACGCATCCATACGTGTCAACACAAAAAATTTAATCATTATCAAAATTCGAAACAAACTTTGAACGATTTGGAATCTTTGGACCTCTTCAGTTTATAGAGGAGCAGCGTCCAAGTCAAATTAGGTTTAATACATAAAGTTATTTTTAATGAGATATCCATTAAATACTTTCTTCATTTTATTTAAAAAAAATACTACAGGTATATGCGCTATATTAAAAATATTTTCAAAATATGTGTTCATTTATCATTCGTAATTAAACTTTTATTACGAATATAATAATATTTTAACTTATTTATTATTGTGTTGATACGAATAAATACAACTCTATAGTATGCTATAACATTAATGTTATGCAACATGTTAATTGTACGATTTTTCATAAAATATTAGAATGTATTTTAATAATGTATTATTAAAAATTTGTAAAATTATCCTTTAGACGAATCTAAAGGTTGTGGAGGCACTATAAGGTTGAACGCTTCAAATAACATGTCCAACTATACATTGAAATTACCGAAATTCCCCGAAAAAACAACTTTAGATTGCGGATGGTTAATACTAGTAGAACCATCGTATACCGTGAAGATTCAAGTTGTTAACTACGTAGAAACACCAAAATGTCCTTCGCACGCTATGGGTTGCGGCTCTATTCAGGTTAAAAATGGTTTATTTTTATTATTGTTGTTACATTTTTATTTCTGTAAGTTTTCCATTTACAATTTTAGTTTTAAAACTATTTGAATTTAACATTTCATATGTCTGAATAGAGAAATTTTGAATTTTAGTTTCTAGACGGTCCTGGACGTTTAGCTCCGAAAATTCACCAATTTTACCCAGGAAATAATAGTTATCCTCCACTCTTGTCGTCCGGAAGTGTTGCTTTCATACGATACCGAATTCTCGATATTAATTACGACGTACATTTCGAGATAAATATAACAACTGCGATTTGTAATTCAACTACAATTTAAAAAATAAAATAAAATATTATATTCAAGTTGGTTTCTTTTTAAATAGCGGCGTGCGGTAAAATGATATTACCTGTAACAAACCAAACAGAAGTATTAACATCACCAAACTATCCATTATCGAACGGAATCAATTTAGTTTGCACTTGGTCATTAATAATGAAACGTTTCAATCCGGTTATTATGTTACGTTTCACGGATTTGGATTTAGGAGACACCAAAGACTGTTTGTTTGATTATTTGGAAATATCCTATACGCCGGTAAATATTTTAACATTTATAATAATCTTGATATTGAATTGTTACAAGTCAAATCTATAAAGGTATACCCAATGGTGTATTAGGAGATATAGTGGAGTTTGCGACGTATATTGTTCACCTCTTTATAGTTTATTATTTAGCGTCTATATGCGCTAAAAATACGATGACTTGCGGATGTACGACCGTAAAATTTCGTATAAATTATACATATTATAATTTTCAATCACGTACACAAAATGTTTCATATTGATCAGTAAATTAATTCTTAATAAATATCAAATAAGTATATACAAATTCCATAATTCCATAAAAGCGTTTATTTCGAACTAAGTGAATCAAATTGTTTTACTTTATGATAAGGTCTTATCATTCTCACACAACAACTATATAGCAATATTCTAAAAGTTGTATAACTACATATTTTTTTAGCAATGCATCACAATATATACCTAAAATGTATAAATATGTATTCGAATTAATGAGTAGTTAAAACAATAAAAACGAAGGTCAACGTGTTTGGAAAGATGGGAAGGTAGCCATCTAGGATGTATATATTACGTAGACAATTTAGTTTCAAATATATTGTATATAAAATGGAACGATAAAATAATTGCAAACGAAAATGATTCTGAGCACAGTTTGCTAAAATATTTTTCGAAAAATTAAAATTAAAATTATTTATTTGTAACTAGGTACGCAATAAATTATTTTACGTATTTTACTATATAGTATTTGTACTTGAACTGCCGATTAAAATAAAGTATGACATGACGTGCAATTTATTTTTACCACTAGTTACAGCTTATATTTAACCTTGTATTCAATTTGTGATTATATTTATAGAGTCAATCAAGTTTTATTCACATAAAATCGGGAAAAAAAAAAGAAATTCATAAATTTCGAATAGCAATAAATAATTGAAAATTACATTAAGTCTTGTAAAATGTAAATGTGAACATTTTAGTGCTCTACGAATCTAATTTAACCTCTATGATTAATTATCATTATATTACATCAAATACAGAAAAGCGAAATTAACAGAAATCGTTATTACGCGAATATTCTCGATTTTTCCTCATTATTAGAAAAAGTCAAATGAATATCTCAAAATGATTTGTTTATTGCACCAACTAAACAACATTTTCTACCAAAAAAAAACCGTCCCTAATTGGAGTAAGATTTCAGGTCGAAAAGTTATTCGTTATAGTAAAACTAATACATTGCTCACTGCATTCAGAACATGAAATATCAAGGGGTGAAAAAATGGTAAACGCATCGATCGTTTATTATTACACTTTAAATTATTATTTGTTTTCAAATATTTTATTATAAAAGATTAGTTTATTTTCTAAAAATTAAAGTTTTTAAATAAAAATATGACGTCAATACTTTAATAAATTTAAAATATACATTCTGTCTATTTATTTAGGTGGACATGACGGCCACTAGTATCCGCGTGTGTCATAAAGAACACGAATTTGATTTAGTAAGCCATACGTCATCTGATGTCGTTCTGAAGTTAAAGACAGGTGGCCAAACGAAATCTAGGGGATTTAGATTAGAGTATACAAGTTCAAGTAAATAATTAAGTCCAATCAAAACACGTACAAATATAATTAAAGTTGTTTCAACTAGATAATTTATTGTTCACAACTTATTTTATCTAATACAGGATGCCAAACGATTTATAACAAATCTAACGGACGAATAATATTTGATAATGCGCCAGGAACGGTGGACAGTTTAGATTGTACATTCACAATAAATGCCACTCAACCGAATGCGACGATTTCTGTATACTTTTTAAAATTTTTGATTTCGGGTCCACCAGGTGAAAACTATTTAAAGGTCACTATTATGTAGATTATTATTTTTCGTTTATTATTATATTATATCAATCGTCTGAGACAAAAAAATGATTTTATACCAGGTGTATGATGGACCGGCAATTCCTTCATTACTTATGTCTAACATGACCGGATTACCATCAAATATGTCGATACTTCCGTCTCCCATATTTTCGCACGGTTCAAAGTTGACTTTTTCTTATAAAGTGACTGGCACATTGTGGCCGGTGGATATGATTTATACTATTACGGATCAAGGTGATATACGACTACTATGTTAACGGCAATGCAAATTATAATAATTCTTGTGTACAATTTTAAAGTATACGTATATCTATTTAAATGTATTGTGTACAATTAAAGGAAGGGGTTGTGGTGGAAGAATTTTTAATTCCGAGGGCCGAGTAACAAGTCCACTATATCCTTTGATATATAAAAAGAGTACTGCTTGCAGATGGGACATTTCCGTACCCAGGCCATATTCGATCGCTATTAAGTTTGAAAGTTTGTAAATTATTCATAAAAATAAAAATATTATTTTAAATCTTTAGGCGAGCATGTATAACTGATCGGAACGTTTTTTTTTCGTTTTAATCTGTTCAAAATATTAAACTAAAACATTTATGTATTGAAAATATCTATTTTAATTATTATTATTGTTTTTATATTTTGTTTAATATAGTATTAGATTTGAGCAAGTCAGAAACATGTAACACTAATTATTTAGAAATGTTTAACGTCGATCAGAATACGGGGAAATCGTCGTTTATAGCTAAATATTGTAGTGGCGTGAGTATTATATAATTGTATTATTTTAATAAACATAATAATACGATAAATAATCTGTTGGGTTGTTTATAGGATATTCCGGATGATCACATCAGTCAAACAGGAGCTGTTTTCATTCGTTATGTGACGACTGTACACAATACCGGTTCTGGTTGGGTTTTAAACTTTAAAATGAAATGATGTCAGTTAACAATACTTATAAGTTATACAAATTGTTAACCACTCGCATAAACCTACCAAACTGCCGCTCCCTTCAAAGAGAATAAAACCAAAACTAAAAATAATAAATATAATATAATAAATGTTTTATATACGAAACTCGTTATTTATTTTTCTTTTAGCTTATAAATTGTATTTTTTCTGTAAAATACGTACCTATTAAGCTTAATTATGTTCACATGTTCAATGAGTGATCCCTGTACATGCCTCGGACGAACTGTTCTTGACCGAAACGCTGTGGTTTACCGTAATAGCATTTCCGCACCGTGTGCACCGTCGGCGAATACAGTCCGTAATCGTTAGAAGTAGTAACATAGAATGGATTCGGCGGGATTTTCCTAGTTGTACTATAGTCTTGCAAACCTGGAAAAAGTTCAATTTTACGGGTTGCCAAACAAATTGCATTAGACAATATAAGACTGGATAAGTAGACGAGTTCGTTTGAAAAAAATTCATACAAAAATAGATACTACTTCCCAAAATAATTGTTCTTTAAAAAAATTTAAATTTAAACCTCAAACTGGATTTTATTACATTATACTACAATGTTTTAATAATGATTATGGATATTAAATTTCGTTACCTGGACATTCGAAACGTATCGGTAAATTGTGCGTTTTATAATGATCGGACGTTTTTTCCTGAACCTTGCTACCATCCACTTTGTCCATGTTCTAAACACTAACGGGCGTATACCGACGATATAATAATATTATTGATCAAACAACTCTAGAAATACATCTCGATAACCGTAATAATTCACTAACATAATATAGATACCACTTGGTTTAAAATCAATGTAATTTCTACTCGTGTATATAATAATATGTAGGTATATTTAAATATAGAGAAATATTAAATGAGTGTTATTTAATACGTTTGATTGGCAAATATTCATGCCCGTACATAGAAAATAATTTGGGGAGAGGAGGGTCTGGTACTCTGGTGAGGTTCATAAGTAAGAAGACGTTCTAGAATAATGAGAACAGAAGCAACCACTGTTATAGGTAATTTAATGTATGTGTGTAAGCAAGGATAAACCATTGCTTACGAAAAAACGATTCTGAGCGGAGTTCAGTTGATAGTGATGCTTTGTCAACAATATATATATATATATATGCAATATTATAGTAAAATAATTAAATGAGCTCTATATATTTTCTTTAATAACAGTTGTTTCATGTTGTACCGATTTCCCCGGTTTTCCTACGTTTTTCCTGGTTTTTCCATGTTTTTCCAAGTTGTTCACATGTGCTGGAAAAACTTGGGAGAAAATCGAAAAACGATCACTCTAAAGTACCTCCCTAATACAATTTCCTTTTAGAAACATTGCTATGATTAATATTTGGAGCAAAATTGTTGGTAGAAAAATTTTCCATAGTAAAAAAGAAGGCCATAATATGTTTAACTAACACCTACATTACTTACATTATACCGTTTTTTTTCGGTTTACCACATTTGTTGAGAAAACTCCAGAGAAAATCGAAAAATGACCTCTTTAAGGTTACTAATTTCTTTTCAGAAAACGTGCTATACGTCAAAATCGGAGCAAGTCCTCTGGTAAAAAAGTTGTCCATAGAAAAAAAAATAAACATCTTTGTAAAACCATAAGCTTCTTCGTTCCACTCAGAATTTAAAAAACTAAACATTTTAAACTATAAAACTGGTATTTGTTAAAAAAATCATTTAATAAAATTGTTTTGTTTTTGTTTGGAGCGGAGCAAAGATATTTTAATATTTTATTAGTATAACTATGGTATTTTTTTAGATTTTGAGCATAATGAAGGATTTATAAGTTTAAGCAGTATGATGTGTTTTAGATTCTAAGTGGAGCTTATGGTTTTACAAAGATATTTATTTTTATTTTTTTTCTCTGGTCAACTTTTCTACCAGAAATTTTTCTCTGATATACAATAATAATACTTTTTCTAAAAGAAAATCTGACTGGGGAGGTACTTTAGAGAGGCTGTATTTCGATTTTCCCAGGAGTTTATATCATTCTCATCAATGTTTCATGTTTCATTTTTATATTAAGTACTCTTGCTTTCCATACGAGATTTTACCTCAGTGAAAAGCAATGTTATTTTTTCTTCTTCTTATATGTCTATTAGGCATTGCCTATACTTGAACATTTTGAACTAGCAATAAAAATTATATTATATTATAGGTACCATTTTTATCAATAATTCAGCCACTATCGATTATCAACATAAATGAGAATACTTATAAATACAAAATGATTAAATGAATTTCAACGGTTTTTAATAACTTAATCGCAATTAATAATAATCAAATTGTCACATTCGTTTTAAATAATTACTTCAAAATATTAAAGTGAACTAGCGTTAACAAAATTCAAAACGGCCGTATACCTATTATTTTAATACTAGTATTTTACTATATTATAATGGAATCATATATTATTGATTGTCGTATAATTATGTTTCGTAACATTTATTTAATATAGCACTCTATCACCAACACAAGCTTGAAAAATAACGGTAGATAATACTAAACCTTTTCACTAAAGTGATTGTAGAATGTTTAGCGTTTTCACTTAGTTCTAACTGCATTTTCTCAACAACAATAAAACACGTGTGTAAATACACAAATTTGATTACTTGTGGTGAACCTTGGTTTTCTTCGATGAATCCGCGTTGTGTAAACAATACGAAAATATATATTTAATTCCATTTAATTTTGGTTAGTGTCAGTATACGCTGTCTTGTTTACAAACTCAGCTAACGGTTTTATCGTGATTCGGTAAAAATTAACGCAGCTTAAAATTAAATTCGAAGGGCATCGATCAGTACAGTAAAATGCCCGTTCTGAACGTCATGTTAGCATTCAGTGCAATCCTGTGGCCTGTCACGTCGGGGGGTTTGATAATGTACGATACCAAGTCTTTTTTATTTGAAGTGATGGAAAACGACGCAATATGGGCTGAAATCCTCAACGTCGAAATAAATATAGAGACGTCCATCTTGTCTATAGCCGCTCGATCGGTGCTTAGGGAAATGGGAATCACTACGCCAGATAACCATGAGCAGGTTTCACAACCGGAGATGAATAGTAATGAAGTTGTAAATGTTCAAAGTATGATGATCAGCAAAGGTGCAAACGTTGAAGCGGATTACACAAAGCCCAAGACCAAGAAAATCGTGACTGCCAACGCCTTGCACGTACTCGTTCACATCGTTGCAATGCATTACCAAGAAAGCAACGCGCTGGAATTCGGGCTGTCAGTGATTGTATCTGCTATCAAATGCCAATTCCTACAGATAATTTCAATAATGTTGCGAGTAATTAATGAAACACAAATTAAGGAATATAACGTTCCTGATTATTTAGTCGTCTGGAATAACTTGGAGCTATATTTGGACAAAATAGCTCGACTTAAAGATTCGATGGCATTTGAAGGTGCAATGTACCAAGAATGGCAAACCGTCGTGGCAAATACTGATTTCATTGGTATCGAATCTCAGCCGATTTTGGGTGACGTAAAACCCATCATGAACCTCGTGGAACAGAGTTTATTATCTTCGTGTGAAAGTAAATCATTAACAAATCAGCGTCTTGAACATGTAAATATAAACCCGGAAACCGATAGCTGGAGAAATGTCAAAGGATTGCATTCTATATTTGAAAACGCTGATAACGCGCTAGAAAAATTGTCCCGACGCATACCAGTCAGTACCATGGAGAAAAATCTCTGGGACTTATATGTCAATATAGTAAAAATAGTTAAATATCGTGTTCCTAGAACTTTTGCAAGAGTAAGCGATTAGTAATGTTAATTATATTATAATTATATTTTATACCTATTTTGTACGGAATTTTTTTAATTTCTACAATACCTTTTAACTCCATATCTCAATGTTGTATTACAATATAAATTTTTATATTGTATATAACTTGTATAATTTAAAAAATACGTACGTTAATCACCTCTCAGACCAAAGAAAACAACTAATTCAATGGGATTGTTTTGTCACAACACATCTCGTATTAGAATAGTGTTAGTAAATATCTCAATTATTGTTGGTTGGACGTTGGAAAAGTAGGAATTATTGGCTATAACATAAAGATCTGAAACCTGAAATTACTCTTATTCGGTAAAATATTTTTAAACAATTTCTTCTTGTAATAATAACTAGTTAGAGCCTTGTGTTATAATATCTCTGTAATATATATTTTTTTTAACTAAAAATAAAACATTTCAATTTTTAAAGAATTTTTTTACAAAACTTTTATTATTTGTATGAATATATTTTTTTATTACAAAATGTTAGCGTAACAAATATTAATTAATAATAAATTGTCAAGTTTTAACATTTTTTTGAAATTCACAAAATTTTTTTCATGATAAAATTGGTGTCTATTATTATTAACCTCAACAAATTCTATAAAGTTAACAAGGTTCATTATTAGCAAATATTTATAACACCAATATTTTATTTCAAAATATATTTATAAAATTACTATCTTGTATTTTATAAAATCAATTTTTTTTAAATTTAAATTTTAAATTTTTAGTTTAAAAAAAATATATAAAAATAGAGTAACTATAGCATTGAAGTACGCATGGTTTTTTAATGGAGAAGGGAGCTTGAAAATTTATAATTAATCAGTTGTTTTGTCACAAGTTTGAATAATGAAGAAGGTCAGTAGGTGCATTCTTAGTTCTGACTTATATTTAGGTCAACTATGAAAATGTTTGGCAGTGAAAAAAAATTTTTAAGCTGGTATAATATTAAAAAAAGAGGTCAACCAAAATTAGAATTTTATGAATTGTGGATTGCATAACTTACTGTTTTTTTTTTTTTAAACTAAATATCGAAAAAAAATTCAATCTTTTTTTACCATAATGAACAATAATTAGTTATTTAGTTATTTTAGTGTGCAAAACTATGAGATACGTTTTATACGAAAACAATGACGGAAAACCTAAGTATATAAAATATTATTACTTTGATAGTCAAGAGAAATAAGTGAAAACAAAATTATCTACGAGTACATAATTGTTTTTCACTAATTAAAGGTTATATTATTATTATTTATAATTATTTACAATGCGTTAATTGTTGGTAACATCAATTCAGTGAGTCCAATATTGTAATCATAGATATTGTCTAAGGTTATGTGGCAGCCCGCGTAGATACGATAACATTACCGCCAAAGTTCTTATAATAACAAAAACATTGTTTACAACGACTAACGAGTGTCACCACCGTTAGACAAAAATAATTATCCTATAAACATAATAATAACTTATTCTATGATAATATAGTAATATAAACTTTTTACTAACATCCTTAATATGTTAAACAGTAAGGGTATTAGTAGACATGGGTTGTTAATTAAATTATTTACTTACGAAAATAATGCATTTTATGAATAAAAATTCTTACTTACTAATTATTGTTACAGTTGAAACTTGAAAAATATAAAAAAAAAAGACGTCCTAAGATAATGAAGACGGGTGCAGCCATTGTTATAGGTAATTTAATGTATATCTGTAAGCAACGATAAACCATTGCTAATGAAAAAATGATTCTGAGCGGAGTTCAGTTGAAAGTGATGCTTTTTCAACAATATATATATATATATGTCATATTATGACAAAATAATTAAATAGGCATTATATATATATTTTTTTTAATAATATTTGTTTAATATTTTATCGATTATCTCGATTTTCCTGCGTTTTTCCCGGTTTCCCCATGTTTTTTCCCGGATTATCAAATTTTCCAAGAAAACTCTTGGATGAATCGAAAATTGACCTTCCAAAAAAAAAAATACTAGGTACATTAAACTGAATTTTTTATTTTAACTACAAATTATGACTTATAATGAATCTTCTGTTAAATTTTCAAGTATTTCTCTTTGGTTGAACAATTTTATCCATAAAGTACCTACCGAATAAAAATTACGTAAAAAACCAATTTTTTTTCCGAATTATTATTAAAACCATTTGAAAAATTAAAAAATTAAAAACTTGTACCAACTAAAAGAAAATTATTTTCAGAAAAGATACTAAAGTTGAAAATCGAAATAAGATTTCTGGTAGAAATCGTGTGCACAGTAGCATAAATAAACATCATTGTAAAACAAATACATTCCTTGTTTGCTTAGAATCTAAAAAAACGATCAGAAAAATAATCGTATACTTTTTCAGCAAAAAATAGTAATTATACAATATTAACTCAATTTTCAAATATAAAACTTTTTCAATTTGTTCCACTTTTAAATGTAGTTTATAAAAAACATCGAAACACTTGTGTAAACACACAGATCTGATGACGTGCGACAAAATTTGATTTTCTTCGACAAATGTGTGATGTGTATACAATACAAAAAACGATGACAGCAATGTTTGAAGAAAATAAATAAGATCATCAGTATACTCTGTGAACCCGTTAAAAACTTAATTGCGTCTTGGTGTAGATTTAAACAATTATTTTTAAAAACCGTCAAGCAGTACAATGTTCGTTCTTAAAGTTGTATTGGTATTGAGCGCAGTCCTATGGAACGTTGCGTCGGGGGGATTGATAATGTATGACACCAAGTCTTTTTTATTTGAAGTGATGGAAAACGATGCAATATGGGCTGAACTCCTCAACATCGGGATAAAAATAGAGACGTGTATAGTGTCAACCTCAGCCCGAACAGTACTTCATGAAATGGGAATGATCACGGTGAATATCCAAAAGCTATGCATGGCAAAGGAGGCGATTGATTATGGCTCGTCGAATCATCAAACGGTGTTAGAAAAGTTTAAATCTAGACGGCATAGGAAAAAGTTGATAATGTCTAAAAATACGGAAGGTGATAGATATGAAGATTTACTAGCTAAAAACGAGATAGCTGACGATGAAGGAGCGATGAATGTTTCATCGATGATGGCCTCATATAAAGTTGAAAATCTTCAAAATGATATTGCCGGTGCAAGTCTAAGCACTGATACGGAGTACGAAAAACCCGTAGACAAAACCGTAGTGACTATCAGTGCCTTGCAAGTACTCGTCCATATAATTTCTACGCATTACGAGGAGAGCGACGCGCTAGAATTCGGTCTGTCCGTGATCGCATCAGCCATCAAGTGTCATGTTTTACAGATCATTTCAATTATGTTGCGAGCCATTGACGAGGAGACGATCAATGATTATAAATCTGAATGGTATAGCGATGTTTGGGTTAGCTTAGAGCTGTTCATAGACAAAATTGCCTGGCTCAAAGAGACGCTGGCAATCGAGAGTACATTGTACCGAGAATGGGAAAATTTGATGCTCCATACTAATACGAATGTCTTAGAACCAGCCATGGATGAGTTAGAATTTATTCGGGATCTCGTGGACGAGAGTCTATATTCTGCATGCGAACACAGCTCACACGATCAGATCGCTAAAATTTTGAAATTTAACTCCGAAATCGATCGCTGGACATTTCCTAAAGGCATACGATCCATTTTCAATAAATCTAACAAAAAATTACGAAATATATTTCAAGCCATACCAATCAGCACTATGGAACCAAAAGTCTGGACTAGTTATCTCAATAAAATGGTGACATATTTTAAGATTCTTATTAATTCGCCTGGGTTCATCTAGTAGTTTATTAGTATGACCATGATTAATCAATATATTTTGTACCGTTTAATTTATATAGTTTACACATTTTCATAATATTATTATACTTTGTGCTTAATATAATTCCGATTATAATTCCGATAATGTCAATAATTTTTTTTTACTCCGTAAGTACTAAGTTCATGACATTTTTAGCATGGCTATGTTTGATCCTTATAAATAATAACAATACATTCTAAACCACGAATGGATGAAATATAAAATGAAATGATTCGTAAACGTACTACGTTTCAAAAAATTTGTCTACCGAATAAGAGTTTATTTTAAAATAATAATAGAAATAAAGTAATCTTTATAATTATTTATATAGTTATTGTTTGAAACGTGTGTGATCCTATTATAATCCTTATGTTAGCTTGAGTGACATAGGTTTAGTAACGTCTAGTTGCATTAGTCGCCCCGAATATCAACTATAGGGGTAATGGAGTGTCTGGTAGAAAATTTCTATATTGTCTAGTTCATTCAAAGAAAAAGTCATTTAGTTTCTTTGTATTCCTAATAATGTGGAAATGCCAAAAAAATACGTCGGGGAAACTGTAATATTTACTGCACATAGTGGTATCTGTAATATTCGATTTTGTTTTTTTCTACAAATTGCAATTGAAGTACTACAACATTTTTTTCCAACATCAAAATACTTTTTTACCAGGTTACTAGTTTCTATAACTACATCATAGAAATCTTGGTCAACTTAAAAAAAGGTTAAAAAATTACTTACTTACATTGTTATTCGAAAAATCGAATACTATTAAATTATACTTTTCTAATTCGGAATATACATGTTTGTCCGAAAGCTAATGTCAAAGAGAAGACTATTAAGTATAGTGTATTTGATTTCCGCATTGACTACAGTAATGCCCCAAGAAACGTATAATTTATTTGAATTTCTACTACAAGTTTCACCAGAACTTTGAAATAAAAATTGTGTTATTGTATTCAATCAATTATTTGGTATCAACTATTATAAGTATTTTCCATTATAACTGCTACTGCCAACTAGTATAAACACTGTAAACGCCAATACGCATGTTGAGTTAAATTCAAAATTATTAATATTATTAATTTGTTCGTCACACGATTTAAACGTGTAAAATTCACACGTAGGCCGACTAATAACCGAACATCAGTTAACCCTTTTTCCAACTCGAAGTGGACGCTTACAAAATCCACTAAATAGTTTAAAATAGAAAGAGTTATACAAAATAATACACTATAATGGAAATAAATATAAAACCGCATAATAACAAATAAATTGTAATAAAAAAGTAAATAAAAATTGAACATATTAACTACAATAATATGAAATTGTAAACAAAATAGTCATGATATCGTGCAATTCGAAAAGTTTCTCACTGTTCCGGAATTCAAAAATCATAAAATACAAATTGTATGAATATTCGAGATTGATATGTTTTTTAAATAGTTTAAATTAAAAATCTCACCTCTAGTTTTGCGTTGAACACTTTAAATAATTTCTCGACTTGAAATTGTAACGTTTATTTCAAACATGGCTCGTTGTATAAATTTTATTTAGAGGTATGTACCTAGTCTAGTATAATATATATCTATATTATAAGAACGAATCCGTGACTTAGGAGCCGAAGACGTCCGTTTCACTATGACGTTAACGCGCGTACAGTTCTTTCCGTCACGCTCATTACGAGCGATGATAATTAAGAAATGCTACTGTCTGTATCGATAATCATTGTTTCATTGTCTTAGTAGTAGTAGTAGTAGTAGTAGTAGTAGTAATCGTAGTCATATTAATCGTCATCGGGCTCATAATTTGAACTATTAGATGGTTTCATCGAACTTATTTTGGCATTCAGTCTAAATGTTGTACGGAAGATTCTAACAGTAGGATTTCGATTATATTCTCCTTTTTGTCTAAAGCCAATTTCTTTTTGTTCATTATACAGCATTAAATATTGTCCAGCACATACCGTAAAAACATAGTGGTCTGATACTATTATTACTATACTATAATTATATACAATACTACACTATTGAAAGTATTATAACTCTTATTTTTAACATTCATTTTCTCTAAAGTTTCAAATGTTGTTCTTGCTTTTGTAAGAAATTGAAGTTGGTGTGGTCTTTCATTAGATATTTCACACTTAAATGTATTTGAGTTGTACACACATTCAGTTGCGCAACTAGGGGGGGAGTTGAGGATTATGATCCCTCCCGAAATATGTTTGTTAATTTTTTTTAAATTTTACATAGTACCTACGTAATAGTATGATTTTCATACTAATTTGAAATATAATGTTATAACATCATATATAAATGAATAAGTGAGAACAACCATTATCATAAAAATCATTTTCTACACTTAAGAGGCTAAAAACTTATTTAAGAAACACTTTAGTTAAAGTTAAACCAAGTTCAGCGCTTAATGTTGAGACACTGTATTCGAAAAAATTAATCTTAAAATGTAAATTATTATTATTATACAGAGTGGGCCATTTAAACTGTCGGGATGTTTTTTGTAATAATTTTATAAAAAAAAAACACAAATTATTAATTTTGAATGTTTGTTCGTTTATTTTGGAAATTTATTCTGATTAATTTTTAAAAATCGCCTATATGATCTTCTTCAGAGCAAATGATATAACGTGCTTGTTTTACGGCATTTCCCATCACTTTTCGAAGTGTTTGTGGTTGAATGGGGCCGTAAATAAACAAAATTGTTGGTTCTACGCCAATGAAAACCCTCAATTAATTAATTGGTTTCAACAAGACGGCGCCATAGCTCATACAAGGCGACCATTTCCGCGATATTATTTTAAAAAAGTAATGAGAACACAATTCCATGTTTAAAAAGAGCGAAAAATTATTCAAAATTAATAATTTGTTTTTTTTTTTTTATTATTACCAAAAACCATCCCGAAGGTTTAAATGGCCCACCATGTACTTATGAGAAAAGTATATATTTCAAACAAATAATTAATATGAGTCTAAACGTTTTCTAATTATGCGTTGTTAATAAATGAAAGTTAAACAATTTAAAAATTTTACTCATAAACCTAATTAAACCTTACTCCCTCCAGCCCACCAAACACCATCTAAAATTAAATTTTTTTTTAAATTTATAAAAGCTTCTCCGAAAATAAATCCTGGTTGCACCACTGCATATATTTGCTTCCACAACCACGAGACATAGTACTAAAATATCTGTTTGATACAAACCGTAATTCACAAAGAAGAAAAGTTTTAAACCGGTACAAAATTCAAAATGTTTAACAACAAATAATGACAAATTATAATACACACAACAACAAAAATTTTTAATGCAGTAATTGAAAACATCGTGAATTGTGATTAATAGCNTTATTTCTCAGCTCACAATAAAAACTCGATTTATTGCTTTTATTTTTATCATTGAAGTGGCTATCTATGTTAATCAATAGTTCGGAGCACAGCCATATAGATAAGTCTGACAATTTCAGAAATTCTATGTGCTGTTATTGTAGACGATATGGAAGATGGCTAAATATCAGAAGTGGCATTTTGAGAATACGTCAACAGATTGTGTAATTGTCGATTATAATATTTTACCGTACATTAAAGCACAGCTGTATAGGTGTATGATGTATCTATATAGTATATTGACACATGTCCGTGAATTAAACTAATGCATTGTAATGAATACTAACAAGTAAATAATTATAAGATACAAAAAAAAAGACTGACATACTTCGCACATGGGTGCAGCCATTGTTGTAGGTGAAAATTTGGGAAGATAGGATACAGAAGGGAATTCAATGCATATTTGTAAGCAACTATAAGCCATTGCTAACGAAAAAAACGATTCTGAGCGGAGTTTAGTTGATAGTGTTGCTTTGTCAACAATACAATATATGGTATATATCATATTATGGTAAAATGTTTCAACAATGTACGTTTCTATGATAACAGAGATTGTTAAAAAAAGATTAAAAATAATAACAAAAAATGAATGAAAAAGGTTGCCAATGACAACCTTATTTGTAATCTTTCAATCTTTTTTAACCTTAAGACAGAGGTTTTCCTCATTATCTCAAATATTAATAAAAATCTCAAAAAATAACCTCTCTAAAGTACCACCCAGAGAACATTTCCTTTCAGAAAAGGTACTAAAATTGATAATCAGAGTATGCTTTCTAGTAGAAAAAGTGTTCACATACAAAATAATATTAATACAAAAAAAATAAACATCATTGTAAAACTAATACATTTCTCGGTCCACTCAGAATCTAAAAATGATTCAGTAAAAATAATATAAGTGAATTAAGTTTTGCAGAATTTTAATAGTTTTTCTTTTTTTGATTAATTTGATTTAATTGCCTGGTGAACTGTCACATGCGCATATTCGTATAATATCTTATAGAATATGAAACAATAGCAACCTTATATTGAACACATAGGAATCCAAGATGTCCATCATTTAAAATGTCATCCATTATTTCATAAAATACATAATAACTGTCAATGTGGAAAATCAAACATACTTCATCCTTGAACACTAAAGGAAATAATCCTTTATTTAGATGGATAAGTTTTCCTCTAAATTTCAAATCTGCCAATTCAGATTCAGGTATGTTATTGTTCATTCAGTTTTGCACAACAAATCTGGGTTTATTTTTGATTTGTATACAGGGTGATTCACTAAGTATGCTCACCCCATTTTTTTGGTTAAATTTTGCATGTATTTAAATTCTGATTTTTGGAATTTTTAAGTGTAATTAAATCCGGTATTTTCGAATACTTAGATTGTTCATATTTAAGAAGTATCCAGTGGCGATATAAGTTTTTAAAATAAGAACCTATATTAAAAATCGTATAAATAGATGGATTAAATACATTTTAGTGTTCAAATGTTTAATACCCATCTGTCAAACCGATGATGAGATATTCGAATTTTTGACAATAGGACAGTAGTGGAATACTAATAAAACGTACCATCTATTCAATTAAACATGAGTAAAGCATGTTTATATGCACAAAAATAGATGGCACCACATAGCCATCTCCCAGATCGTCTACATTAACAACACACTCGGCGGCCATATAATACTAGTACAGTTGCCACACTTATCTATATGTATGTACGTATTTTCATAATATTGGTTTATCATTGCTTACACAGAGTTACACTAAATTACCTATAACAGTGGTTGCTCCAGTAACCATTATACGCCTTTTTTTTTATGTGAACACTTTTTTTACCATATTACTTACTCCGATGTATACAATATAGACCCTTTTTTATAAATATTTACAACACCAGAGAAAAATTTAAAGATGAAGGATACGTTTTAATTCCGTTTAACAAAATGGTATTAATAGTCCTCCCGACAGAAGAAACTATTATAACATTTATACTAATGGAGTTACTACATTTAATGGCAATTCATTCGCAAAGGTGGAAAATGTTCAATTTTTTTCAGAAATATTACGAATTATGGATGATTCACCTTTTAATCAGAACGATATACAACAAATCATTGAAATAACCATGCAAGAAATAAATGGCTATGTTAAGGTTACACAGTGTCAGCGTTTGGAAGAAATACTGGACAAATCGGAATTAGTCATAATTGGAATAAAACAAATGCGTCACAGAAACAAAGTTCGTTACATATTGCAGTTTGATAGCCTGGATTCATTGTATGTCTCAACTTTCTGGTTGGAGAAAAAATGTCAGATGTTAAAATAGATTTAAATTATAAGATCAAATTAAGATGGATAGAATTAAAACTACTGCTAGTGAAAATAAAGAAAGGCGGGTTTTTTGTGTATAATAATGTATAATATATGTATAATTATTTTGTAATGTTAAAAAAAATAAATAAGTATATACCTACATAAATTTTGTCTTTTTATTTTTAAAAAAAAATCTTTCCATTAAGGTTATATAAATGTAGCATAATACATAAAATTAGTTGAAACTGGGTAGTTGAAAGTATAGTAATGTTACTTTCTTACCTATATGATGTTACAGCAGTATTGATTTTAGATTTTCTTTGAAGATACACCACTGGCATGGGTGGCTGTTAACAAATATTATAATTTGCACTGGCTTTTGAAAAATCTCCGAGCACCACTGCTTGTGCCTAAAACTATATTAATATACCAATACTTTACGTTATAGGTACCTACCTATAAATTATGTTAAATGTTTAACGCGATTTTTATGTTTTTGAACCGTAGGTATTTATGGTATTTTGTCTGTCCGCTACGGAAGTTATTTTTCTTATTATTTAATTTTTTTTTTTATAATAACGAAAAACGATTTTATTAAAATCGGAACTTTCGCATCTATACTATCGTCTATTTATGTAAATACACGAATATGTTTATAAATACTGAATACGCTGTTATAATGCGAACAATTGATAGATACCTAAAACTTAACGTCAACGGTATATGGGTTTTGAGATGAGGTCCACAGAACGTAGGACGTACGTCAAAACTACACTGTAAAATATCCATAACGCCGGTCGTCGTAACGTTGGCAAATAAATACCGTTGGCAAATTAAACACCCAAACAAATCAACTGTTGCTTCGTGGATACGGTCGCCGGAAAAGTTAACGAGAGCCCGGAAACCGAGTAAACAACCTTAGTGTGCGATCCGAACAATTAGGTAAGAATAATATTAATTAAGAATATCAAATTTAAAGTCCAATATATCTAAAAGTATAGTTTTTGTTTTTAGCTTTTTCATTTCCCTGCACATTCACGCGAGTCTTTGTCTTCGTATATTTTCCAATTATATGATCAACATGATGTCCACCGTGGTTTCGTTAGTAGAGAGCATGCTTTTCACGGCGATTTTGACGTTACTGGTACTGTGTTGGCTAAGCGAAAAAAATACGAACATTGCCGTCGGAGTATGGAACACAATCGTTCTAATAAGGTACGCGCGTGTATCCGAAAAACCGTTTTATGTTGTTTTTTGTCCGTTTTAAAATAAGTAATCGGTGTCTTACATCGGGCGAATCACCTCGTCATCGCTACCCGCCGGCAAATAAAATGGACGATAGTGGTCTGCCTTTTCCGTCATTCGCGGGTTATATCCTATAAGATATGTACGTGAAAAATATCGTTTCCCGTGTTCACGACTAGCCTGGATTTTTATTCAGATTTAAATAGCTCGGCGTAGGTACCTAGGATTGTATTCACTGATGAACGGTATGATATAAATTCGACTAAAGTCATAAAAAATTACAGCTGAATGTAGATATAGCTGANTATACTCTATAGTATAGAAACTATAAAGGATTTTTAGAAATATGACCATCGATGATCGGAGCTCGCACTTAAATTGCATTCCTTAAAATACGGAAATTACCGATTTAGTTGTTTTGTTTACTTTTGGATTACATTATTTTTGCATATGGGAAAACAACTGTACTACTTTAATTTTGTTTTATTTTTTAATCTGAGTGTCGTCAAATAATCAGCGGGCATACGACTTGTCACTGGCAAGGCCGTTGCCTTCACACCTTACACATATAAGTAAACATCTTTGCATAGAGTTTTCTGTACAGAAAATTCGATCTGTATTTTCCGGAGTATACGTTGAAAATACCTGCTCGATTTGCGTCTTTACTAATTATATTTATTATAATATATTTGGTGTGTGTTGGACATTATTGTAATACCTATTAGATTTATGAGTATTAAATTTAATTACAGAGACGCTTGGCATTTGATAGTTAAGGATGTGTACACCACGTTTAAAGATGAGGATCCGGTCGACGAAGAACCTGATTTAGTGGTTTATTTCAGTGATCAATCTGGTGATCAAATTTCGTGCTCCATGACGGCTGACCTGGTTTCACGGTCGTTCCCCCTTTGCCACTTTCCATTTCCACAGGGAGGAGAAAATACCGCCCAGGAACTCGGTAAACATACATTAAAAAAATACAAATATACACCTAACTCCTAATAAATTATTTTTGACTTCATGTAGAAGAAGTCATGAGAAACATGCAAGTTGTTGATTTGACAATAAAAAGAGTACAACCCGTCGAAAATAGCATAAACTATTTGCAGTTTATTTTTTTTGATTTGAATTTGGGAAAGGGAATATTATCGATATTTGTTGTAAGTATTTAATTTTGATTTGAGTGTTTATATTTTTCATCTTATGTTGCAATTAAACTTATTTTTACTACTTTTGATCAATATTTATTAATTCATCTTAAAAAAAAAAAAAAAATAATAAAATAAAATGTATGTTACAATGAGACCATAAAGTAATGTAATTTAAAAAAATGAAATTGTTTTAATATTTCGCAGGAAATGTTTGAGTATGTTGATTTTCATATTCTTGATCAGTTGGATTGTTTGCATTATCGTATTGACGATTCAGAATTGGAGATTGTTTCTATACTTAATGGGGAATTAATAGTCCTGGAAATGAGACTGTAAGTGGTTTTCTAAAGTTTTAGTATAAATAATTACACTTATCGATTAAATTGTATAGTATGTGTTTTTTTTTTTTTAATTTAATCATAGAAACGTTTGTCAAGTGATAATAAATAACGAGTGGACCACGGGCAAAAATGAGGAACCGGATGTCGAAGAACCCGAGTCGGTGGATTCTTTCGATAATCAGTCTTGTGTTCAAGCTTCGAGTTCTTCGACGGCTGACCTCGTTTCACCGTCGTTCCCCCTTTACGTTTGGCCCTCAGAGACAGGAGATAATGCCGCTAAAATTATCGGTACATATATATTCTAGGATAGACTTCTGTATAAAAACTATGACTAACACTTACCTGCCTCCTTATAAATTATTGTTGATTTGATGTAGACGAATCCTGCATGGAGACAATAATTCGAGTGGTCAATTTGACAATTAGGAGAGCACAACCCGTTGAAAAAGCTTTAAAATATTTTCAATTTATTTTATTTGATTTGAATATGGGAGAGGTAATAATACTATCGATACTCGTTGTATGTATTTATTTTTTTCATCTTGTTACATTTATTTTTATTTTGACTATTTATTTTATACCAATATTTCATAATTTATCGTAGAGAAAAAAAAATGTATTTATTACAAGGTGATCTGAGTTATGTAATTTAAAAAAATTAATTGTTTTAACATTTCGCAGCAAATGTATAGGCGTATTTATTGTCACTTGCATGATCAGTTAATTTGGTGGTATTATCGTATTGGCGATTCGGAATTGGAGATTGTTGGGAAACTTTATGGAGGGTTTATAGTCCATGGAATGAGACTGTAAGTGGTTTTCTAAAGTTTCAGTATGAATAATTACACTTATAAGTTAGATTACATAATATGTGTTTTTTAGCAATTTACCGGACGAATGGAAGCCGAGTGCTAGAATGGTATTAAACCATTTAGAAAATGATGATAGTCATTATTTAAATTTTGCCCGATCCGCGTTCAAACAGTTAAATCAAGATTTACCGAAGAAGTATTCACATCTAATCAAGGTGTGTTAAAAAAAAAAAATTACTGTTAATGTATTATTTTATACTTATACAATTTCTTAGAATAATTAATCGAATTAATATTCGATTCACAGATTAAACAATATAGCAAATAATAATATATTAGGCAATGGGATAGCCAATAAGTATCGCAAATTATCATTTTCTTACCAGAAACTCGCGGTATTTACAAAACTCAGATACGATTTACTTAACGATCACTACTACCATATTATGTTCTTAAAATATGGTGGTAGGTAACACTCGAATAGTGGAAGAAAACTGAGATTTTGGTACGGCGAAATGATTCTCGTGATAATCTCTTACTAATATATTGTATTTTGCTACTACAAAATATGCATCTCGGGAGACTACAGGCGTTGGTTCTGGTGAATTTTTACGATATTATATATACCAAACATACCGTAGGTATAGATAGCTAACAATAAGTAATAAAATGCCAAAAATAAAATAATTTATCAATAAATAAATAACCATTTTGTGTTAGTGAAACTATAAAAATTGTCTCACAAAAGATATTATTATAACCAAACGTACCTAATATTTAATATACCTACTTTTATTTTCAGGAAATGATGGATAAGCCACGGACAAACAACATACGAAAAAAGAAGCCTATTGTCCTACCGTCCTACGCTTATAGCTATAAGTATTTGTGAAATAATGTTTATACGTTATTTTTCTCTAAATTATTTTTTGTTTAGTTGATTACTTTGATACATTTTTTTACATTTTTTTTATACCTTTGATACCAAAGTTCAATTTGTCCAAACGTTAAACGAATATTGAAATCATGCGAACCCATATTATGTTATTTTTTTTGATTATTGTTTTTGTATTTGATTATTTTGTCTGTTACTTTTTTTTTATACCTTTGCTCTATGTTATTATTTTTTTATATTTGATTAATTTTTGTGTTACCTTTTTATGCCTTTGTTAAATATCGGAATAAAACATCTATTCGTGTGATGATTTTTGGAAATATTTTGATTGATATGAATACTAATACAATACTAAAAAGTAGGGTTCATGAAGCTATACAATGTAGCTGCTACATAATTTTGACGTTGACATGAAAAACTCCATTATGTGCCAAAACCTGACTTTATGGAAAATACAAAAAAACGTTTTAAAAAAATCAAAAATTGAAAATGAAAACTAGAAACTAAAGTGATTAATAACTGAATTAAAATCAACCGTCTTTGTGATCACTTCTTATGATCTCATCAAATTTGAAAAACCAAAAAATAACCGTTGAAAAACGAGAAAATGTACGAAATATATTATTTAAATATCGGGATTTTTTTTTTTTCTGTAGACCATTTTTCTATCAGAAATATTGCTCCGATTTACAATGATAGCACTTTTTCTAAATATAAATCTGATTGGAGAGGTACCTTAGAGAATTAATTTTCCGAGTAGTTTCGTTAACTAATGGGAAAAACGAGAAAATCGGTACATTAAACAAATACCGTTGAAGATAATATATAATGTCTATTTAATTATTTTACCTTAATATGATATATATTGTTGAAAAAGCATCACTATCAACTGAACTCCACTCAGTGCTCAGGACCGTTTTTTCGTTAGCAATGGTTTATCGTTGATCACAGATATACATTAAATTACCTATAACAGTGGCTGCACCCGTCCTAGTTATCTTAGGACAGTTTTTTTAAATTTAAAATTACATAACAACGAATAGTATCTAAAATAATACTGCCATTTGTACGATATAGTTTTAAATAACCAAATACATAATTTTTACGTTAATGAAAATAAAATCGCAAATCATACTTTATTGCCATCACGAAATTGGATAGCAAAACTAAAATTTGAAAAATATTTCGGGCCCATCCGTTGACAAATTCACGCCTATAATTCCGGTCTCTATCAATAAAAAAATACTATTTGCCAATTGTCCCAACGTAAACTATGGACTGCATGCCATTGTATCATTGTAATGTTTTCGTTGTTTGCTTCGTCCTCCACGACTTCTATACAGTTTATAGTTAAACAGTTAAAACATTACAATAATACAAAAATGATTAAAGCGGGAAAAACGTTTTTTTTCTAGATCCGGGACTAGTTTCTCCACCATCTCGAAGGAAGTAAATATCGAGGACACTGGATTGATCAAAACTAACAATGTTATTCCCCAGATTCTAAGGAAAAGATCTAACATAACCAATAAACTGTCTCCGTGTACAATAAAAGAAAATAACCCTCTCTCGTCTGTATAGGTGACATCTATGGGAAAACGAAAATTAGAATTGGAAGAAATAAATACGAAAAAATAAAAATAGATTATTTTTCAAAGGCAATCTCCATTAAAGAAGAGCATATGCATCTGTTATAGAAGGACACGAGGCTGAGCGATTAAAAGAAAAAATAAGAAATTATTTTAATAAGAAATGGCGAAATTTGGATATAGATGGTTTTTACCGAATTTCCGCTTTTACTGTTAATAATAAAGGAAAATACTCATACGTTGGAGACTAACCGAAAAAGATTAGTCCAAAAGTGTAAGTGTAAAGTGTATCCACAAAGTGAGATCCACTTCTAATATTATATTAAACTATTAATTTCATTGCATTTATGTTATTCAGATTAAACAATTTTCCTAACGTTGATTTTAAAACTGTTTTTTTTTTTTTTTTTAATTAATGGTAGCTTTTTATAATTACACAAAATATCCGTCGTTTTATTCCGTTTTAACTTGCCACCTCTTGATAATTATAAGTTAAAATCCATTAAAATTGAACAACATTTTATTATCAGTCATCAGGAAAATATTCGTGACTTTTTTGAAAAACACCTTGTAAAATTGTATAATGTTAAATTTTTCTACCAAGTTCTAGCTACAATTTCTGAATAAAATAAAACACGTGTATAAACATATAAATCTGATGTACAGAGAAACTTGGTATATTTGTACCAATGAGTGTTGTGTAAAGTAAATAGCGCATAAAACAAGGACAACAATGAAGGAAGAAAATAAAACCTGTGAATATATAAAACAATTAGTTTCGATGAACGTCAGTGTACTGAATGTTTACGTATTTAGTTAAGAAATTTGTGGCAAACTTGATTTTGGCTCAGTATAGATTAATACAATTAAAAATTTAATTTGAAACTTTAGGACTATAAAATGTCCGTTTTGATTTTTTTATTGCCGTTGAGTGCATCTCTGTGGGTTATCGCGTCAGGGGGGTTGATTATGTACAATACCCGGTCATTTTTGTTTGAAGTAATGGAAAACGACATATATTGGGCTGACCTCCTCAACATCGAAATCAAAGTAGAGATGTCGATTGTGTCCAGCACTGCTCGATTAGTGCTCGAAGAAATGCAAATGATTCCTGTAACGAATAATGGACATACGAGTCAACATATAAAAGGTGTCAATGATGGAGTAGCCGATTCTCAAAACAAGAAGAACTGCAGTGGTGATTCTAATACAAAATCAGAGATGGTTAGTGAAATAAAATCACATGTTCGTCCGTGGATAAATTTCTATGAAGGTGAAAATTCTCAAAAGGTCTGCAAGGATGATTGTACTCAAACGGGTCACGTAAAATGCAAATTCAGCCACATCGTAATACCCAATGCTTTGCTTGTACTCACTCATATTATTTCGATGCATCACAAGGAGAGTAACGCACTAGAATTCGGTCTAGCTGTGATTGCGTCCGCCATCAGGTGTCAAATTCTGCAGTTGTTTGCGATTATGTTATGGGCAATGATTGGGACATCAGAATCCTATAATAAGTCACGGTATATTATCTTCTGTAATCATCTGAAGAATTACCTAGACAAAATGGCCCGGTTAAAAGAGACTATGACAGTCGAGTCCGATGTATATTGGAAATGGGTAACCGTCATGGCACATAGTGATTTGAATGTAGAACCGCCGATAACTGGTGACCTGAAACCCATTCAGAACCTTGTGATTCAGAGTCTAAGATCTTCATGTGACTGTGAAAACTTTGTAAACAACAAAATCACTGAAATTTTGAATTCGGAAACTGATCCCGACCATCCTTTAAACAAACAATTGGTTTTTGACTACGCTCAAGAATCTCTGGAAAAATTGTTCCAACGGATACCAATCGGCACAATGGAAATGAATCTTTGGGATCAATATCTCAATAAAGGTCAAGTCAATTATAATTCTACAGCTCATAAATTTATAGAGATTACTAGAGATGATTGATAAATGATTAATTGTATGCTATTTTTACAGTAATTGATACTATGGTATATATATTTGATACTAATTAAGTTTTTAATGTCATATATTTTATTTAAATCATAAACCTATTTTACTTGTTTTTTTTAAATATTAAAATGTATAATAAAAACAATATTATAACATTAAACACATTAATAATATGAAACAAACGGTGTTAAAAAAATTCTCCTATAGGCCTTTAAATAAATCATCGATAAAGAGCTGAATTAAAAAATGTGACGATTGTAATCTACGTTAACATTTTCATTCAGAAAAGATACTAAACTTGAAAACCGGAGTAAGATTATTGATAAAAAAGTTTATAACAGGAAATAAAAAATAAAATAAGATACAGACACCGGGTGTGTCACTGTTATTGTTGAAGAGGGGGAATTTAAGAAGGTCAGATTCATAAGGGTCTTTATATCCGTAAGCAACAATAAACAATTGCTAACGGCGCGAAGTTTTTTTATACCACTATATTTTAAAAAACTGTAATATTTGAGATTTTTGTCATAATTTACCATAAAAACTTTTATAGAAAAAAAAATGCTTCATTTCACACAATTTTTTTGTCTGACCACAAATTAAAACTTATAATAAACTTTCTATTAGATGTTCAAGTATTTCTGTTTAGTCAAAAAATGTTATCCATTGAGTACCTATAAAAATGATAATGATTTAAAAAACTCACGAAATTAAAATGTCTATAAATAACTCAAAAATAGCTCAAATGTTTTTAAATCTTATCATGTCTATAAAAGACAAACAAAATTTTGAAATTAAAACTTCAATTTCTTTTGAATATTTTTAACTGAATTACCAAAAAAATAAAATGAAAATTGAAAATAATAAATTTATATTTCATACATTTTCCCATTCATTCTACGTTTTTTCGTATTTTTTTTAATTATCAAAATTTGAATTTCTTATTCAGCAACTTGATCAAAAAATTATATAATGAAGATCTTCTTTTGGAACGATATTTATAATTGAAAACATATATAGTGTACAAATTTCAATTGATGAGATCGTTTTCAATTTTCGTTTTTTTCCGGTTTATCTTTATTATTATGAAAACTACTTAGAAAATCACTTGGAAAAACCCTAGAAAAACTACTTTCCTCGTTCCTTTTGTTTCTTCGATCTAGATCCAAAATGTAAAAATAAGATCTCTTGGCATGTTTTAGTTAAAGCAAGTTAGTTAGCAAAATAGTTTGCTAAAATTAAAACCTATGAAATCGGTAACAACGAATCTTACCGTGAATATTTGCTATTTTACCTATAAGTTTGCTTCCAGTTTTTCCCAATTATTTTGAAACCCCCTTGGAAGATCAAAATACGACTTCTATAATTTATCCACAAGATAACATTTCCTTTCAGAAAAAGTTCTTCACTTGATAATCGGAGCACGTTTTCGATACGAAAAATTGTTTATATCTAGAAAAAAAGGGTACACGTCATAGTAATATCAGTGCTTGAATTGAAGGGGGGAACAGGAGTACCTCAACTAATTTTTCAAAAATGTAAGCGTACTTTTACTATTTGTTTGAAGTGAAACGCATGGGATACAATGAAGGATACATGGTGACTGTCATGGCGATCACTCCCTTTTGGGCCGTTTTTTTTATACAATTTTTGTATTTTATAATAATTGTTTACTTAATATATATATTTTTTTAATATAATTCACCTCCTTTGAACGAATTTAGAATCTGGCTTTGCCTATTATCGAAAAACATGGTATATAATTTGCATTTTTATCAATATATATTTTCATTAAAATTTGAAGTTAAAACATTTATAAAACAAATTACTACATTACGTTGTTTTTTTTCATGTAACTTAAAAACTGCCAGAATAATTTGAAAATTATACCAAGTCTGGAAAGAGCTATATAAGAGGCTATACCTATAAAAGTATTAAGTGGAATTTCTGACCTCGATAAAGAAAATCGAAAAAGAGCCTCCTTATTGCACTAACGTGACATCAATATTTATTAGGAACCATCGCCTCTAATGTTGATAATTGGAGCAAAATTTCTGGTAGAAAAGTTGTTCACATACAAAAATAAAAAAACTCATCATCATAATAGAATCATAGTAGTAACTATTACATTACAATCTAAATTAAATAATATCTACTATAGTACTATGTAAGCAAAAGATAGCCTGCAATAAATAGTATATATTGCATATATTATATAATGCAAAGAAATTATGAATTACTGAGTTATGTTTTAAAATTGATGGGGGGGTATGAAGGGGTAAGCCTCCCACGGGTTGGGTTAAGTTCAATAATTGCAAGGGACTTTAATATTTTTATGTTTTATAGTCTCCCTTCATTTTTTTCTATTAATTTGAGCACTGAATATTATAATATGTATTATAATTATTGGTGAATATGGTTCAATTTAGTCAATACACTCTTTGATTCAAAATCTGAAATATATGCAATGTGTTATTTAAGACACTATTTCTTTACAACCAAAAAAGGAAAACAAACGTGCAAATGTGTGGTTTCTATAAGTATTTTCATAAATTCAATAAACTATAATTAATTCCTTACACAGTTTTCAAAGAATCTTGCTAACCTAGTACATTATCCTTATGTGTAGAAACCTAAATAAATTAAATACCTTAAATTGTAGAATATAGTTGAATAGACATTTTTAACATTTTTAAAGTACTTATACTTTGGTACACACCGGCGTGGAGAGCATAGGTTAAAATGGGTAATTGGCCGCATTCAATTATCCATTTTATTGCAATTATGTCCAACAAAGTTCACGGGATCAATAACATAAATATTGAACAATTCAGCAAAAGATTTTTGTATTTATTGTATTTACACATAATAACATTATAATATTGGGGTTAATTCAAAAAGCAGTAGAACATAGATAGCACTCTATAGATCAGTGAACTCATTTTTGAAGGATAGCTCATCAAATCAAAAATCATTCATCACGTTATCAGCAACATGATTTTTAACAAAAATATCATCTTAATTCTGATAATGGCATTATGAATATTATACCGATATCTAGATTTATGTTCCATAAAAATCCGACTAAAAAAAATTTAACTGTTTTAGCCAATTTGTGTTAAAAACTAATAAACTAAAAAAAAAATTGTTTCGACGTGAAGTAATATGATGTGTTTCTTTTTGGATTCGAGGTTTCCTTGCGACTTGATTGAGAACCACTGGTCTATCCGTACACAATGTTTCGAAAAATAAAACCTTAACCGACTAGCAGACGGCATCTATAACATGGGAGTTGTGTTCAATTATTTACTGCAGCCTTATTTGCTTATCATAAAAACACATTTTTTTACTTTGATCGTTTTAGTGAAACGGGGTAATGGTGATGAGTGTGTGCACCGACTTTTCCAACAGTTCGAGAAACATACGATGAGCTATTATACATATTTGTTTGACAGACTCGAATGGTAAGAACGTAGTTTTCGCTTTCCGTCTAATTTTGCATTGTTTGTCTTCTTTTTTTTGTGTTTCCACTCTGACCATGCGTAATCACAACTTTGTTAACGCTATGATTCTATCGGCCGTGATAGTGATCATCGCTGCTTGCTGCTGCTCGTGTAAACCGACTGGATCGCAGTTGAGAGCCATTATCCAGAATATACTGTTCGAGGACAGAAAGTGGGAGGCCGTTTTGTCTGAGAGGGTGCGGTTGAACCGGAACGACCCAACAATCCAGTCGTTGGACATAGACTACTGGGAAATCGACTTGGAGGACATCGACCCACTGAAAGTCTTGCAGCAGCTCATGAGACCCACCGAACACTTCTTCGGCTCGGAATTGACACTAAGTGCGTATATCGTGGATACCGCGATCATGTGCTTGACGTTCAAACATGTGTCCGTGCATGTAGCGCTCATTGGCCGGATGTTAGCCCTCGAGCCGGAGAAACGGAAAAACGTCTTCCGGGCCAACGTGTTTGCGAACTTGCTGCCACGCGAAGTAGATGTTTTATCCTCGATTGAAAAGAGGTACTTAGAACTATTAAAGGTATATGACAAGATCGCTCCGATTGTGGAACAGGAGTTAGAGAAATTCGACGGAGAACAGTATGCGAGAAATCTGAAAGATGAGATGGACAATATAAATGCCATTATCGGAAACTCGTGCAAGAACTCCGACATGAAGATTTATTTCCGTCAGCTTAAGTTCCCTTCGATGAATACTAATAATTTAGTCGACGTGATTGGGGAAAATAATACTATCACAGAAAATGTGGACCTCAACACCATTGTATCGTTGTTGAAGGATAACGAAAACGCCATATTTAAAATGTATGAAGATATGTACGAGCTGAGAAATTTGGGCATGCACATATGGAAGGGTATACTAAATTATCCGGATTTGCCGACGGACGGCGAAGAATTAAAATGGAACACTCGTCCGTCTTACCATGAAATGATGTCAAACATTCTGCGGAGGAAGCCTCAACATTTCATGACTGTACCTGCAAACGTGAATGCGAATACAGGTGTACAGTTTGTAGAATACTCACCGGGGTTACTGGAGAGATAAATTATATTAGAATAGATAATAGTACTTATAATGTTTTACTTGAATCATTAATACAGTATAAATTTTATTTCAATAACTCTTTTAATCGCAATAATTGAAGTACTTCCAAATAATAACCAAACACATTGTTTTTGTTTTTAAATTCTATAATTAAAATGCAATTATAGTGTTTAAATATTATTATATTATATAAAATTATCCTGTTTTGTTTAATCTTATTGTTAATGTGATAAATTATTAGGCTAATAAACTGAAAAATTTAAAAATGTAAATGTTTATTGTTATTATTATTTGTAACATTGAATATCTATTACCCTACCTAATAATCATTGAATAATTGAAAGGTCCAAGGAAAGAACAAAAATAGTCTTTTTTTTTTTTAAGCAGATTATGGCATAATTTCGATGACTATATCAAAGGAGCAAAACGACTATATGTGAAACTAAGGTTAAAAATATTTATACTCGGAGAAAAAATAACAATAGTAAAATTTTAAATCTAATTTTCTCGAAGTTTAAAATTTTTGACTAATCCAATGCTTTTTCGAGTCCTATCAGTTATTAGTGTAATTATTATATACTAATTAAAAAATAACACTACAAAAAATATAAAGCAACGTTATAGAATCATAGTAAATGTTTCATATTAAGGGAGTAACCACTAAAGCCTTCCTATTTGAGCATTTATACTCAGCAATTAATTTGGATTATTCGTTTGGCGTGTTATTGTAAGATACTGTTACCTATATCAAACTTTGTAATGTTATCACAAAAAAGTACTCAAATAGAGTTTTGAGGCAAAACCAAAAAACAAATATATTATCATAATACTGTGTTTGCTTTATTGCTCTGCTCAAGATTCAATAAATAAAGACACGTCATTAATAATTTATTAGGTCAGCCGTATACAATATATTACACGTTTACAAACGTATGTGAACGAATGAATAACATTGAGATAAATTACCATAAAACTGAAAGTTCTAAAAAATAACAAAACCAAAGAACAATGAAAAATTGAAATGGAGATTTTTATACTATACACTAAATCGCATTTGTGAAAATCGCAAATCAGGAAAAACATTATTCTTCTATACGTAAATACTTTTTCTAACCAAAAACCCAATTGGATTTACGTACGTCATGTAAATTTGGAGCGGTTGACAAGAAATTAAAACCTAAAAGTCAATCTCAATTGTTATATGCTGTCGGGTTTTGAAGTATATTCTACATTCTACTTTCGTGCATTTAACACAGTTTTTAAAAATGGCGTATCTCTATACAGATTTTATGTTCTATCTATTACGAATTTATTTCGACACACTGCAAATCTGTTTTAGGTAAAATGTATGTACACAAATACGAATAAAACCAATCAGATACTATAGGTTTATTTACCGAGTTATGAAAAACATTTATGCTTCATTGGTATGTTTTATATTCGTTGCCGTATCTAAAGTTTAAACTTTAAAAGGTCGGTTGTTTAAGGGAATTATACATTACATTTATAATGTCAACATAATAAAGTCGGTTATAGTGGATTTAATTTATTTATATGATTTACTATTTACTATGTTATGTAAATTTAAGAATAACTTTGATTATGTTAAAAAAAAAACAATTTCTTTAGAGAGTGGGTCTGCTATTAAATGTGAAATTAAAATTTGGTTCGTCCGACCTGATGATTTGGTCTATCTACGGGTCTAGACACATAATAAATAACATTTTTCTTCTCGCACCGTGGTCAATAATAAAACAGTAATCGTTCTCGAAAGTATTTAAAAGTTTTAAATTTAACATCAATTATAATAATATAATGAAATCCTAATATATTATACATGAAATGATAATAAAAAGTTTCAAAAGACGAGTCCGTGAATTATCTGTTCCAGGATATTCGTGTAATAAAGCTTCTGATGCTATTGGTAAAACGTACACAGTGCAGTAATGTGCACCCTAATACTATTGAATATTTTTATCTCCGTTTACTACTTCATCACATTGAAGCACCCACATCATTTTAGATTCTGAGTTGAATGAGAAATGTATTGGTTTTAAAATGATGTATATAATTTTGTTTTTCTACCAGCAATTTTACTCCGATTTAAAATAATCGAACAAATTGGAAAAACCGGGAAAATGTACAAAATGTAGGTATTAGAGTTGAAAAAAGACGTCCTAGGATAATGGGGACGGGTGCAGCCACTATCATAGATAATTTAATATATATCTGTAAGCAACGACAGTCGCGCATGAATAATAAAATGCATAAAGATGAACCATTGCGAACGGGAAATGCTTCTGATCAAAGTTCGGCTATATATGTTTTTAAATGCCGTAATCTTTACGATTTTCTTCGGAATTTAATCTTAAAAAACTTGTAAGAGAAAACTACTATATTACGCTCAATTTTTCTTTTTTTTACCCCTAAGGTAAACACAAAATATTTCGTATAAATGTTTGCAATCAAAACTAAGCATACTTCGTCTAAAAAAAGTAAATATAAGTATTCTGTGAAAATATCAGGTCTCTTGAATTATTTTTAACCAAATTTCAACAAACTTGATAAACTTAACAAATAATTAAATCTTTTATGCCATAAACTTCTTCATTTTTCCTACGTTTTTCCCAGTTTTTCTCAAATATTATGAAAACTACTTAGAAAATAATCTCCTCAAAAAAACCAAAAAAATCCACAAAAATGAATGAATAAATGAAAAAACTTTATTAATAAAAAAAACTCGCTCGTCAATTTTTGATTGGAGAAAGATTTCTGGTAGAAAATTTGTTCAAAGCAGATAAAAAAAATACAAACATCATAGTTATAGTAATACATTCCTTGCTTCATTCAAAAACTAAAAAAAACCTGTCTTATATAAAATTTATGGAAAACAACTTTTGACTGTGGCAGTTGATAATGTACAATTAATATTTTTTATTTTATAGGTGATATTTTAGTCGAGCTAAATAGATACATACATACATATTTATTATTATTCACTGTATTATAAATTATAATTTTGTTTATTAATAAGCACAAACCTGTCTGAATTTTTTTTTTAAGTTTCGTCATATTACAATGCAACCCTTTAAATATTAGACGTGTGACACTGTGACGTCCTTTTAATATCGAGAAACATCCCGAAGGATTTATAAATATTTTACTACCTTAGTCAGTAAGCTACATAACTTAATAGATTAATATAAATATAAAACATCAAAAACATAGATAAGTTACCTTTATATTCGAAAATTGATTCTATTAATTCGTTCAAAATATAGAAAACCGTGAATTTAGGTAGTATAGATATTCATCAAGATGAGGATGTCTCTAAGTATGTGTATTTTTTTTTTTTTTTTTGATAACAAAATAAATATGTAAACAAAATCGATAAAGGGCAATAACAAAAATGTTTAGTTTATAATATTTTCTCTATCCGTTAATACAGTTTAGTTCTATTTTCTTAGTAGATATGCAAAAAAAGACCTAAGAACATCTTTCGATTTTGCAATTTTACAAAATACAATAACCTATACAACGATGAAACAATACGTGCATCTTTGTTGGGCCAACTGTTTGTTCAACACTTGCTGCGTGCACAGCTTTGTTTCCAAATGTGCATTACTGAAGACATAGGCCAAATTATACTTACACCAAAGTTTGTTTTGACAGTCAAAACTTTGCGAAACGTTTATAGCTAGTCCTGTTCCGAACTGCACACAGGATGCGATTTTTACCAACAATCGTTTGGTTTTATTATACGATGTGGGCCACCGTCGATGTTGGCCGTTGCTTCGTGGTGCCCGGTCAAGAGAAAACACTCTTCCACATAGCCAGAGGGGTATTGCAAAATGACATGCACTGGAAACACATCATCGAAATTGAGATGCCTGTCAACACTGATGAGATGGACCTACGCGTGGCCGACATGCTGACAGAACTGGGTTTCGAAAATAATAAAGTCAAGGCTCAACCAATACTTAGGTACCTGACCACCAACCCAGGCTCGACTAGTACCCAACTATTATTCGGCATAAAGATACTGGCCAACGCCATGTCTTGTCAGTTTGCCAACACGTTAGGGCTCAACATGCTCTTCATAACAATGCTGTCGTACCGGAAAACGGTGTTCGTGAATCACATACGAGAACACATGTCACGGTTCCAAGTGACACTGTCCAAGTACATTGACAAACTAGCCGTGTTCGGTGAACCTATCAACATTTACGTAACTCTGAGCAACAATATAAACAAGCTTTTTGAACATCACAATACAACAGAGATCGTCGATAAAAAGGTGTACACAGACAACATTAAACAAATAAGCAATTTCATCAAGGTAATACGAGATGACCGATGTGGAGAAACTCAATCTGATAATTGGTCGCAGATTGCCGAGACAATACGTGTGGCCTATTATACCCCGAATTTATTCAATAAAATGCTTCATAATACAGTAGCAGATTTACAATTAGCTAGCATGATCGAAAGCATGGACCAATACGAATTCATTGATTTTTCCAGTTTGGACGACGATTTCTGGAATAAAAGGCTCGACGTCGTAAAATATGTTCGCAGCAAGATGAAAAACTAATTGGAAAAGGTACAAAGAAGTAAGGAGACAATAATTCTATATTATAATACTGTGTTTTTTTTTTATTATTAATTTTATTATTGTCTCATTGAATGTTTAACGTCGAAAACAATTGTTCGTCTTATTTTATTATTATTATTATTATTATCATTAATGGTTGTCCGTCGGTTCTTTGGTTAATCTTTCACTTGCCACTTTTTAATTTAAATCATATCTTTAAAATGTGTTTACCATACGTAAATTTTTAATAACTTAATTTTTGAACACTTTATTTATATATTGTGCTTGTCTTGTACCGTAATATATGTATTACACGAAATTAATAAAATCATATTACGTGGAATTATTATTATTATAATTTTTTTTTTGTTTTTTTTTTTTTTTACTTTATAAACTTTACGTCCACTTAAAAACTACATAATATTCCCACATAAGTTGTCACAGAACTCACAATTTAGTAGCGAAGAATTTATTGGTTTTACTAAGATGATTATTTTTTTTATTTTTTTTCCCCTGTGTACAAAAATTCGACACTATTTCTGAATGGGAATGTTGTCCAGGTTGTACTTTTGGGAGGTTAGTTTTTGATTTTCCTAGCGGTTTTTCTAATATCTGAAAAGAACCAGAATAAAACTTAAGAAAAACAGGAAATGTACGAAATTAATGTTTTTATTATTTTATCAATTTTGTTATTTGTTGTAATTCCGTTAAAAATATTCGTAGAAACTTTATATTTAGACGGAAAACTGCCTTGCCTTTTCTAGATGTCGTAAAATTTTCAAAAAATATAAGCCATTTATGAGCTATTCAATGTAAAATGGATAAAACAAAAGCAAAATATTTGTTTTCGAAACACTAGTTTGAGAGCTCGCGATCTCTAGGATGACAATAGGTAGGTAGCACCATATAACTATCAACTATCAACCATCACTACAACAGACACAGTTTAACATTGAAAATATAGTTATTTAACATAACATATAATATTCGCACTATACCAGAACTTCAAAAAACTATAATTTCGAAACTAAGACAGCCCGCTCAATTCTGTTTTCGCCTTATTAGATCTGTTCCACATAATTTCTTAGTCAAATGATTTTCGTCAACATTTGATATTAAAATTCCTTTATAAAAAAAAATACTATAATAAGTTTAGTTTTTTTATTTTTTTTACTAAAAAGTAATACTTAACAAATCTACTGTTAAATGTTCAAGCATGTCTATTAATCCTTAACAGTTTTACCACAGAGCGACTACCGAATAAAAATTACGTGCAAAACTAGCAAAATTAAAATGTCTATAAATAGCTCAAAAATTACTTAAATTTTTTGAAAATTTCAACACCTCTTTAACACTCAAATATAAGTTTTTTATCTAAATTTTAAGTCTATATTAAAAAAATATTCTATTATCTATGCGAAATACGCCACCTTAGATAATACACACTGGATAGAGCTATGATTTAAAATCTTGAAGTATAGCAACTAGGCCCCGATGTCATCACTGCAGTTGCGCATAACATAAAGTGTTTGTGGTAATAGGTACATTATTGGTAATACCATAGAGTAATAATGTATATGACCACAATTATGTTACAAATAAACATGCACAAACAATGACTGTGATTCCTACTCCGTACTGTGCTATCTATTTCATATCTAACGCATGCGCAATAAATACATCAGATTCAAACAGGTCTGTTTCAAGCAGATTACGCGTGATATACATTGTAGCTCTATTCAGTGTTTATTATCTAAGTATGTCACAAATGATACATTCCAGTAAAAAAAAAAACAGACTACAGAATATTTGATGTAATTTTTTTTTTTAAGTATCTTCTGTATTCAATTATTTACCAATAATATTATATTGCATGTTCACCTACAGTAGCAAATTTGTAATATATTTTGAATAAAAATACTAAAAATGTTTTAAAATAAAAAAAAATATTGGTACAAACCATTTATAAAAAGAAAGTGCCTGTTAAATTTGTTCAGTATACAAATACCTATAAATGATTATTCAAATAATAATAGTGTATTGTGGAAATTTAAATACAATTTATTTTTCTGAAATCAATGTATAGGTGAGTATATTATATGCATAAATACTTATTCCAGGTTTTGTTGTTTACGTATACAAAACATAAAGAAGAAAGAATTTGTGTAAAAAATAAAGACATTTTCAGATAAAAATCAAGAAGAAATTTCGCCTTTGGCATATCATAAAAAATATAGAGGATCATGTTTTGATATGAGTCACTTACTATACGCAGCGATATTTTATTGAAGGTTGTGTGAACGGTAAAATTGGAAGTGGTAAGATGAAGTGCAAACAGTAAATTATTAAGTACATACTGGGAATGAAAATAATTATTGAAGTTGAAAGAATTTAATTGCGAGAGAGAAGCGCGGAGGACTGCAGCAATCGAAAGATTGGAAACTTGGCAATGGAAGAACAATATTATTGTTTAATTGAAAACTTTTTATTTTTATTATTTTTTTTTTTTTTTTATCGAACGTTTATTTTATTAACAACTGAAAATCGTAATTTTTTGTTTGAATATACAATGTTAACAAGTGTTGACCTTTTATTTTCTATTTTCGTGCTATCTATCGATACATGTTTTTTTTTTTTTTTTAAATCGTCAAATACATCGCTCCTCATTTAGCTCAGAACCGAACAGTTAATATTTTATAGATACTGATAACAATGACTTTCGAAATTCTCTTTATCCAACTCTATCAGCAGGTGGGTATTAGTTGGCAGACAGAGTACCTTTGGAAGAAAAAAAATATCGTCTTCTCTACGGATACCTACTGAAGCCAATATGATCGATGTCGATGATTTAACGACGAGCACGAATCAAAATAGGGCAACCGTTGTTGAACCAAGTGCGCAAAACAAACATAACATTCGCTTATCTTTGTATCCGGCGACATGATATACAAAAATTGTATTCTATCGTCGTCAGCCAAACTCACATTCCACGCCGAACCGTTTCGAAGGAACCCATAATATGTTCACGATGTCTTATTTTCTGCGGGTTTTCTGTCTGGCCGCCACCCTTATTTACGCATTGCACCCATCGGCCGTCGTCCGGTGTTTCTCCATGTACCAACAGCCCAGCGTCATGCAACGAATAGCGAAGTCCGTGTTGGCCGACGACATGTCGTGGCTTAAGCTCATCAACGCCGAGATAAAAATCAACTGGGAAAATCTGGACGAGCACATAATCAGCATGTTGAACGAACTGGGTTTCGTGGAAATTGGTTCGTCGGTTAGAGCTCAACCGATCCTCCGGCACTTGGCCACGGATCGGGGCGTCACCGGGTCCGAGTTATCGTTCGGCATCAAAGTGATGGGTACTGCCATCTTTTGTCATTTTGCCAAGACCGTGTATGTATTAAACATCATTATAGCGATGTACTCGGTGCGTCCCAAAGTGACGGTTAAATCCGTTCAGGAGTACGCATCGAAACTCCAAATGTTGATGGTCAAATACGTGGACAAGCTGGCCGCGTTTGACGAGCCGATTGACTTCTTCCTAAAAACAATCGGATTCCTAAACGAAACTTTCATGCGGATGAAAGGCAAACTTGAAGAAAAGATGACTCCTATGATAGTGCTACAGCACTATGGTTTTTCAAAAATCAGGGCCGAAAGCGAGGATATATTGAAAAAAAAGTGCACCAACCCGAAAGACGTACAAAATATCGCTAAGTCGGTGAGTATTAACCATTTAAACACGACATTGTTCACCAAGGATTTCAGGAACGTAGACACACACCAAATCGTCGCTATGATAGATCTTATGGATTCGTACGAGTACGTCGAATTCTCCAGTTTGGGCGTTGACTACTGGCAAAAAAAGCTCGAGGTTTTCGAGTACAAAGCACGGGTCATCGGTAAATTCAACAGTAATCAGTAAGTACCGAACGAATGCTAGTTGAAGTTTAGTCCGCTATTAATTTCCAAGCGATGTTATTATTTTAAGAAACTTAATTATTATATTAGGTATCTAATGATATACTAAACCGGTTGTTTAATTAAATATTATTATTATATTGTATAACTTCTCCCTCTTATCCCCTCCACCATTCGAATACAAAATAATACATAACATACTCGTTGTGTTTACTTTTTTTTTTACTCGAATGTTGTCCGATCATCCTTATTGTTATCGTAAAATAATTGCATTCAATATTGTCAGTTTACAATGCCAAACTGACCAAGCTGGTTTTTTTTTTTAATGCTGCAGCTTCCACATCTTCTTTATGTAGTTCATTATGGTTGATGACTTTATGATTATAAACGTATACTCTCAGATACTCCTGGTTTTGAGATTTTTTTTTATTGATAATATATCTGGAGCTTTTAGAATTGATTCTTTTGACTTTATAATTTGTTTGGCCAATTGATCACGATACAGGTTTCTATAAAAATCTTTATTTGATAATTGGGGCCTATTTTCGATTTCTTTGTGAATAATGAAGGCATTAGTAATCAAGTAAATGGGAAAACTAGACGCATATACCATTTTTAACATTTCCTATCTAAAGAATAATCTTGAAGTTGTCCACTAAGATCATATTTGTATTATAATCTATATATAGTTATAGTAAATAAATATATAAATAAAAAATGTATGCATAAAAGTAAAATAAATAAATGTTTAGTAAAAGCGTTTGGTAAAATTACTAGTCGAACGACTAGTCGCGTTTTACATTTTGACTGTGATATACCTGATGATGAATTTTTAATTCGAAACCGGTCGTATAATACACTTGTCATAATACTCCAGGCAACGTATTCATTCATTTATTAATGCTATTTGTATACATACATTTTTTATATACGAGTATTAACTATTTTAATAATTTTGTTTTTACTTTATTCTTTTATTATTTATATATATATATATAAATATAATATGTATATATATAAATTTGAAAATGAAAATCTTTGTTACGCGTGTTCTCTGAAACTATACTAGATAAATTTGTATGCGATTTTTCGCAAAATTATCTGTATTCTCCAGAGAAGTTTTTAAACTATTGAAATTCTTGATCTGGCAAGTAGAAGTAGTAGACCTAACCTAACGACGATTAGACCACAGCTGGATAGCTAAATAAAAGAATAAAAAGCTAAAACGTGTTTTACCGAAGAAACACGAGCGAGCCCTAGATTAAAATGAGAAAAAACGACGATTATCATTTTTTTTTTATTACACAATAAACCATTTTTAAGCTCGGAATGTCAAAGATATATTTTGTAGCTCTTTAAATATATAAAAACATTGACAAAGTTCAGTTATGGTATAAGTATTTATTATGATTCAGCAAAATGGGCCAAAATAGCGAAATGTGCCTAAATCATAAACCTAAGTATATTTTTCACAACACATAATGTATGACAATATCAACTTTGATTTTTTAAATGAGAACATACATTTTTTTTAGTGCAAATTTTTAATCAGATAATTTTTTTGAACTTTTTACAAATTTGTATCAAAATTTAAACGAAGATTCTGAGCTAGGTATTTTATTTTAAATACTAAAGGATAATTACTACAAAATTTAAAACAAAAAAAAAAGTTTATACACGATTTCTATGAAACAGTAGGTATCCAATTCTCATAAAAGACCATTATCCTTAGTAGGTACTTAAAGCAGAACAACTCTGAAACTTTTCGTTCAAATTCCGACTACATAACTCCGTGTACATTTACAAAAAAAAAAAAAATGTTCCGATTGATAATTTGCATCAAAATTCGTAGGTTCTCATTTGAAACTATCGCCACAGTATACTTCTTAAATTTTATTAAAAATCTATATATTCTAAAATATTATCGTTCACTGCACTTTGAATTTATGAATACTATAACAGTTCAACCGTAAAATGAGGCGAGTATGCTTAAAAAATCAACCTGTATATTATTATATTATACCTGTATAGTTATAAAAAAATGTATATAAATAATAATAGCACTTAAAAATTATCCTAATTCTATACACAGTATACGGAAACATCATTTAACCACCGCACTGCCCTGCTCCTAGTTCGTCAATCTCGACTATGCCTTCCCAACTCATTCTCGGTCTACCGAGTGAAGATTCTCCGGTACCCCTTTACCGGTTCCCCCTTTACAGCGACCTTATACAAACGGGTTTTAGGTCCGCCCAGCCCGCTAAAATCTCTATGTAGGTGTATCTCTAGGTGACTTCTACGACGTTCGGGTTTTTATTCTCCACTCATTAGTTTCAGTATTTTACTATTCAATGGAAAATACTATTTTCTTGTCTATACTATAATAATATTACTATGTTGTACAGATATTATAAGCTAAAAATCGAAAGACATATTTATCCGAGTACCGAATAATACATCCGCAGTATAGAAACAAATAAACAGACAAATCGTAGACAAATAGATCCCTCTCGTCGCTCGAAATGTACTATTACCAAAAAAGATTAATCGCGTTTGTCTTATATTAAAATATTACACTGTTCCTAAACAGCAGTACGATACTCACATAATATTATAATACTATTTACATAATATATTTTACGCTATGAGTAATTGCAATAGAACGACTCCCGTCCCAAATAATAAATGACGTTTATAATAATATATTATACGCGCGGAAAAGTAAGAGGACCGAACCCATGTCTCCGACAAAAATGGATAATAATATTTATACTGGCTATAAAACATGTTTTTTTTTTTTTCTTTAGAAAATATTGTTTATTCTTAAATAATTTCGTTTTATTTTAAATCCGCCGTGATATTGATATTCACAATGATAATGATTACGTATGTATTATTGAAATGATTGAATAGAGTATACTATTTACAATAATGTAAGCGAAAATACATAATAATAATAGTATTCGTTATTATAAGTTTTTTTTTTTTTACAAGACAGACAAAAAAAAAATCGTATTTTATAATAAATTCTAATAATAATAATAATTTAATTTAAACATATTATAATTGGTAACTTTGATATTACATAAAAAAAAAATACTCGATTGCTATAATATGGTAACATATTTTGCAGTCTTCTCTTAAAAAAAAAAATAAAAATAGAAAAAAAATGGTAACTTTACGATTTTGGACATATAAAAATGTGATGATGTATTATTAAGTAGGTACAAATACAGGTATACTAATAATTTATGAATTACGTTTTGCGGATAAAGAGACGAAGATTTAATGTGCGACGTATAATTTAAACGTTTAGAAAACTTCTTTACGGAAATCGAATCCAAATTGATCACATTTGACTCTGAGGAGTCGGCCGAGTTGAGGCGGACCGCAGTAAAACACTGTGATTTTCCCTTTCTTTTGGTCCAACAACTGCTTGAAAACTTTATCCCAGTTCGGTCTGCCCGCGTTCGTTCTGGTCTTCAGACCAGTGATGAAATCTCGTTTTTCCTTTTGGTCCGAGAAAAATTAATAATATAGTAAATATAATTAGTATAACATTTTTTATACTGTGTACGTGTCGATAACAATTATCATCGCAATCGAAAAATGATTCTGAAAATTTTAATTTCCGTAGACCCATTGATGAAATATTTAACTTTAAGTTTGGGTTAGGTTAAGTTACTAATGAAACATTGCATGGCGGTAAAAACTAAAAATACCAGCATCAAAATGTATTTAAACTAAAAATTCATATATCTATGGAATTTTTAATTAGGTCGTTGTTTGAAAATGAAAAAGGGAAGTAGTTTCTGTGGAGGGATTCACTACAAAAAATAACGACGATGTAACATTTCAGAATATAGTTTTGAGTATCACAGTTTAATATAAGTCATTTTTTTGAAAAAATAATTTTAATTAATGAAAATTTAATTGCACCATGCAATTTAGAAGACTGTGTATCTAGCGAAAATGTTAAGTCTCTAAGATTGTTTTTCATAAACGAACAGCTCTCACCTTTTCGTGCAACAGATCCAAAGCCAATTGCAGTCCAACAGCTTTCATGTCGGTTTTCTGCAGGGCTGACGTGATGTACATGTGCATTTCCAGAAATCGTTCCATGGCTCCACCAAGTTCAGCCTGTTCGATTTCGAGTTGTGATAGTAAATTCACGAACCATTCGAACGACCTTTGATCACGGTTAATCCAAAAGAAATCTACCTATATATGACGACAGTTATTATACTTTAATATTTACCAATATACTCACAACCAATCGCGATTTCCCATCGTCATTAATCGTAAAAGCAAACCCAAAAAAAAGTTGTTTTTTTTTATTATTATATAATCTTCTACTTTTTTCCTGGCACTTAATACTTTCTAAGAGTTTTCGTCGTCATCGCAATCCCATTCCACGTATCTCGATCATGGACTATACCTCTCCATTCTCGCACTCCCAAGGACGCTCTTTCAGTCTTAGTTTTTCTCAATCAAATCTCCCTTAACCAGTCATTTTTATGACTGATTTTTATATATCGGATTTCATTGAATCTTTCTTAAGCTGGTGTCCTTAAGCTTGCATATTAGTACTATCTCCTATATCTAATACCGTAATTTCACAATATGGAAATTTACAGCATTGATTTTCAATTCTGTTTCACTGTTCACTCTAACATTTTATCATTTTATTGCATAAATTAGATAATAATGTACTTAGCGTTTCAAAAATATAATATACTTGTGTAATGTACTAATGTGTAAATTTAAATAATAAATATCATTTCTTACATTTTATTCCCCTAAAAATCTCTCTTACAGCCTCACGATATAAGAACTTATTATAATTTAATGATATCTTATAATATCTCCGCTCACCTTTCTGAGATGCATCACCGTAGGGGGTATCTCACTCGCCCACGTGTACTTGCACTTAGGGCACGTATGCCGAGCCTTCCAATATCTGTGCATAATCGATTGCAATATGGACGCGAAAGGCGTTACGCCAATGCCAGTGGCTATCATCACTGCGTGTTGGGCCCGGAATATATGACTGGATGGTGCACCATACGGGCCGACCATATAGATCTGAAAAGAAGAGAACGCAACGTAAAACGGTAAGTACAGCTAATACAGGCAAGGTATATTTATTCAACTATAAAGACTAAATTTCTGAGAAATTTTGTTAAAAGAAAAATGAATAAAAGGCGGTTTTTTTTTCAAAAGTCGAAAAGTGAAACATTTGAGAAAAAGTAAAAATTAAAATAAAAAATGTGAATAATAACAGCTGATAATATAAATAAAGATAACATAAATACGTGTGATTAATTTTTTCACCGTTTTTCTTATTTTAAAAAAAAAATCATTTTTTCCCAGATTTTAATTTATCCAGAAATTTCCAATATTTAGGTATAATACGGAATAACCATAATCCTTAGCGCTTAACTCACTTCTAGCGGTTTGCCGACCGGATAGTTCATAGGCGACTGACCACTGTTGTCTTCGTTCGACCGTTCGTTAGATTTGCTCTCGTTCGTCACATACTCCATACTGCCGATATTGGATCCCTAAAATAATATTTAAAAATAACGTTTCGCGTCATTCCCACTAACGAGTACATGACGTCTTTAATTTCGATTTGCAACTCACGGTTTCAATAGCGATACTGTAGGACGAGACTTTGGTCTCACAGTTTTCCAGACTCGGCGTTTTGAACGCTATGATGGTCGGCTTGTGTCTCATGTAACGGAAACTCTGAGCCAGTGATTTGTTTTGAGGACTCAAATACATAAGACCCAACGATTGAAGTCTCGCTCTCTTCATTTGACATTCGTCGAAACTCTTTTCCGACTCTGATCTCATATACGTCCGTAAACTGAAATCAAATAAATCTTGTGAATTGCAATCGTTAAAATATACAAACATTATTTTAAAACATGAAACACGCACGCTAACAGACGTTCTCTCTTTTTAATTCGATTGTCCATATCGGGCATGGATAACGATTTCGACAATGGCGCCTTGTTGATCAAAACGAGTTTGTGGAGATTAGTGTTTGGCGCTTTTTTGACCGATTTCCTCGTATCTAATTATTAACGGTTAAACGTGTCGACAATAATGTTATTATTTACATTATAAAACCCCAGCTAAAAAAATATTTTATCTTACCCATTGCACTTTTGGGATTTCCGGAATTAACGTCGTTTTCGGATCCTCTGATATGAAAGTCTTCCGGCAAACTACTGAAACTCTGATTGGTGTAACTGAAATCACTGCCTCTTTTGTATTTTCCTTTCGTGGGTTCTTCTATGGTTCTTCCCGAGAACGTTCTTTGTAAAGTTCTATAACATAGTATAATATATAACTAATCAATCCAATATTTAGTTCAAAATTCTATTTTAAGTATAATATATATATCACGCGAAACATACGTTTGGAGTTTTTTCATTTTAGACGATTCCAACGTATCGACAGTAGATGTTTTACTGTTGACCGACCCTGGCAGTTCTTCATTGAGCAAATGCAATTTATGCTGCTCTTCTTCGAAATACGAATACAACCGATTAGTCCATTCACCGACCCCACGAATATGTAACCACATATAATCTACAAATGGTTTTTTTTAAACATCAGTCAAAATAATTTCATTTCATTATTCGTATACAAACATAACGTTTACCTTCTTGTTCCGGAGCACTACTAATAGTAAACGGATGCCATTCGTACTTGGCTATTGCGGGTATGTTTACGAAAATGTAGTCACCGGGATGAAAATCAAAATGCGGCGGCCGCTTGATCACCAAATGAGTGACTTTAGATGGTAATAGTAGACCGGAACTGATGTACGTTTTGCCGTGTTCGGAACGCATCAGCGAAAAACGGTAAAAACGTTCGCACAGATACAACAGTCCGGGAATCACGAGCCATTTCCAAAAGTTCGGACAGTGAAGGATCAAAAGTAAATAAAATGGCACGTATAGTAAATGCGTCCAATAAAAAATC